TGGTTATGCAGTCCTGAGCTTGTGGTTATGCAGTCCTGAGCTTGTGGTTATGCAGTCTTGAGCTTACTTCGTACGTTGTCCGCGCTGAGCCAGCCTTAGCAAGCCAAGACTGGCCCAAATTTGGGCCATGTGTTGTCCCAGATTCAAGCCTCCGGTTTCGCTTATTCTTTCCTTTGGATTTTTGCAATTGAATCGATATCGACGAGATGCCGTTCTTAGCTACAAGGATCTTCAGTTACGTTACTTTAGCGCTCTATCCAATTGGGGCTATGACTGCGCGAGTGCAACAGAGAATCTACCACACCCATTTCACGATGGAATTCTCTAAAGCACCTGTATTTTCTTGCTGTAGTAAGTCAGTCATTCAGGCTTCCTTTGGAGTGATAACTAGAAGTTACTGGCTGAAATGCTCTCCAGGCCCGTGAGGGAGACGGTTTGACTGGAACCGGCGTTCTATCACTGCCTCGCTTGACACCCCGCAAAATGCATGTACCAACCGACACCACCTGCACCCAGCTGAACGCAATCTAGGCCGGCCGCGACCTGCTGACAAGGCCTGCTTGGAACCCGAGGCCGTTCTTCCCGCTGCCTGCAGGACAAAAGAAAAAATATATACTCTTGAGGCAAATATCAGTCTTAGGAGTTTCAGCAACTGCATTCTATTGGCTATCACGATTTTGTGATGAAAGATTGCGTGATAATTTGTGGCGATAAGCGAGAGGATGAAGATGCGAAACGGCGAACCTCGAAAAGATAAAAGGGAGATGATCTTGCGCAATTCTCTAAATCGTAAATGCTCCCAAGCATCTCTTTTAGGCAACCTTACTTCAGATTCTGATTCAGGGACAGATAGCTGTTATAATGTCTCCCAGTGCAACCGTACCGGTCGACTCGCATCGTCCTCCTAAAGACAAAAACGCAACAAGCAGCAGGAACACTGAGCCCTTGAAGAAAAGCGGAGCTCTCGATGCTGCCTTTGCATTTGAAGACCTTACTCCGGTTATTGGAAGGGAATATCCCACGGCACAAATCGTCGAGGATATTCTGAACGCTCCCAATGCGGATGACTTGCTCCGGGATGTTGCAATCACAAGTAAGTGTATTTCTTGTGACTAGATCGAGACTTTCTGGATGCTAAGTAGTGCGCCTAAATAAAGTCAGCGAGCGGGGCGTCGTATTCTTTCGAAAGCAAGACAGCCTTACCGACGATCTGCAAAAACAATTCATCTCACGCCTAGGAGAGTTGACCGGAAGACCTAAAAGTTCGACCCTTCATATCCATCCCGTTCTAAACAACACAAACGAATTCGGCGCCGATGACAGTGAGATCAGCACTATCTCCTCACTCTACCGGAAAGCTCGATATGATCTCGGCCAGCCGTCGCTGCGCAAAAACACCAGAAACACCGAGGCGTCGTGGCACAGTGATATCCAATTCGAGGAGGTGCCCGCCGATTACACGAGTCTGCGGTTGATTCAGCTACCGAAGAATGGCGGAGACACACTTTGGGCGTCAGGTCTGTCGTTGCTCTCCCCAACTTCCTATAAAAGCCCTAACATCAATCTTTAGGATATGACGTCTATGACCGCTTTAGCAAGCCTTACCAAAAGCTCTTCGATAGCTTGACGGCTACTTTTGTTGGTGATGGCTTCCTCAAAGCGGCTGAGGCTGGAAAGGCCGTCCTGTACGACCAGCCTCGTGGTTCACCGGAGAATGTGGGCAAACATTTGTCTGTTACCCATCCGCTCGTGCGGACAAATCCCGTGACAGGATGGAAGAGTATCTATGGAATCGGGAATTTCCCAAAGATCATCAATGAGTTAGACCCCGAGGAGAGCGCAGAACTGCTCAAGAAGTTTTACCATGTAATCCTGGATAACCATGACCTACAAGTCCGCTTCAAGTGGAAAAATCCTAACGACATCGGTAAGTTGAATGACATTGTCGAAGTGGGAAAGAAACTTTGGTATCATCTACTGACAATATAATCCTAGCTATTTGGGATAATCGCAGCGCATTTCATTCGGCTACCTTTGACTATGAGGGACTGGGCGAACGCTCTGGCAACCGTGTGGTGGGCATTGGCGAGAAGCCTTATCTCGACCCGAACAGCAAGTCCAAAGCGGAAGCGCTTGCTGCCACGGCTGAGGTAGGCGCTTGAAGTGCTGGAAGGAGGGAACAGACAGACGGGCAGATCAATGAATCATGGGAGCAGAGCGCGATTGCGTGTACCTAATTCAATACGCTGATTCTCTCGCATTTCAACCAACTAGAATAAATTACGCGCCGTGCCCGTTACTGGGCTGACTGCCCCTCGAAAGTGCCCCGGAGAGGTCCGAATAGTGTGAATATCCATAGTGGCAGACGTCAGGTCATCTCGGGATAGGTGGAACAAGTGCTAGAGGTTGCTGAGCAGGAATAAGTGTTTCAACACCCCAATCTGCACGCTGCCCGACCCCCTCTGCTCACGTGACCCGGCGCCGCTGTGGCTGAGTTCGGCTCAGGCCCGGCTCAGCTTCGGCTCAGGTCTCCTTAGGTCTGCTCACCCTTGCTTACCCTTGCTCACCCGCTGCGGCGCAGTCTTAGATATACCTCACCAGAAACTGTTAAGTATTAGCAAGGGGCCTTAAATCTGTCCTAGGTTATAAATTAGGGCCCTACATAGTTTTGTAAGCCTTATAAGCTTAAGCTACTTTCTAGAAAGTATTCTTGTAAGGTGCATAACCTACCCAGTATATAGATCTTTGGCTCCTGGTGCGTTTACGGTGCGCTCCTAGGGTTGTTCAGTTACACATACGGGTTACGGTATATTGGAATATTTACCGTATATATACGGCCGAGTTCGTGATATACCGTATACGTATATTGGTAAGCGGGATTTAGTATTTTTAGTAGATAGCTTGTAGGCCTGCAGGCCGCCCGGCAGCGCACCCAAATATATCAAATTTAAAGTTGAGGAGCAAGAGTGTTACGAACACCTGAGCATAGGAGCGACGAGGCCAAACAGAGTATCTGTCGGGGCTGCGGGCGCAAGGACATGCAGACGGTAGGGACACAGCGATACGCGGGGCAATCACGTGACAAGAGGTCAGGTGATGTTCTCTGTTTGATCTGTCGCTTGGCAGCAGAGCAGACAGAGAATAACCAAATTGTATGAAGGCAGAGGGGATATAAAGTCTGGAGGATTTCGTATCTACTGTCTCTCCTTCGTGCTCAACTTAAGTCTTGAACTTCGATCCTTACTTTCCTAGTAACGGCCGAAGACTAGTTAGTTCTGAATTACTACCTCGTTGTGTTACACCCTCTCAATACTGCAGACAAGTTGTCCCCGTTCTTGATCCCGATTCTCCCTCTTGCCTACTGGACTAGTGACCCAGGACCACGGAGTTATCCCAACCCGCCAGGCATTGAGAACTCGCGAGCCAAGCCATATCGAGATCCCTCCTGGACCTCGCCCCGGCCTTCGGTAGTTGACTCCCCCGCGCAACCTCGCATATCTCTTGGTGAACGGAGGTTCATTACAAAGAGGAAGAGGATGGCGATGGCAATATGGAGGAAGTGGACCTTACTGGGCTGATAGAGGGGCTAGCAATTGCACGGTTCGTTGATGAGCTACATGTTGAGGACGGTTTTGGTGGAGAGAACTAGGCACGTGATGCGATTTGGGCCGTGCGGGATATACGATACAGTATATACATTTTGCGGGTATATATACGACTTACGTATAGGCCTCGACTGCAGGCACGCCCCCTTATGCTAGAGGCACGCCCCCCCCCCTTGCTAGAGGCACGCCCCCCTACTTGCTAGAGGCACGCCCCCCCTTTGCTAGAGGCACGCCCCCCCCTTGCCTAATTCGGCCGCCGAACAGTTTTTCCGCGCCGATCTACTGCGATATCGCTCCATCTTATACCAGCTTTTTCAACACGGAGCTCTACGCTCTACAACAGCTCTACAATCACAACACCATGGCTGACCCCACCCTAACGGACCTGAGCGATGCTGACAGTGACATCGACAGCATTGCTACCGACTCCAGTTTCAAAGATCCCGATATAGATGACGAACCCTTCGATGAACCGCCTCTAGAGCGGCTTCTTCGCCCTCTTCCACCCCCACCTTATGGCGTCTATATAGAACTGCAAAAGCTCCTCCACGACGCCTACGGATTTGCCCTGAAACATGGCTACGCCCTAGTTAGCCGCCGAACTGAATATACTGATGGGGGCAAGAAGCAGGGAGGAGAGGTACATAAGGTCTGGCTTGTTTGTGAACCTCACCGACCCGCGCACGCTCGGCGGTAGCTCTGTCGACCTCACGCACGCCAGCCAGCTCTTCCGCCCGAGCGGGAGGGCAACTACAACACCAAGCGGGGCAACATCTAGGGGTGGAGCAGGCCGTGGAGCGGGCCGTGGCCGTGGCCGTGGCCGTGGCAAGGAGCCAGAGCCAGGCCGTGATGGAGTTGGACGGCTGAGCGTTGAGGGCGGAGTCTTCACGGCGTGGCAGTTGTAGCTACGCGGCTGGTTGGAGGCTGTTCGGAAGTGGTTCGGATGAAAGGCCTATTGCAATTGTAAATAGAGCTTATAAGTTGCGAATTGGAGCTCAAATTGAGCCTGTTTGACGCGTCTATTTGATAGATAAACGCGTAAAATCAACTCAAAGATGAGACGACTCGCGAACTTGGTGCGGCTACACGTGATACCGGAGCCTGTTCGGCGGCCGAATTAGGCAAGGGGGGGGGGGGGGGGTGCCTCTAGCATAAGGGGGCGTGCCTGCAGTCGAGGCCTACGTATATATACGAGGTTCGGCTTCATATACCGTATATTACCAACCCTATGCGCTCCGCATACGTATCACGTGCGCAGCCCTCACGTGCTCGCTTAGCCGAAGCCAAGTACCCAAATCCTCACGGAGGCCAACCCGGCTTCCTCAAGGATTTGTCTACAATGCAGTCTTTTCCATCATTTCTGGCCTCAAGCTCCCTACCATGAACTCCCACCTTACATTTCTCTACCCTTATTCTTATTAGTATAAAGTGTGCCATTCTACTAAAATAGCCAGCCTCCCTCTTACTTTCTTATCTCTTTTCTCAGGTTGTGAAAAAGCAGTTCTGTGTTGATTTGAAGAGGCATAAGGCCCGTATATATAGCCTATGAAAGGGGGGGGGGGGGGGGGTACTCCCCTGTTCCCCCTTGTTACGGATATGGAAGGATGTAACGCCACTGACACGCTAGTAGTGGCAACCTGAGTCACCCCCCATCCTGAGAGATCTGTACCTAGCAAAAAGAGATAGCAGTGAAAGGTCCAAACGAACATCCAATCCAAAGAACCTCTGTCCTAATATCGCGGCTGGCAATGCTGTTTATGCCACTGGCCGACACCAAGAGTACTGTCCTACGCGATGAATGTATATGCTGCCCGCTTGTATGCGTACCGGGCCTTTGTCGTGGTAGTAGAGAGGGCTTACGTCATGCCTCAGTGATGGGCTTCACGCCGTGCCTCAGTAGAGAGGGCTTCCGCCGTGCCTCGTAGAGAGGTTCACGCCGTGCCTCAGTAGAGAGGGCTTCCGCCGTGCCTCGTAGAGAGGTTCACGCCGTGCCTCAGTAGAGAGGTTCACGCCGTGCCTCAGTAGAGAGGGCTTCCGTAGTGCCTCGCGCGTAGGAGGACTTTCGTTGCCTCAAGCAGAGGGCTTCACGCCGTGCCTCAGTAGAGAGGGCTTCCGCCGTGCCTCGTAGAGAGGTTCACGCCGTGCCTCAGTAGAGAGGGCTTCCGTCGTGCCTCGTAGAGAGGTTCACGCCAGCCCATCACTGAGGCATGACGTAAGCCCTCTCTACTACCACGACAAAGGCCCGGTACGCATACAAGCGGGCAGCATATACATTCATCGCGTAGGACAGTACTCTTGGTGTCGGCCAGTGGCATAAACAGCATTGCCAGCCGCGATATTAGGACAGAGGTTCTTTGGATTGGATGTTCGTTTGGACCTTTCACTGCTATCTCTTTTTGCTAGGTACAGATCTCTCAGGATGGGGGGTGACTCAGGTTGCCACTACTAGCGTGTCAGTGGCGTTACATCCTTCCATATCCGTAACAAGGGGGAACAGGGGAGTACCCCCCCCCCCCCCCCCTTTCATAGGCTATATATACGGGCCTTATGCCTCTTCAAATCAACACAGAACTGCTTCTTCACAACCTGAGATCTTTACTTATTTTTTCTAGTAGAAGCGTGTAATTTATAGAAGCATTCGAAGGCAAATAGCATAGACAACTTCCTAAGAACATAATTGTCCTGTGGACATCACCGTCTTAATACATCACTGTCTTAAGAGCATGTCTATCTTGAGAGTATAACCGTCTCAAGACGGGTCTATCTTAAGAGCATGACTCTCTGGAGAACGTCTTCGTCTTAAGATGCCACTGTCTCAAGACCACGGCTGTCTTAAGACTATAACTATCTTAAGAACATGCCGTCTTAAGAACTTGACTGTCTGCAGAATGGCCCGTCACCGATTAGACCACTTCTGGGACCTGCTATTCTATTCTGGCAGCAAAACACTGAATTCAGAAAGCCGCTGACGCATGTAGTGATGCAGCAGGTGCCGTTCATATTGCTGCGGGCATACTGGGTACTAGGGGTGTAGGATAAACTCGAGGGGATGCGATATAGCAAGTGTGAGGGTGAAAATGGTGCTAGTTAGGAAAAGCAGGCTGGGGGTGAAGAAGCTGTGCATAATTCGGTTTGGGGGGTTGCTGCAGATATTGGATAATTCTGGGGAGATTGGGAGGAATTGGAAAGAGATGTAGGAATAAAGCTCTGATGGGGACTGGCTAGGATGGAGCTTTACATGTATATACTTGGCTGGTCGGAGGGACAAGAGGCCTTATTGCCTTGGAACTGGGATTAGGAGGTAGCATCCGCGCTGAAATGATTCAGGTTTAGAAATGTAGGCGGGGGCTTCTTCGTTCCTAGAACCTGGAGCCTGGATCGGCATGCTCTTAACTCAGGAGCTGTGGTGTTTTGGGGGAATAAAGCGGCAAGATCTGAACGGAATCCGTGATTAAAGCAAAATTCCTAGCATTTGTACATCTTTCAGAATACATGTTGTAAACACTCGGTTCGGGATTCGTCTGGACGTTGTTCTTACTACGGATGATGTTTTAGACTCCCTTACCACCCATCAAGAGGTGGGGGGATAGTACTCGGTACTTTTGGTCTGCCGAGAATTCGTCGACCACATGGCGCGAACGAGCCCGCTCCCTGGACCATACAGACTTGAGCACTACACAACGCCCCAAAATTATCAACCCCATCGGTGGTGGGAACCTTTACCAACTCGTCCAAATTCACATCAATCTTCACTGACCGGAGGGCATGCTTCGCGAAGCTAGATGGGAGGATGCTGGCGATGGCGAAGTCGATAATGGTAACAAGACGTCGGTCCAGGTCGAGGATGAAATTCTCGGGCCATATATCGCCATAACAGAAGACCATAGGCTCATAGGCGAGGTTTTTGGCCGGCGTCGACTGTCTAGTAATGCGGATCCACTAATTTTTAGCGCACCGTTAGTTATATACAAGGGGCAACACGGGGGACCGGGTTACCTCGTTTAGATGTGTCTAGCTCGGAGACATTCTGGTAGTCCAGTGGAGCCGTGCTATCATCAAAGAGAGGATGCCGAATTGCCCCTCCGTCAATTCCGGCCGGGCGAGCATCTGGAGGCACAGGGATGCGCAGGAGCTCCTGGAGACCAAAGGCAACCAGGTTGCAGATGTCTTGCTTCCGAGTGGGGTGTTCCTTTAACAATTGGCCCATTGTCTTGCCGGGGATGTACTCCATAACGATGTAAGATACATGCATATAGCGGCAGGTGTAATAGACTTTTGGAACCCGGACAGGCGACTGCAGCTGTTGGAGGCCGTGGTATGCCATCATCTGGGCAGGGACCTCGTTGCGCAGCACTGAACAGCCGTACTTTATCCAGAGTTGGGGTGCGCGTGTGGGATAGGCAAGGTGCTTTGAGTAGCCCATCACTTCTTCGGTACAGAGGCGAGTCAGCTTCTCCCCGGTGGGAATATGGACGCTGGGTGGGGGCGGGAGTACATGGAGCTCCTCTTCAAAGTCATGATGCTGCGACATGATGGATACGGGTTTGCGAAGGTGGAGGGAAATCGACACTAAATTGCAGGCTCGGATTTCTGTTCGTGAACACAACTGCATCATTGTATCTGATCATCCATCGCTAGTTCAGCCAGCTTAAGCCATTCTTCGGTTTCGTTCGATCATGCATATATTCCTATGCAACCGCAATGAACCACGTCGGAATCTTGAGGTTTACACCTCAGTTTTTCGAGGGGTTTCATGCTCATCCTTGTACATATTCGGCTAGTCAGATCAGGCGATACATAATTCCGTGTTTTCAAATTTCCATTCTATCACCACGCTTTCTGTTTTCGCGTCGCCTTTCCTTTTTTTCATCCTGAAATGATGTCGGGGTGAATTGGCTCTGATTTTCCTAGGTGGCTATCTGGTCATATATAGAAAGGGACTAACCCCTAGGGCTCGACGCTATCCAGTAGCGTAGATCAAGCAAGCTGAAAGAGACTCTCAGCGGGTACATACCAGCTGAGTCTCAACTGGCTTCTACAGGTGATGTTCCAGGCTATTTCGTCATAGTGCGAATTGACACAGGACCAAGTCCTACGACTATAACCTCGAGTTATTTATGCTAATAGCTAATTAGCTACCGTCACCACTAAGATAAAGCTCTTCGCCTCGACCGCCATCCTTCCCTTCCCCCCGACGCTAGTCGCGCGCATGGCCACAACAATCGACTCGATTGCGCCAGGCAGGTTCGGCATTAACATCGTCACGGGATAGCAGGAGGCCATTTACAGCTAGATGAGCATTTGACCTGGAAACGCATACTTCGGGTACCGGTACGGCTACGCGACCGAGTAGGTGAAGGTGATGAAAGAGCTTTGGGCAATCGGCGCGTCGAATTTCAAGGGAAATCACTTCACCATGGCTTGACATCACAAATCGTGGCTTTGCAACAAGCCTATCCAATAGTACCTCAGAGCACCTAAGCGACCTCGAACGGCAAGCAGACTTGAAAGTTTGTAGTTTCGATTTGGTGTCTTCCGATGATACACTCCCGGCCATGGCAAAATTGGCTAGCAGATTCTAGCGACTAGATCTAGCCAAAAGTTATGTGGGAGATCCCATGCACTAGGCTGCTATACCAACCAGATCTCCTTCCATTCTACCCCAGACGCGACGGCATTCTCTACAGCTTTTTGTAGAATGACGCCAATTGCCACTCGCTCCGCCAACGCCCTGCCTCCAAATCGCTGGACCAGCATCACTTGATACGCACCCCAGTCGTCGTCATGAAACACGGTCCCTGGGTCTTCCTTCCATCTGACATCTTTCGATCTCGCGTCAGAAAGGAGGAGAAATTCGCCCATTGAGTCGGAATTGTAAGATAATGTCGAATTGATCAGAATGTGACCACAGGGAGCGGCCGAGGCATCAAGTATCTCAAAAGCTCCGCTCTGAGGTCTAGGCATGTCACTGAACTTTTCGATGGGTCGGACTCGGAGGCAAATGGCCAGTGTACAGAAGTGGAGTACTGGATGATCAATGCCCAGGGCCTCGGAGCCAGGAGGTATTTCTGTGGAAGCTGCGAGTCTGGTTTCGATGTTTGCCTCCGCAACCGGGGGGAACTCGTGGTGTGGGAAACGATAGGTGTTTCTATTGTATGCGCTGTGAGATAGGAGCCTCGTCGCTGGCTTCAATCCTTCATAGCCGATCCATTCAATCCAAGTATGCTCGGCACACCAGTCTAGAAGCTGCTTGTAATTCGAAAAGTAAGGCATGGTTACTCGTCCTATCCATCCGCACCACGACCAGGAAGGCCATTTGCCAGGTCTTCTCCTCACTGCACGATTCGGATTCCATTGAAGGGCCCAATCGAAGACTGCGACCGGTAGACCAAAGAAGTGGTCAATGCCATCATTTCTGTCGGTCCTCATGCGGAGCAAATACATGTTGAGCATGCCGCTGAATGCAGCTAGGACGTCGGAGTGCCAGGTGAGGATCCGACCGCTGTATTCGTATAGAGAACCAGCGTAGTCAGAGTGAGGATTTGCGTCGATGGAATTAGCATCAATAGCATGTTTTGCCGCGAGGGTGTCCACGCTCTGGATCACTTGGATGCCTTCTAGAAACATATCTTCTCGCCAGGTCTCCCTGCGGCACTGAAAGAAAACCTGCCCATTAATGAAATAAAGACAACGCTTCGACAACATCCGTTCCTGATATCTTCGTGCCATGGTTGTGTTAGTAGACTTGCGCACTCCTCGAATAGGTTTTGCTTAATATAGCATCGAGTTGCGACTTACGTCCATGCTCTCGATTCGTACACGGATTCATCTAATGCATCCCTCAGGTGTCTTATGCTTGAAAGTCGCACGCTGGGAAGCACCTCTTCAATGATTTGTGAACAACCTCTGGAGCCCTTCCGAACTCCTGGAAGTCCAGCATCAGCGCTGTCTCCGGTAGCCGCTGCAATGGTCAGGAAAGCTCGGTCGTAGATAGAATCCATGTACGGGATGTAATGGGCCTTGTCGGCGTCCGAATCCTGAATGATGCACAAGCTGTCGATCTGATCTGGTCAGAGTTCATTATATTGGGGGCGGACTTGACTATTTACCCAAAGATATCTCTCATGAAGAGTTGAGGTGAGTGTTATGGAGTCCTGGATCGTGCGAGGAAGCTGCCGCCAGACTTTCTTCAAAGCGCCAGGGGTAGCCAATTCGTCCAGATTTGTAGAAGTCAGCTTAAAGACGGTTGCAGATCCCCAGACGTAGCTAAGTGTTAAGTATATACATTCAGAGGACTCGTCGACAATGCATAGTCTCCATGTATCAATGACTCTTAACTTGGAGATACGACCCGAAGACAGCGAGCTCAGTGTCTCTTCGCAGCCCGCGCCGTGCCATCGGATGCAATATTGCATCCACTTGACGATTTGCTTCATCTTGATTTTATCCTGCGGAATTATGCGGCCCAGAAAAAGCCCTTTGCCCTCTGGGGTATCGTCTGCAAGAAGGGTAATGCGATGGTAATCGAACTCGTTTATAGATGGGCGCATGGAGACCATCAGACGCCGCACCTGTGGGCTGTTGTTGGAAGACACCAGGCCATCTTCGCCCCAGTATAACTCGCACTGTACATCTTTCTCTTCCTCCCTATTTTGGCCTCGAGGAGTCCCTGCCGCTTCAAGAACAAGTCGGCATAGGGGGCACCGGTGTGCTCTGCTGCGGACCTCTCTTAGCTGCCCAATATCCAGGAAAGCATCAAATTTCTCAGAACTGTCGGCTGAACTAATCAGAAAATCCTCGACCTTGAGGTTCAGGCTCGCGCAAGTATCGCACAGCATGGTGCTTTGGTCGTCGATAATATTCAAATCTTTCGGGCAGGCTCGGGGCAGGCCACCAGGCCACTCGAAAAGAACTTCACAAAAAGCCACAACACTGCCAGGCGGGGTTTATAACTTATCACTAATTTACACGCATTGACTATTTTGAAGCTGCAGATTAGTGTTATAGGACGCGTAGAACACGCCCTGAGCGTTATAGACCAATAGCTTTGATTTTCATTAATAATCTATTGCTCCGAAGTTGGTGCCTCCGATGTAAACATGGACAACTATTGCCCCCCTATTTTTAAGCATCTTAAACCCTATATTTCCTTCACTTTAATACTACTCTCTATTTTATGTACGTGTAGAATCGAACTCTTTAAATCGTAAGAAGTGGATATCATACATTAGGCTTTCGCGTTGAAGAATAGTCCGATGTCTACAACATCAAATGCGTGTTCCAAGGTTAGACCGGAAGAGAAAAGAGGGAACAAGGCGCCACACCTGTATTGCCAAGAACCGGAAACGTCTATCTGTGTTCCACAATGGTCGCATTCCCCTTTCGCCAATAGATCACCACCGAACCATCCTTCGCCCATCCAAACGGATCGTATATCCAGCAATCTTGCGGTTCCTCTGTGGAAGTGGTGACCCTTGTTAATCCACTGATATAAGCGTAATCATGGCTGTACTCAGGTTGGAATTGATGTGAACTCTGTTGTATTGTAGATGCCGTAAAGGCGGACTATATAGAGGAACGAGATGAACTATCCCTTAGGGCGCTCCCTTGGTCGTTCCCTTGGCAGCAAGGAAGCACCACAACTCCGTAAGGAAGAGAAAGGAAGAGTAAGGGATACCTAGTGAACAGTATGAGTTGCTGATCCTAGGTTGCTGCAACCCGAGTGCTGTCCTCCTATAGACCCATCCCTCGAAACTGCTTTGTCCGGGGGCTATCGGTGTTCCACTGCGCCCCCACTGTCCAATGTCGTCAATATGAGGGCCTCCGCTGAGGAAGTTTCGGAAAGTTTGTCTGTTCATTCCCACCACGAAGCCGTTACTCCAACATCTATAGCGACGGCTATTGGTTTATCCTTGTAGATGACCAGGAACACCGGTCGCCCTGGCCTTTTCGCTGTCTTTTTTTGGGCACCAACGTGGGTCGCAACTGTCGTTACTGCCTCTGCAACCTCAGCAAGTTCGTGCGGGCCGATTCCGAGAAGTTTGAACTCGTCCTGGTGCCTAAGTATGTGCTCGTACCCGGCCTTGGTATTACCGGTCTCGACCCATATAGCATTACTTCTCAGGCCGGGAAAGTATTGCTTTCTTTCATCAATAACCTTCCAGACCGATAGGACATCGGGAACAGTCATCTTGAGTCCGTCCCTGACCAATTGCCGAATGATAGCCTTTTGGTTCTCAGGCAGCGAGAGTGCATCCACAGCCACTTCGACCTCGACGCCGATGCTGAATCATTCGCTCGAGGACAGCTCGGATCCTTCCGGAAGTACAAGTAAAGACTGCCCTGACGCCATGATTGGTCGAAAGCGTAGATTTTCCTGGCGTAAGAAATGGATGCTGACTGAGTCGAGAGATGAGTGCTTATAACGATGTTCTTCGGCTCGTCAAACGACAAGTAAATGCAGTGACTTTGAAGAAATGAGTTGCTTTCAGTGCTTGACGATCGCCATATGGAATATGAGCACCAATGATGGCAATGCAAAGTAAGTGAAATGAGGCTCTGGCAGCAGCCTGAAAATCAAGCAAGAGTATGGGGCTTGGGCAAAGAGCGCAAAGACGACGCAAAACTGAAGACGTCGTGGAGGGTGGGTGAACAGCGAATGAAGCCAGCTCATACGTAGTGTAACAACGCCTGTTCCAAACCATGTCCAACAAAAGCCTTTCGATATGGTTCAATTTGTTTCGATAAATGAACGATTGTTTCGAAACGGGGTTTGTTTGGACATAGTTTGGAACAACGCCTCTTGTTGCCAGCGGCTACTTAATTGGCTATAGAAATAATGAGTAATACGCTCTACCTTACCGGAGATACGTTCCAGTTCAGATTGGAGCCTACGCTGTCTCTTGGTGTTCCAGCCTCGCGCGAAAGTGTACGAAATCAGAACATACTGTAAGCATGCTAGATTAAACGTGAGCTTTGAATAAGATTGGCGTTCGGAAATTGAAACAGCGCCATGGGCTTTCAACAGGATGGTCGACAATCGTACTTGTCGGGGGCGGGCGTTTACTTTAGGTAGTTGTGGACGGAGAGTAGCCTTGATCGGGCTAGATCCGACTAGATCCGACTAGATCCGGCTAGATCCGGCTAGATCACGCTAGCCCCAACTCAAAGAGCCACATTATGCGAACGCCAACCTGAAAGCAAACGGGAATAGCAACAGCTTAATCATATGTTTTCCCTTCATATCCTCATACCCTCCAGAGAGTGTCAGTCATAATGAAGGTCCTCCAGGCTCTCATCACGTACTAAAACACGGTAGTGAATGCTGTGCCTCTCCTTCATAGAGCAAAAGCCGCCGCCGTCGACGACAATAACCTCGATGCGTTCTCAGAAGTCGATCCTAAGTCCGCGCCCGCTCCAAGAATGGAACGCAGGCCAAAAAACTCCTCAAATGGCACTAAGAATGCAGCGACAACTTTCGACCCGGTCGACGAACCAGCGATATCTTTGGAAACTAAGTACGGTATTCGGATAGAGCTGGATAATGATGCAACTCGTACCCTAAGGATTCGATTTTGCTCGGCGGATAAAGAGTCGAGCTCGACATTACGAGAAGACGAGCCTAGCTCCCTGTCTACAGCAGAACAGCCCGGCTCCCACTCAACGAACGAGCAGTCATCCTCAGAATCACAGCAGCACGCGATTGAAGAGTCCTCTACGACGAAGCATGACTCCGGATCATCTACGCAGACTTCGCCAATCGATGAGTAACCCGAGCGTGGATGGCGCTATCGAGTACTACCTGACTGGCACACATCATATTTATGGTACGATATGAACTGGCCTGGGAATCCAAACGATACTCCAGTCGTAGATTCTGAGGACATTGAGCAGCGATATCCAGCACTGTACCCATTCTATTGCGACTGGCAGGATGTCTGCGAAACCGATTTTGACAACAAGTTCGCTGAGGCCAGCGGTGCAGAGATATTCTCGGATCGTGGCCGTCTTGTTGCTTGGCAGGTTGACGGTTTTTTTGATGGCGTGCTGGCTAGCACTCCAAAAAGACGTTCATTCCGTAGTGTACATATCATCTGACGGTGAATATCAGTTAGAGCGCGGTACTATGGAGACGGAATTCCAGAGATTTCTTGGTATTAAGGAGGCTGAAGTAGAGGAACGGGATTTGGAAATGAGTGCGTTGATGTATCTAAGACTCTAGATATACAGCATAGCCAGTCAAGCGGCTATCGCTGCATGCCGATGAGTGTTTTACTCCCTTCTAGCCATCCGGAAATATTTCTATGCTTGTTGACTTTGAAACCCGATCGGGCTCCACTTCCTACGCTCGGAGATAGCTGCAGGACCATTTCGCAGCTCAAAGCATTCCCTAGTAGCAATTTTCGTACTGCTCTATTGTACCGTTCCCTAGCGCACATACCGTTCTCTTACTCGTACCAATCCGCAACTTAGCACTCACATACCATCCCATAATTCGTACCATTCCGCAGTCCGTACTAGTTCCCAGGCCTATTACTCCGTACTATTACCCAGCTCGTACTACTCCCCGTCCCAGCGTGTCCGTACTTTCCCCAAGCTCTTAGTTCTCAGCTTGGTGTTTCTTTGCGGCTAAGAGTAATATATCGTGAATCCAAAATGGACGGGCCGAGGATCTGCCACGAGCTCGACCTGGGCAATTCGTTCGTCTGGTTCGATATAGTATGCGTCAACCAGAACGATAATCAGGAGAAGTTTTGTCAAGTTGAGACGGCGGACGGACAAGATTCGGCTAATTGCCCAGGAGAAGACTCTGGTCGGCTAGCCGAGTTCCCAGAGGCCAGTAAGGCCACCTCTTTGAGTACAGCTGGCCGCTACCTTTCTAGGAATTCGACTGGCCTTATAGACTGGCTAGCCGCAAAGAATTCGACTGGCCTGACAGACTGCGAATGGCCGCCCAGGATTCGGCTGGCCGCTGGCACAAATCCAGACCATGCTGAACGTAGACGACCCAGAAATAAGTCACCGATATTTGATGTAAATAGTCACATAGCAAGGAATCCAAGAGCTATAGGATAGCATCTTGCCTAAGCGACCTGGTTCTGGGCCATCTCATGGGGATAGCCTAGTTTCGGACCTCATTGCCAACTCAACCCTGAAAGTATCTTTCGAATAGACTTGATTACAGGTTTTAGTAAGAACATAATTCAATTAGACAGGAAGATGAGTTAAGGGTAAGCGCACTGAGTTGTGGCGGTGCTGCTAGAGTAGCGGCTAAGCCGAACCTGAATTAGGTATAATTTTGCTTACAAACAAGGGATACGGCATAAAACCTAACGGGAGGAGATAAGTTGGTCGATAATATGCGCAGTGGTACAGTCGTGGATCTCGATCGAAGTCAAAGTCCGCCACCGGCAGTTGAAGAGTCCTTGGAATGATTTTCAGACATTGCATCAGGCTGCTCGTGGCCCGTAGCTACTAGCAATGTTGGTCGTTGCCACAGATACAGCGGGTAACTAAAATTGATAGTGTAGGTGTTGGGTCACAGGAGCAGATGACTAGATGAGTTCTACCCAGCCTTTCGGTGCAGGTGCGGGTACGCGCGGGAATAAGACATCCCGAACTGATGGCACTGTAGATCAAGAGAGAAGCGGTTTAAGAGTCCTGAGTTGCGAGGATCATTGGTTGTTTCGACGTGTTTAGTTTCGAGCACGAGATACTAAGGTTGTACACGTGCTGCTCCTTCTGACGTAGTAATTGGGATTCAGTTCCTGAGAGCCTTATGATCGTTTTGGCCCTGAATCATACGTTCTCGGCCCCTTTCGCGTAATTGGATGATGATCCCTGGACATTACGAAGAAATGACTTGGACTTGGAACGTGACGGGCGAAGAAATGAATTGGAGCATGTGATATGACGTAGCGGTCTGATAGTAGACCTACCCAAACTGTCTTTTCTTTTGCTTTGCAAGGACAGTCGGAAGCAATCGGATGAGAATATGGACATCGGGAAAGAAGTTTTACAGCCCTGTTGGCACCAACCTGGTCGCTGGGGAAGCATGCACTGCATTCCGGGGGCGGGGGAGATAGGCCGATCGAGGAGCAAAGGTCGATCTGCGATACGGATTCGGGAGGAATATGGAGCCAAAGCTGCGTACCTGCTAATCTCCCTGTCGAGGCATATATTCGAAGTGCAGGCTTGTTCCGCGGTCAATCGATATTTGCCCTGCCTGCATGCCTCACACACGCACTTAGCAGTGGAGCATCGACCCGTTTCTGACAACCCCTCTGCGACTCCAGCCCAATGGCTCTCGCGCTCAACACCACGGGGCTCGCCGGGCCAGGATCAGCAATGCAGCGCGGCAACAAAGCAGATACAGCATTGCAGCTCCTGCTTATCGGGCAGCCGCTTGACCTCTCCCTCGATGTGGCACCGCTTACCTGCGTCGTTGAACTGGAAGCGATGACAGGCTGATAAGTGTGCTACTGCATCGGACGAGCCGTGCCGCAGGACTCCGCTCAGCTGGCCGAACGGGAGCTCAACACCACGGCGTTACTATACAGGCACCCAACGGGGAACGATGCACGGCGGGCCAATGGCACTAGGCGGCGCGTACGGCAACCACTCGCTCCTACTGACCCGAGCAGATGGATGAGACCAGCAGGGCGGTTCGGAGGGCCGTGCGTTGGACAGGCAGGTTGCAGTTCAAATAGCGTTGAAGGTGCATGCGTCGCAGCACTTCGCCATGCTCGGATCTGCCATGTTGCAGCACCTGAGTCCACTGCGGCATTTTTGACTGGCTGCTGGGTGCGTTTGCAGAGGCCCTGGGAATCTGACGAGGTCGCCTGCAGGTGGAGGAGGATTGGGACTGGCCAGTGTGTCATGGCTTGGACCGAAATGCGGGGACAGAGGCAGCGTGGTGAGGCCAGACGGCCGTGGCATGGGCCGATGGAGCAGCTGGTGCCGTGGAGGATGTGAGCTGACACGGACAGTGGTGTTTCGAGTTGCAGGACGTCGGCGGGAGGATGCAGCTCATTCCTCCAACGGCAAGATGCAGCTGTATGCGGTATGCGGTCTATCTGCCTGGATGGCAGTGAGGCTGTCCGACGCTGAACGCCGCACGGCGGGCGGAATGGTGCTATTCCTAGCGTGCCTCGCGTCTAATCGCCGTGGCAGGAGCATCGCGGCGCGGGTTTCTACGGTTGTGCAGTGCTGGCGCCGCCGTCCTACAGTCCTCGGTGGGTTGATGCTGATGATATTACCAATTGCTTCGGGGCCTGCACAGCTGCGCCCAGACCCCCGTCAATTCCACGGTCCCAAGGATGCTTCCCCACCGTCTCGTGAGGATGGAGAGATTCGGGGCACCAAGCTTTGCGATCCGCTCGATATGGAGACCCTGATGCCGGTCAAGGCCACACAAGCTCGCCGCGATGTTCTTGGAGTCTTGTCGCTGAGACAGTCGACGCAGGGTGCAAAAGCACGTGGGCCCCGACGTCGCCTCTTTGTTCTGCCTTTTGCCATGCCCGAATTTGACATCCACCTGCACTGCCAGACCCGTGGACGACTCGGGGCCAGCGCCGAGCCGGCTCCACGCCCACGCCCGCCCACGGAGGAGGTGAGCCCCCCGAGGCCTTCGATGCTGCCCCGGGGACGGATTGCACGCACAAAGAGCCGACGAGGGGCCTCCTGCTGCAGACAACGGTGTAGACGCCGCGTGTGGGTGCAGACAACGGGCCCTCCTTGCAGCCAGCGGCCTCGTCCTGGGCCCTCGGTGCAGACGAGCGGCAGAAGACGCGGATGGGCTGCAGACCCGTGCGCGATGCTTTCCGATGTGGTGTCGTCGGCGAGGGCGGGCTGTGACTGGCAGGCTCTGGCAGGCTCTGCTTGCGGCCTTGATTCCGCCGATGCTGCGTTTTCTCACACCCGTAGCCCGGCATTTCGCTGGCTTCCACTGACATAGAGAGCCAAACAAGACGGAGCTGCTGCAATCGAGCCAGCTTAGTCGCCCACACTGCTGTAAATCGCGCAACACGAGCCTTTCATCCACCGCCCCGCCGCCGCCCATATTTCCTTTCGCCGCGCTGTCCTCGCTGCAGCGCCTCCCTCCACCATCCCAACACCACCATCGCAATCTGCCCACCACCACCGCACCTCCAATTCACCAGCTTCCCCGCCGCATCGCCGGCCCACTAACCCATCTGCCGCGCGGAGCAGCCCGAGTCCGCAGCACAGCCACCCGCGCCCACAGGTCACTGCTCGGCTGGCCCCAAGGTCCGGCTTTTGTCAGCACTTGGGATCTTTTGCTCGCGCTCATCACTGCCCCTCCGGTGCCAAGGTTTTGCCATCCGCAAGACCTTGACGCCGCCCGCACCAGCAGCACACACTCGTCACCGCCGCTTCCTCCAGCATCACAGCTTCTGTGGCCACGCCGTTTTGCGCGCATTCTCATAGCACCTCTGGGCTTTGCCCCAGCCCGCGTCTCTTCCACTGCCCCGGCTGCTGCCTCACCACGCTCCGAGCCTCAAGTCCCGAGCAAAGACAGCCAGCATGACTTCCAGCGCGACCGAATCCATCGCCACCCCTCCTCCGAGCGCAAGCTTTCGACCCGTTGCGTCGCCCGCCCCCTCGACCACCTCGTCCCTGCAGTCCCAGCCCGACGGCAACTTCGCCCTGCCTCCGCCGCGGACGAATGGCGTGAACGCGGCCGCTCTGGCGACTGGCGAAGCCGGCCTCAAGCCGAAGAAGCCCACAATGACCTCGCGGATCAGCGGCATGTTCAAGAAGGACGTGGATAGCAGAGAGGCCTCGAAAGTGAACCTGGCTGGCAATACTATCCCCGAGGGCAAGGTCGCCAACGGAACTGCGGCGAACGGAGCTGCATCCCCGCCACAGGTCACAAGAACAGCGTCGACGATTGACAAGTCCAAGAAAAAGGATGTGGCACCTACTCCGTACAAGCGCTACTGGGTGAACGAAGATGGGACCCACGAGCATCACCTCAAGGTCGGCAAGCGCCAGGAAAAACTATCCGACATGTTCCAGAACTTCATGATGGGCAAGAAAAAGGAAGGGCATACGGACGAGCAGCCGCTGAGCTTGATGGCGAACTGGGTGGATGTGATGCGGAATGAGAAGGAGAAAATGGCCGAGTCGAAGTCCTCCTCCGGGAACACATCACAAACTCTTGTCCAGAAATACGGAAAATGCCAGGAGGTGGTTGGCCGTGGTGCTTTCGGCATTGTCCGAGTCGCCCACAAGCCGGATGCCCACGATCCCAAGCGCGAGCAGCTCTATGCCGTCAAGGAATTCAAGCAGCGACCCGGAGAGTCCACGAAGAAGTACCAGAAGCGTCTTACGTCCGAATTCTGCATCTCCTCGTCAATGTCCCACCCCAACGTCATCAATACCCTCGACCTCCTCCAGGACGACAAGGGGCTGTACTGCGAGGTTATGGAGTACTGCTCTGGCGGTGATCTGTACACTTTGGTCCTTGCAGCTGGACAACTGGAGGTTCTCGAGGCTGATTGCTTCTTCAAGCAGCTCATGCGTGGAGTCGAGTACATGCACGAGATGGGTGTCGCTCACCGAGATCTGAAGCCGGAGAATCTCCTCCTTACTACACATGGCTCTATAAAAATCACGGACTTCGGCAATGGCGAATGCTTCCGGATGGCTTGGGAAAAAGAGGCTCACATGACTGCCGGCCTTTGTGGTTCAGCTCCGTATATCGCGCCTGAGGAATACGTCGATCAAGAGTTTGATCCCCGTGCTGTAGACGTATGGGCCTGTGGTATTATCTACATGGCCATGCGGACTGGTCGTCATCTCTGGCGACTAGCTCAGAAGGGCGAGGACGAATTCTTCGACCGCTACCTCGAAGACCGGAAAGAAGAGGCCGGATATAGGCCTATCGAAGTATTACGACGAGTAAGTCATCCATTTCCCTAGAGATTACATCGCTAACGTGGCGACAGCGTCAATGTCGCAACGTGATCTACTCGATCCTAGATCCGAACCCGACTCGTCGTCTCACAGCCCACCAAGTTCTGTTCTCAGAATGGGTCAAGGAGATAAAAGTTTGCCGCGCCGGCAACGAGGGTTTCTGACATAGGGAGGGGGGCAAAGGGGTTCCTCAACTAGCATCTGTCTCCGAGACGCCAGTTTGAGATCCACCCGGGCCTGTTGATTGCTTGGCTTCCTCCCGACTTGGGTTTCGGAAGCCTTCAGTACCTTTTCCCCTTCACGATCCCCAGCGTTGACGCGTTCGGAGATCCATACGCATTTGCAAGCTCACGATAGCATAGCAAGCACCATTATTTCTGCGTATATGCGGTGCTTGCACGATTCCCTTTAGTACCCTTCCTGCATGGCGTTCGCGACATTTCTAGCACGGCGTTTACAGGGTCTTCTTCTTCAACAAAGAGCAGAAATAGGGAACGGCGGATTTTTGAAAGATCGGGAACCACAAGACGGCTCCAAGACTACTCTTACAAGGCGGGTGGCTCTTGTACATAACATACACCATCCATTCGGGCGGGCGGGGTCTGGTCTTTGGCGGCGATCTTTGAGCTTTTCACTCGCTCACCATCTATTGTTTTTGGGTTTGTGGTTTGTACCTGTCACTTTTACTTGTTGGCTGGTCAGGGCTTTATTGGGAAACAGATCCCACGTATGACTGGGATGCCGTTGGTGCACCTTATGTGCTGCCGTCTCATGGACATGCCTTTACGACGTCATGGTGTTCCTGCTTGAAACGCTGCCGCCGTGAGGTCTACTGCCCTTTGCTGATGAGGTGGTAGCGGTGGGGTTGTGGTTTGTGTATTAGTACTATGTATTTGGATGGAAGACGGAACGGGATAGAAAGGCCATCCGACGTTCGTTTGATCGAATGAAAAGGTTCACCGCTGCTTCGCTCCTGTTTTCCGCCATAATGTGGCGTGCTTCAAACCCTTCTGGTGTAAGAAGAGCCCCTCTGCTGACATGATCTCAATACTCCAGAGTTCTGAAGCTGCATGGCTTGAAACAGTACAGAAACGGTTTGAATAGACGAGATGAATCCTTGGTAAGGTGTACCTTGTGTGTGCATTCACGATTAGTCCTTGACGTCCGTGCCCCAGTGGAGAATTTAAACCTCGCGCGTTAAATCTTGAGCTTGGCAACCGTTTCCTCTCAACTTGGACGGGGCGATGAGCCTTTTCAAGGCCCGTGGAGTCTGATAGAGGAGTGAACATGCTGTGTCCGCGCCCTATATGCCCTATATAGCCCCTATCTGAAAATACAAACGTTGAGGTTGCCAATCTCCCTGCCGTGTCCTCGAGTCTGTGCAGTGGAGGGGCCCAACAAAGCAAAGACAGACTGTCAAGCGGACAGCTTGTCACCTGCGAAGAACAACACCTCACCGCCTCAACACTGCGAAGCGGTAAGCTGCTGAGCGCCGCCCATGGTTCTACAAAGACAGCGTCGCATCCTCCCGTGCCTATCAACAGAGCTTGCTTGAGAAATGCGCCCAAGCAATGCCCCCGATTGGCGCATATGTCTGCATCTGGACGGCCCTGCTGCTTCTCTGCAGCTCCACCCTCGCCCAAGGCACGAATGAGACGGCCTCGCCTGAGCACTCGTCCATATCTTCTACACCGACTGCCTCCGGCTCCACTCCCTCCTCGTCCTCGTCCTCGTCGACCATCCTCTCGTCTGCGTCGCTCCCAATAGCCGCGCATCCTTCCATCTTGACATGCCAGTTTCGCACGATTAACTACATCACGCACACGCTTCCGCAACAATGTCTCAAAACCAGCTGGTCGGCATCTACCAAGGCTGCAGCCGAGGCAGCGGCTTCGGAGCCTGCAAGCTCTGCTGGGACAGAGCCAGCAGCAGCAAACGAGGCAGTGGAAACTCCCAAAGAAGCACCAAGTAGATCTGGTATAACCGAAACCGCGTCGTCCAATACTGCATCGGATAGCTCTGCTTCCACGGTATCGGAACCAGCTCCACAGGAGTCTGAGCCCTCGTCTACGTCCAGTTCCCCCGCAACTGCAGAGCCCGAAGCCGAGACCGACTCACCGCTCGATAACGCCAACTTCCTTTCCTTTGAAGAATGGAAGAAACAGAATCTTGCCCGAGCTGGACAGTCGCCTGAGAATGTAGGACAGGGACGGGCATCTGGTGGAAATGCTGTCAGAAGACGGCCAATCAATATAAACAACGCTCTGGATTCCTTGGGCGAGGACACTGAGATAGAGTTGGACTTTGGTGGCTTTGGCAATACTGGGCAAAATGAAGACAGTGATTCTCGCTGGGCATCAGGGACCAAGAATGACCCATCCAAGACGTCTGATAACGGCGAAGGTGTCCCTCCAAGTTCACGAGCTCGAAGCAAAGACGCCGGCAAAACATGCAAAGAACGGTTCAATTATGCCTCCTTTGACTGCGCAGCTACCGTCCTCAAAACAAATTCGCAATGCAAGAGTTCTTCATCCGTATTGGTCGAGAACAAAGACAGCTATATGCTTAACGAATGTGCTGCGCAAAACAAATTCATCATCGTCGAATTGTGTGACGACATCCTCATCGACACCATAGTGCTGGCCAACTTTGAGTTTTTCTCCTCCATGTTCCGAACATTCCGTATCAGCGTGTCCGACCGGTACCCCGTTAAACTTGACCGATGGAAAGAGCTGGGCACTTTCGAAGCCCGAAATTCACGAGATATACAAGCTTTCCTGGTTGAGAACCCGCTTGTTTGGGCAAGATACTTGAGAGTTGAGTTCCTAACTCACTACGGGAATGAGTACTACTGTCCTGTCAGCTTGTTGAGAGTTCACGGCACGACCATGATGGAGGAATTCAGGCATCAAGAAGAGATGGCAAGAGGAGAAGACGATTTTGCAGAGCCTATTGAGGAGGCTGGTGAGCCTGTGACGGTTGCTGATCCAGTAGCGGATGAGATTGCGGCTCGAGGCACACCGGAAATCCCAGAGGCAGCGAAGGAAAACGAATCACAGCATCCCCAGGAGCCCGATAAGCGTGCGGAGGTCTCGCAATCAGAAGAATCGTCCACGCAGCCTTTGGAAACAGTAGCGAGTGAATCAGCTACCACCAAGTCGCCAACGGAACACACCGAAACTCCTGCGCCAAGTCACAACGAGAGTATCAGTGTCAAAAACGAAAGTCAATCGCAGCCGACGCCTGAGTCATCCGAAACCTCTTCAGTTGACACTCCAACAAAAGCTACTTCAACAACTTCCGAAATCGCTAAGGGTAGCGAACAGGTGACTTCAAATTCGTCTATAGTTACCCCTGCGTCGACTGGTCCATCCCTGAATGCAAGTTCTGTCAGTTCCACGTCCAACTCAAGCTCCACTGCCAAATCCCAAGGCAATGAGACAGTACACGGATCGAGCGACAGCAACTCCTCCGCCAAGACTGCATCCAGCTCAGGCGATCAGGCGTCTTCGCACACCCAGAGTCGCACTGCATCATCTCAAACGCAGCCACCGCCTTCGAATCCCACAACCCAGGAATCCTTCTTCAAGTCTATCCACAAGCGGTTGCAGCAACTCGAGTCAAATAGCACACTCTCACTTCAGTATATCGAGGAGCAATCTCGCATTCTGCGCGATGCGTTCATGAAGGTAGAAAAGAGGCAACTTGGCAAGACGGAGAATTTCCTGCAGAATCTCAACGCTAGCGTGGTCGCCGAGCTCAAGGTCTACCGCATGCAGTACGACCAGCTCTGGCAGTCGACGATCCTAGAACTGGAAAGCCACCGCGAGCAGTACGAGCGCGAGATCGGCGCCATCAGCACCCGCCTGACGCTGCTGGCCGACGAACTCGTCTTCCAGAAGCGCATGGCGGTCGTGCAGTCGACGCTCCTGCTGCTCTGTCTGGGGCTCGTCCTCTTCGTCCGCTCCGGCACCATCGGCGCCCAGCTCGACTCGCCCATCGTCCAGCAGATGATGGGCTCCGCCCACACGCACATTGGCAAACGAATCTTCGACACCCCGCCTGGCAGCCCCGAGGCCGGGCGGCGCGTACGCGGGTTTCGCAACATGTGGCGCGGTGACACGAGTGGTAGCACGCGCGGTAGCGGCAGCGGCCACCAGAGTGATCCTGGATTCGACCGCAGAGGTGGTCATTTGAGCTCGGATGGCGAGACGGATGGCGGACGCAGCCCTGTGCATTTCGAGTTTGAGCCCGCCACGCCGTCGAGTGCGACGCTGGAGGGGGCGGCGGGAGAGAGGGGTGGTGCGAGCGACCGCGGGTCGTCCGAGAGCCCGCAGCTCGAGCGAGCGGAGGATGTGGATGGCACGGACTTGGAGACGAAGGCTGTGCTGGCGACGCAGTCTGGTCCTGCGACGCCAAGGGGCAGTAGGGATAGCCAGCCGACATGGGAGGACGTCGGCAAGGCTGTGGGCATGCTCAAAGCGAGCGATGCTTCTGACCGAAAGCGGAGTCCTCTCCGGCGGAGTCAGAGCTATGATGATGACGGTGAGGATAAGGAGAACTACCGTAATGTTGGGGCTCAGGATGATGAGGACTCTGGGCCTGGCGAAGGTGAGGATCTTTTGGGCTTTTGATTGATGCACAGCACGCATTGCATGGTGTTTGGAGTTCTGGGCTACGATAGCATTTGGTCATATTGGATATGGAGCAGAGCGTAGGGAGGTAGTAATCTTTGAATGCATCACGTGCGTATCACGTGGCCCTCAACGTCAAGCCTCAAGATATCAGGATATGTCATCAAGATTAGCAGAACACGACTTGATATTCTTCCATCTGCATAGCCCTCGCTCTCCTATAGTCGCACTGTAATATTGGACTCTACACTGCCTGCGCAACCCTCCTGTCCTCTCGGCGATTTTACGCACCGAAACCTCGCACAGGATGGGCACCACACGCAACGCAGCGTCCCGGCCCAGATGAAGCATCTCAATTTCTCAGCGTGGCACTGGGACGCACACAGGCAGTGCCACTCGACCACATCACAGCCACCAGGCCAGCCGTAGGGCCCAAAAGCATATCGGGTGCCGAAGCCATCCGGGCGGCGAGCAGGATGCGATGCCAGCAGATTTTCGCCCCAGGCCAGGTCGCACGCGTCACGTGGGCCAATATATTGAATTTGGCACACTTCAAGCAGCGGCAGTGCAGGCTCGGATTGGTGCGCGAGAGAACTTATTTGGAGCGACGAGTTCGCCAGCCGGCGGCGGCTGCGTCTCTGTCTGGGTGGGCCGTCAACGCAGCCAATAGAGTCTGCCGCGTGCATGCTGCCCCTGTTGCTTTCCCCTCTCCGCTGAGGACGGCCAGCGGGAGGGGTGGGCGCTGCAGGTTGACGTCTGGCGGCGCGCTGGGAACGGCTCTCCATCCACCAAGCGGTTCAGGCCAACGGGACGAGGGCGCGGATTCTCGCGGGGTTTCAGCGGTTTTGCGCCTGATGCGTCTGAAACATGCCAGACTGCTGCGGCCGCTCACTGACTGACGATCGTCCAGTGCACGTGCGGTGCGACTTGTTGCGGGTCCCCCGTCCTGCTGCGGTGGAGAGCAGCGCGCTTGAGGCCGCTCTTGTCAGCGGTCGTCATCTGGGTGACTAGCATGCTCCCGGACGATGGGTGCTGCAGGTGTCGACGCATACGGCCAAGGGCCGAAGCAGCTGTCGCCCTACAAGCGCGATGATGGGGAGAGCTCGCCTCACGCCTCGTCCAGGCACGCCCGGCTGCACGACGATGACTGGCGACGTGCCCGCGAACGCCCCGACGGGAGCCAGATGATACCGTAGACGCGATTTGCGAATTGGACTCGGTGCTTCGCGCGCTGTTGCCAAGCGGGCTACGGTAGCCGGGCCGCTGGGATGGCCAGGTCATGGCGGCTCTGTTTTTGCCTGCGCCATGCTGGTTGGGGCGTGCTGCGAGGCTGCCGTGGCTTCTGGGTGGGTCGTGGCGGGCTCTGCTGGACGTGTGAGAATGATCACCTGCCCTGGTGCGTCTTTGCTGCTTTGAGGCCTGGCACGCTGGGTGGACGGGCAAGCAATGGGCGCTTGGGGAGCTGGCGTCGCCCAGAACAGGCAGCGAGGCAGCGTGGCAGCGTGGCCGGCGTCAATGGCCCCGGCGACGGGCGAGCTGTCACGATGCGATAATGGGCTCCGCAAGCTGCCTCTGCCTCTCGCGAGAGCATCGCGGCGGCCTGGGGAGCCCGATTGAGGGCAGCGAAGTCTTCCGGCGCACGGCGGGCCCTGCGGCGAGTGTCTGTGCTACAGCTGGCGGGCCGCAATTCGTCTGGCGGAGGCATATTGCAGGCATTTCGCAGGGCATTTCGAAGGCATTACTCTGGCGGGCGCGGGATTGGAGGGCGGCGCGTTTCAACAACGGCGAGCGGGCACGGCGCCGGGCACGTGAACAAGCAGTGTGGGCCAGGGCTGCGTGTGGCGGCAGCGGAGAGGCAGGAGCAGCCCGGCACCAATGCCAGCACCGCTCTCCATCACAACCTGACGCCCCGGCCAGCTCGAGTTCAACACCAACCCTCCTCCAGTCCTGCATCGTCAACTCGCTCGCCCACGTCCTTTGGCTGCACCGCACACTCCGCCGCTGCCCGCCCGCCGCCGCCAGCCCGCGCATCCTACGCCCCGGGCGCCCGTGCCCCGAGCCTCCAGGTCAGACGTGCCGTAATTCACTGCGAGCGCGCGTGGACACTTCGCAATTAGCGGGGTCTGCCCTTCTCCAGCCCGGCATCATCATCACCTTCGTCATCTGCACTCGCCCTCACCAGCCCACACCTGCCCTGCGCTGCCCGCGTCCTCACGCCTAACCTCCTCGACCTCACCCCGCCCCGCCGCCCAAGCTCCTCGCCGCTCTCTTAGCGACTGCGAGCCACCTCTGCCTCAACGCCCGTCACTCGACCGGCCCGCCAGCTCGTCACCCCGACCACCGCCCCGACTCACCACGCCGTCCTCCCCTACCGTGTCTGCTCCCAGCATCCTTGCTGCAGCCGCCCACGACGGACCTCATCGCCCAGACTCCGCGCTCCTCGCACCAGCTCCTCAACTACAGCCCGCCGTACTCGCGATAGCAATCCGCGCTTAGGGGCGCCCCGAGAGCCACGCTGCAGGCATCATGTCGCAGAACCGGCCATCCGCATTCTCGTCGCTCCGTATGGGTGGTCAGTTGCCCCAAGCCGAGTGTGGCACCCCCGCTAACAAAGCCGCAGAGGTTATCCGCGAAAAGGTTCAAGACGGACTGACGGGGGACTACAAAGACCTCGCGTACACACAGTGCAAGATCGTGGGCAATGGCTCCTTTGGCGTCGTCTTCCAGACCAAGCTGTCGCCCAGTGGCGAGGACGCCGCCATCAAGCGAGTCCTACAGGACAAACGCTTCAAGGTGCGTTTGCGTTTGCCCGCGCTGCTGCCCGAATCTCCCACTTGTGCTGACTCTTCTAGAACCGCGAACTGCAAATCATGCGCATCGTCCGGCACCCCAACATCGTAGAGCTCAAGGCCTTCTTCTACAACAATGGCGAGAGGGTATGTGTCTTGCCCCGCCGGTCACGCCCCGTACATTCCAAGCACTGCTAACTTGGGCAGCCACAGAAGGACGAAGTCTACCTCAATCTCGTGCTGGAATTCGTCCCCGAGACCGTCTACCGCGCCTCCCGATATTTCAACAAGCTGAAGACTGTAATGCCAATTCTCGAAGTCAAGCTCTACATCTACCAGCTGTTTCGCTCGCTCGCGTACATCCACTCACAAGGCATCTGCCACAGGGATATCAAGCCGCAGAACTTGCTGCTGGACCCGGCAACTGGTGTGCTGAAGCTGTGCGATTTCGGCAGCGCCAAGATCCTGGTGGAGAATGAGCCCAATGTCTCGTACATCTGCTCGAGATATTACAGGGCCCCAGAGCTAATTTTCGGGGCCACAAACTACACCACAAAGATCGGTATGTCATTTTTCGCACGTTCTGTGCCTTTCTCTGGAATTCTCGGCTAATCTGTTACCTTGCAGATGTTTGGTCTACAGGCTGTGTCATGGCGGAGCTGATGCTCGGACAACCTCTGTTCCCCGGTGAGTCTGGCATTGATCAGCTTGTCGAAATCATCAAGGTCCTCGGGACTCCCACGCGGGATCAGATTCGGACCATGAATCCCAACTACATGGAACACAAGTTCCCGCAGATTAAGCCGCACCCGTTCAGCAAGGTAGGCCCGCTTTTCTCCACTCAAAACTTCACGTCACTTACAACCCAAAAGGTATTCCGCAAGGCCGACCCCAGTGCCATCGACTTGATCTCAAAGCTGCTGGAGTACACACCGACGCAGCGACTCTCGGCCATCGACGCCATGGTCCAGCCGTTTTTCGATGAGTTGAGGGACCCGGCCACAAGACTCCCAGATTCACGCCACCCCAACGGACCGTCGCGTGATTTGCCCGAGCTTTTCAATTACACACTGCACGGTAAGTTGCCTCGTATCTAAAATTACAAGTGGACCATCTAATTTATTGCAGAGCTATCGATCGCCCCTCACTTGAATCGACAGCTGGTTCCTCCACACGTCCGCGCAGCTCTGGCAGCCCGCGGCCTGGATTACGAGTCGCCCTCTTTCAAACCCCTTATGAAGGATGAAATGATGGCCCGGTTGGACTAAACGTCCGACCAAAAAGCATGCGTCACGATATTTGTTTTTGATTCCAACGGCGTGGCATTGCGTTTCCCCCGCCCCTGGAGCCTGAATATCTCTGCCGGACGGATGCGATTTCCCCGGGACTCTTTACGGCGTCTATTTGTTGGATGGCATACATTGCCGTGAAAGGGCCATTCCCTGCAGTATTTTGTCACGGCTCAAAACGACACGATTCTCACTCGCCACTCCCGTCGAATTGGCTTTTCATCACGTCTTGTCCTGGAACCCTTAGTTCTCTCCCCTTTCACCCCCGTGATGTCAACTGCGAAGATGCGTAGATATAATCCTTCCCACTACCCTTTCATTCCTGGACTGGACGACGGACAGAACACTAAATTGCCAGTGGCAGTCGTGAAGTCGCAAAATCCGATTGATATTTGGCAACGAACACGGATATTCTAGGAGAATGTTTCTCTCTATTTTGAGATGGCGGGTTCGTTACGAATAATCGTTGCTTGGCATTCGGGTGTTGTCTTTTTCTGGCTCTCACAACCTGCTGCACTTTAGGAACTGCCGTCCTCCTTCTACTATCCTGGCCCGGACGACCTGGCTACTTTTGGTCGCCTTCAATACGGGTATTTAGGATTGTGTAGCTAGAACAAGGACGGTTTCTACGTGTTGGTGGGCTGAGTGGGAGAACTCGAGATTCAGGCACAGGAGGGCGGGCTATGCTCAACCTTTGTTCTTGCTTTTCTTCTCTTCTTCTAGCCTGGTGGCTGTCTTCTTTATGATCAAGTAGATTTCTTCTGGTCCGGGTCCCCCTTTTCATTTTCTCTTCTTCTAGGCGTGGTTGTTCTCCTTCCCATCCCATCCCATTCCCGGTTCTCTGCCAGCATGGAATACCTCATCGAACGAACCGTCTCGCCTCCCATCCGATCCATCCGTCCGTATCTTGCATACTTTCCAAGTTTTCCCTCTGTTGGCCATCTCCCGTTCTTGCAAAGGGGGCTTTGGGGCGGTGCGGGGAAAGGAACCGTTGGGTTCTTTCATGCATCTGCAGATGGCGTCTTTTTCAGTGCTCCCTTTTCATTATCTGTGCGTGTTTTCTGAGGCCATTGGTTTGAGTTGGGCAAGATGACCGTAACGGCCTGAGGGGGAAGTAGGGAGTGCGAATGATGGATTGGAATATCGGGACAGCAAATGGGATGGGCTAAAGCGGGGAGAATGGGTTACGGCTCTTAGTTCAATGGTGCTGTGCATGCAGGCGTGTTTGGTCGGAGTAATGCTCCAGCTGGGTCAACAGGCCGAAGTGGTGTTTAGGTAGCATGGCAGTGATAAAACAGTTCTCTAAGTCTTGGTTAAGGGCTCGCTGTGATATGGTGATATGGTGATGGAGGGATGAGTCACGGAAAGAGATTTGTGAGGTATTGATGCTGCCATTGGATTATCGTAATGCTAGCTAAAATAATTGCTTTGAGGCCTTCTCCATCGATCAAAGATTAGAGAGAACGTCTTAGTCCCCAAGTAACTGGAGTAGTTGATCACACAGCTTGCCTAAACTGCATCGAATTCTTTGAGAACTTATAGGGGCACAGCAAGTTGTTGGAAATAAGCAGAATCCTAAGTCCAAGCCCTGCAATTGAATGGATAGTGAACAGTATATCTGTGAAGCTGAAGTGGTTTCGAGCACACTTCTACATCATAGATTACCGTACATCCACTCTAGGTGAGCTTGCGTACACTTGCCTAACACCGCCTGGGCTACCCTGGTACGTTACTAAGAATTGGAAAACGACAGTTTTGACAACCCTAATAGCTCTCCGGGCCACCCCAATCGGTGTTGGACTGCCTTGGTGAAACGCCCCTGTTTAGCGCAGTTCACCAGCGCCTTGGACGAGCTTCTCCATCACCTGCAGACGCGACGTACATACGCGCATCGAACCTCAACACCTCACTCCTCCACCAACACCATCATGTCCGACTATCGAAGAAACGGCAAGCGCAAGCGCAGCCGCGAGCCACGAGATCGCTATCTCCCCGTCCCCCGCCAGCTGCGCGAAAACCTCCTGTCGATTGCGGACTCGCCGTTAGCTGTCCCCGCCAAGCAGGCGCAAGAAATCGCGACGCTGCTGGGTGACAATTTCCATGACGAGCAGATCAAAAATGAGTTCTTTGATTTGCTGGTGAGGCTGTGAGTGAGGCGCTTTAATGGAAACTGTGATGTGTTGGTAGCTAATGGTTGTAGGATCCTCGAACAGCCCTTCAAGATTCCCTTCGCCGCCGCGGTCATCCTTTACGGAAACGATTCGAAGCCCGAGATTACGACTGAAGCTTTGAACAGGGCGGGTGAGCGCTTGCAGGAAGCGTTCAACGCTGGGCATTGGCGAGATGTCAAGCTGTTGGTCCGATTCTTGGCTTGCCTGCAGAGGCTATTTGAGGGAGACGGGGTCATCCCGCTGTTGGACAAGCTGTTTGACTGTGCTGTCGACTTGCAGAGTGCGAATGAGAACGATGTGAGTGTCCCCAGATACTGGAGCGCTTCTCAATACAAGGCTAACTTCAATCCAGGTCGTTGGCCTCGAACTCGTCAAGATTATCCTGCTTACTCTTCCTTACGCCATGGGTTACGCAGAGACCAGCATCGTACCACAAGCTCTGGAGCTTCTCGAAAAGACGGAGATCGTCGCTTCCATGAAGCTACCAATTGAGGAGCTATTGGAGTCTTATACTGGTTCCACGGATGAAAAGCCTGTCCACTATCTCAGCGTCATTGGGCTTCTCCAATTACAAATGCGGAATGAAGAGGCGCATGGATGGGAGTTCGCGATTCTTCCGCCATTCCCGAAGTTCATCTCGCAGCAGGTTGATGGTCAGGATGCCATGGTTACTACACCCACCCTCCATCCGTTCCCTTCGCTCGACATCGTCTCGCCCGTCAACGCAGGTCCGAATCCACTGTTCCCGGAAGCATACTTCTCGCTATATGCCGACCAGGAGGTAGAAACTGTCCCGAAAACGGACGACATCGCTGCTTCACTCATCCGAGACACCATCGTCGATACTATCAACATTCTTGACTTCAATCGGGATGCCGTCGCAACTCTACTGGTCAATATGGATAGCTACTGGCATCCGGAGACTTTCATCAAGCGCGGCATGCCATTTGATAAGATCCGACTCGGCGAAGTTGAGGAGGGCAAATCGACTTGGAAGCCGGAGGATATGGTCCTCGATGGGATCTTTTCTCAGATCTTTACTCTCCCTAATCCGGAACGCAAAATTGTCTACTATCATTCGGTCATTACAGAGACCTGCAAGAAAGCTCCTGGCGCTGTTGCACCGAGTTTGGGTCGGGCAATTCGATTCTTGTTCCGTAACCTTGACGTTATGGACCTTGAGCTTGTTTCACGATTCCTGGACTGGTTTGCCCATCATTTGAGCAACTTCGACTACAGGTGGAAATGGCAGGAATGGTAAGTCGTTAGCATTATTCCATCCGGACTACAAGCTAATATGAGTCAGGGTCGAGGACCTTGTTCGCTCCGACTTACATCCAAAGAAAGCCTTCATCATCGCCGCCATAGACAAGGAGATCCGACTTTCGTTCGGCAAGCGCATCAAGAAGACCATTGATGAGGAGTTTAGATATTTGATCACTGAAGGCAAGGAGAAGGAAGTTCCAGATTTCAAATATGCTGATGACAGTAAGTGCTAACAAATTTCAAGTGGAGACAGACATTAACAAAGCTTATCAGGAACTCCGTACGCTGCCGAAGGCGCACTCCTCCAAGTCCAGATCCGAAAGAAGGCACCGGATGCCGAGATTCAAGAAACTATCAACGTTATTCACGTTAAAGCCGCCGACGCCGGAATCAAGGACGTTTTGATACCGTCAACCGACGCTTTCGTCACTTGCATCTGCTTTATTGGTTCAGTTTCGTTCTCGCATTTAATTTCTATAGTCGACCGTTGCAAGGAGCGCCTTCTCGCAATAGGCCAACAATCAGAGCCAGCGAGGCGCCAGATAATCGCTAGCATCGTCGCCTACTGGAAAGATCAGCCCGGAAACGCTATCAACATCATAGACAAGTTGCTCAACTATACCATCCTGACCCCGATTTCCGTCATTCAATGGGCCTTGGCAGACCACCTCGGAGCTGGCGAGGCTCTTGCCGAGAGCTGGACGTACGAGATGGTTGCGAAGACCGTCGCTAAAGTCACCAACCGTGTTCGCCAAATCGTTGCAGCGAGGCTGCAGGAGGGCCTGACCCAGGAGCAGATCGAGAGTATTGACGAGACGCTTATCAAGGAGCGAGAGGGGATGCGCAGTTATTTCAAATTCATTGACGACGCGGCCAGTGTTGTTGCTCTTGGCACCAACGATGCCTACATTGAGAAGGTGACAAACGGCGAGTTGAACGCTGAGAATGCGGCCGTGATCAAGGCCTGGGGAAAGCGCTGGCAGGTTGTCTTCCAGCGAAAGGCGCATGTCGAGGAGACGGTAGTCGGGGAGCAAGCCGTGGATGCGAGGGTGAAGCTGCTGCCTACCAAGATGGAGACCGACTTGAAGGAGGAAACGCAGAATGGCAACGGTGCAATGGAGGGCTTGACGATTGAGGAGATTGAGTGAGCAAGCGACAGCCTCGTTCAGTGTCATGCAGGTCTTGAGGATATGGGTGGTTTGGGTTTAGCGGTCATCAAGGGTGCTTCTTGGGACGGTCTTCAAAAGGAGTTCTCAGGAATCTGATAGGCTGCAACCCTCTGTACAATAGATAGCTAGCTGAAGCAAGCCACGTCGAATGGACCAGATTCGAATAACGTGACTAGTTCTGTTATTCCCCAGAGTGCACGGCCGCTGAACCCTGACACAACTCGCTAAGCATGTCGCCCGCTTCAAAGATCGCATCTCTCGCGCAAAACGCGACTCCTCCACGCCCATCCAACCCCATCCGTCTCTCTGCCCTGTTCGACCTCTGTCCCATCTGCAAACCGTCGCCGCCCATCTTGCAAACACCTACCGCAGATATGCTCGCCGCCACTTTCCGCACCGCGCGCGCCTCAGGCGCATCCGCCGCCCTCTCTACGCGTGCCTTCTCCTCCACCGTCCTCGCGTCATCGGCGTCCATGTCCATCAGCGGCCGCCTCGGCGCTGCTCCTGAGGAGCAGTCGACCGCTTCTACCTCGATCGTGAAGTACCTGGTTGCGACTAGCTATGGCAAGACTGAGAATAGGAAAACGAGCTGGTTCAGGGTTTCGGCGTTCACGGATGGGGCGCAGAAGGAGTTTCTGTTGAGTTTGCCTAAGGGGTGAGTGGTTCCCTTCTTTCTTGCGTTTCTATGTTTGGATGGATTGGGCGTTGTTGAGGTTTGGGAATAGGTTGTTGTAGGTGCGATGAGCTGCGACTGCTGAGGTCGGAGACGAGGGATATGATTGATGTGAATGGATCTAAGCAGCTTAATTCTGGATGGTGGGAATCCATGCTAACTTTTATTCTTCTGCAGTGCCCTCGTCCATGTGAACGCCGATGCGCGCATGGAGCAGTATACCGATAAGGACGGCAATCCGAGGACCTCCCTCAACCTCGTTCAAAGTACGTTCTTCGGCTCAGAATCTTCCTTGCTTCCTTAGCGTAGAGCGTGTTCTGACGACACTTTTCCGTCTACCCTAATGAGTACTCTGCTAACCTTGGTTATCTAGGGTCGATCGATGTCCTCAGCAGGCCCAGGCCCCAGATCGAGGAGAACGAGGAAGGCTTGGTCCGGGAAGCCAGCGGATAGCAAGTACACGATGTATCCCGTCAAGCATTACTCCACACGATATACTCTGAAATGGAGATGGACGGGGGCGAATCAGCCGAAGAAGACATGGATGACTCCGATTTCGACTTTTTCTAGAGGTCATACGACTGTCATTGAACCTTAGGGGACACTCTCGATGGTACTCTAAATGGGCTTCGTTTCTTTTGTATGTACAATCTCCACTCGGAGGCCGGGGTTGGGGAGTTGCTGCGGCCAGGATGGGTGTTTTAGTAGCAATGTAATGCTTATGTTTGCGAAGAGCAGGCCTCACCAACAGCATCCAACGACTACTGTTCATGCATGCTACAGTAATCAACTGGGGAGTTTCAAAGGAAACATTAGAGTAGCGAGTTTTGAGAAGTAATTCTTGGGCTTGCTTGTAATCGACTGCCTTTACGGTTTAAGCTATCTAAGAATCATCAAGATGATCACCAATGCATGGAATCATGGTAAACTGAGCTCGAAGAGCAGGCCCAATGCCCAAATTTGCCGATTTTCTCTAACCTCGTTCAGGGCTATTTTCATCTACCACAAAGGGCTGGCATTACCGAATTTGTACTATGGTCTATGATTGTTACCAGCTCAACAAAGAAGGACCAACTACTATATTCATATATCACCGTAATCAAGCTTGACAGAATACATCTTATCTCTCACGTGACCTCGAACAGGCTAATTCAAGCTGACGCCAGCCGCCAGCAGGTAACACTTCCGCCTGCTTGTAGATCAATCATTCTAACCATCCGACATTTTAGGGCTTACAAACCCCAGAAAACCCCCAGCGAGGCCTAGGAAATCCCGAAAAGCCCCCGTCTTACAACCTTCATTGGAAGCTTGATTGTTCCACCTACCTATGTAGGAATACCTCCGTTGCTCGCGAGGCTGGTAAGGCACAGTTGGATGATGTACCTTTATGGATTTCAGGCTTCAATCTCTTCGGCTAAATGGGTGCTATAAAGCAAGCCATTCCCTCCGCCGTCATTATGCTCCTAAGCTCTGTTATTATTCTTGGCCTGCTACACGGGATTTGCGCAACATCTATTCCACCCCCAACAGGTCGATATCAGGTAGGATCTTCGAAGCATGTATTCGATCATATCACACAAGATGATCCGGTTGCTCCAAACAAGACCGGTACTTCACTTCTGATTACACTCTTCTACCCGACGAAGAGCATTCCCGACGGCCCTCAACCATACATCGACAACACCACTGCGAGTGTCTATGAGAGTGCCTGGAACTACACTGCTGGAACCATCGAAAAGCTCACCTCATCCGTACAGCAAAATGCTCCATTTCTTCAAGGCCACAACGACGAGTCATATCCAACGTTGTTATTCGGGCCTGGTGGAGGCGGTCCCCCATCAATCCTGTACACTGCTCTACTGTCAGAGCTGGCATCTCATGGCTACACAATCGCCGCCATAGACCACCCTTACGAGCAGCCATATCTACAGTACCCCGATGGAACCAGTATCTACGGCCTTCCAGTAGTCTACAGCTTCTCCCTGGAGCTCTTCAATGCGATATACGAAATGCGAATCAAGGACTTTGCTGCGTTAATAGACTACTTCCCAACTTTCACAAGCAAGCTCAATGCGCCCTTTAACACCACCCACTACGCCGTGTTCGGGCACTCGCTCGGCGGCGCATCTGCGATAGGTGCGATGCTACAACTGCCATCCGTCATAGCTGGCATCAACATGGACGGCCTCCTCACCGGCGATCCAGCCAACACTACTGTTGGTGTACCAGACGAGAAGCGGAACGTGATGATGTTCGGCCAGCAGGACCACACGCCCGAGAACGAGGGCACGTGGGGCATCTTCCCAAAAGCGCAGACGGGATGGTGGAGAGAGATTACGGTTGATGCTGCTCTGCATTTGGACTTCAGTGATGCGGCGATCTGGAAAGGTCTGAGGAAGAACGATCAGCCAGAGGTGGGGACGATTAATGGACCGAGGATGGTTCAAATTGTGAGGGCTGTGGTGACTGCGTTCTTTGATAACTTGATGGGGGAGAAGGAGGCGATTTTGGATGGGCCGGAGAAGAAGTGGCCAGAGTTGAACTTTGTGGGGTATGGCAATGGGAATTATACGTATAATTGCTTGAAGGAGGGGTTAGGGCTAGGAACACTGTAAGAGACGTTATTTAGTTGACTATCCTTGTATATCGATCAGTGTTCACAGTGTTCCACATCGCCTCGTTATCACATACGTAATCTGCCCCTTTCCCTTACCTCTCTACCATGGTTCCACGCTTCCAGACTGCATGCCTCGCAAAAATTTCCCTAACCTAACACGGAACAGTATCTCTAATCTCTGACTCAGCAGACTCGGCAGAAAGTACATATTCCCCCTCTTCCCCCGCCCCTCTTCTCCTCTTCGGCCCTCGGGCCGTCCACTCCTACCACCACAAGATCTCATCCTCTGTATTTTGTATCACCATATCTTTGTATATTTGGGGTAGGGCATAGCTGGCCCTTGTAGACTATGTCATCTCGACCCTTCCCCGGCCATGTATTCCCAACTTTTGTTACTCTTTCGGGGCAGCGTGTTCACAGATACTTAGGCGGAATTAGATCGTCAGAGGGTTATGAGATCTTGTCAAAAGAGATGGAAATCTAGGAGGTTTTGACCCGAGAAGGGTTTCCTCCGATCAATATATGAGATTTCTCTACGTTTGTGAGATTTTTGATGTGAAGTGATGTGTGTGATGTGCGTGACTTGAAATGTATGAGGTGTCCTCTGCGAAGTAGGTCATTAACAAGCATTGCTTAAGAGCGGTCCCTACCCAACAAGGTACCTAGAGTATAGTAGGATAGAGCTATTCAAGATAACGGCGCACGAATGAGCTGATGGAAAGACCTCAAAGTTTCTAAAAGGGACTTGGACTCTTTTGAGCTTCGTTCGAGTTAAGCTCCGGTGTATCGGTTCAAGTCTTACACGCGAAGGGCTTGAACATAGATGGCAACTAGCTCGTGCCAATGGCATGGTTTTAATGATAAGACAACGAGTATAGCAATGCTAGCATTGCCGTCGTCTATTAGCTACGCTGTGAATGAAGCGACACCTTGAAGGCACGTGCCCAGATTTCGGCGGCGAGAATCGACACCTCCGAACATCCCTTCAGCATTTTTCTGGGAGCATTTTGAACGCAACAACCACTCCCATTGTCACAATGGCTCCTGTAAGAGCGCGCATCCTCTGGGGCCACGCGCCCCGAGTACGATCAGTCATTCGAAACCGGCGCGGCTTTGCTACGGTTACCAGTGATGCGCGGTATAGTCCCCTGGACACAGTGACCACTTTCAAAACATTCTAACACTGTATAGACCCTACGATGTCATCGTCATTGGTGGCGGCCATGCCGGATGCGAAGCCAGCGCTGCCGCCGCTCGCTCAGGAGCCCGTACCGCCCTCGTCACCCCCAAGCTCGACAACCTGGGAGTCTGCTCCTGCAATCCCAGCTTCGGAGGAATTGGGAAGGGCACAATGCTGCGGGAGATCGATGCGCTGGATGGAGTTGTCGGGCGTATTGTGGATAAGGCAGGCGTGCAGTTCCGAGTCCTCAATCGGACGAAAGGCCCTGCAGTCTGGGGCCCTCGCGCGCAGATTGATCGGGCGCTGTATAAGAAACATATGCGTGAAGAGATGGTTGGCTATAAGAATCTGTCGATCGTAGAGGGCAGTGTGGCGGATATCATCGTGGATAAGGAGGGGCAGCAGGGGAAGGGGAGGCATGGGAAGATTACCGGGGTAAGGTTGGAGGGTGGGCAGGTTATACCGGCCAGTAATGTGGTTATTACGACGGGGACTTTTCTGGGAGGGGAAATTCATATTGGTAAGTTGCGTTGCTGGGAGTGAAGTGACGCTTGCTGAGTGTATACAGGTTTGGAAGCATACCCTTCAGGGCGTATGGGCGAAGCTGCGACATTTGGCCTCAGTAAATCTCTGCGAGACGCAGGCTTTCAGTTAGGACGACTGAAGACTGGCACTCCACCACGGTTGGACGCCAAAACTATCGACTTCAAGATACTCGAGAAGTCACCGGGAGACGACCCGCCAATGCCCTTCAGCTACCTGAACGAGACAGTATCTGTTAAGGATCAAATGCTCTGCCATATAACTCATACTAATCACGCGACCCACGACATCATCCGAGCGAATCTGGACAAATCTATCCACATCCGGGAAACAGTCAAGGGCCCTCGATACTGTCCCTCGCTAGAATCTAAAGTCATCCGATTTAGCGACAAGACCCAACACATTATCTGGCTAGAGCCTGAAGGCTTCGACAGCGACGTAATCTACCCCAATGGAATCTCCATGACTGTCCCAGCTGAAGCACAAGAGGCCATGCTCAAGACAGTCCGCGGACTAGAAAACGTGACCATGCTACAGCCTGGCTACGGCGTGGAATATGACTACGTCGATCCCCGCAGCCTACGATCAACCCTTGAGACGAAAGCAATATCCGGCCTCTTCCTCGCAGGCCAAATCAACGGCACCACAGGCTACGAAGAAGCCGCCGCGCAAGGCATCATTGCCGGTATCAACGCGGGTCTAGCCGCACAATCTAAAGAACCCTTCTCCTTGTCAAGGGCAGACGGGTATATCGGTATCATGATCGACGACCTCATCACAAAAGGTGTATCAGAACCCTACCGCATGTTCACCTCCCGCAGCGAATACCGCATGTCCGCGCGCGCCGACAACGCCGACACCCGCCTCACAGCCATGGGCCGAGCCGCCGGCGTCGTTGGAAACAAGCGTTGGGCAGCCTTCGAGAACGAAGCAGAGGAAATGGCAGCGCTCACGACAATCTTGCAGGAGAAGATCCTCAGCTCACCTGAATGGGTGGCTTCGGGCTTCCGCGTCCGCGTAGATACAACGCGTCGCTCAGCTTACGAGCTCTTGCGAATGCCAAACACCTCCACGGCCTCTCTCGTTGATTCCTTGCCAGATATCAAGCAATTCTCGCCGCATATCCGCAATCGGGTGGAGATTAACGCGGTTTACGCGCCGTATGTGGTCAATCAGACTGCTATGCAGCAGCGCTACCTCATTGACGAGGGATTGAGGTTGCCAGAGGATCTGGATTATGAGGGAGTTCATGGACTGAGTGCCGAAGAAAAGAAGCTGCTGCAGGTGACGCGGCCGGAGAGCGTGGGACAGGCGAGACGGATCGAGGGTATGACGCCCCATGGAGCCCTCAGGCTCTTGCATTATGTGAAGCGGTCACAGAAGGATGAGTCGAGAAGTCGGAAAAAAGAGGAGGTAGAGGGGCGGAAGAGGATCTTTATGGACGCTGGGGTTGAGTGATCCAGAAATGCTGGGTTAGGGTGTTTATATGTGGATGCATTCCAAGGCGTTCTTGGATCGAGTATTACTGGCGTTCGGGAGGATGGCATATAGGCCGAGGACGCATACTCCTTTTTGTTGCCGTAGATGCCTATATAATACATGTACCAGTATTCATCTCCATATAATACAGCAAGCCAGGATCAATGCTCCTAAAATGTTTTGTTGGGGAAATCCGTGCAAAATAGCTCATCTTCCATCTCCCTCCTCTGTCTCGTCCTCTTTCTCCTTGGTCCGATCCTTCCACGCCAGCGCCGCCGTGACGGCCAGCACGATTCCGAAAGTTCCTCCAATCACCATCCTCCCCCTGAACCCCTGTTTCTTTTTCAGGACCTCATCGTCTCCCAGAATCTTCACCGCGTCCTTCGTCCAGATATAGCTAGCGCCAGACCACAGCGTCGTGGCGGCTACCACGCCTTGCAACCCTGTCACTATCGTCTTGACGCCTTCAGCCCCACCCAGCACCTCCGCGACGGGCTTCAGCAGGCTCTCGCTACTCCCGGCAGCAGCGGGTACGAGCAAAGGTAAGGTGAGAGTAGCACCGATGAGGCCGAGCTGCAGGAAAGTGTTCAGCTTCGAGATGATCGTCGGGTGGACCTCCGCGGACGGGAGCGAGAAATCCCAGTAGCGCGTCAGGGTCTTCGGCTCCGGCAGCGACGTCCAGCGATAGTATATCGCAGCTACCGCGAGAGACGCGTCGCGGCCTAGGATGAGGGTTGCGAGAGGCACTGTTTTTAGTCATTAGCCCCGGCGCATGGGTCAAGCACCAGTGGATTGTGCGGAAGACCTATCAAATGACGCCATTGTTCTTACGTGGGAGACTGCCGTTAATGGCGAGACAGCATACGAGCGTTGTCATGAGGATTTTGTCCGCCATGGGATCCACGACGCTACCGACGACGGTTTGCAGGTTCCATTTGCGGGCGATCCAGCCGTCGACTAGGTCGGTGATGCCGGCGTACGCGAAGAGGCCTACCGCCCAGGCGTGCTGGTTGTGCACGACGAGGTAGCCGATTACGGGGGTTGCGACGAGGCGAGAGAAGGTGAGGATGTTAGGGATGTTGTAGATGTTTTCTCGCGGAAGCGCGGAGAGGCGGGAGGCGATGTTCTGGCGGAGGGCTTTTGGTGTTAGGCGGGGTTTGGGGGAGGATGGTAATGAGAGTGTTGATGATGGTGTTCCTGATGTCGTTGATGGCGTTGATGGTGTCGATACTGGTATCTAGGAGGATTTAGTTGAGGCTCAGACTTTTTGAATTTTGTACAAAGAGTCGTTTAGTGGAATGTGGGAGTTGATTTAAGTAGAAATAGACAATATCGAGGTAGGAATAAAGAGCATATAAGGAGGATACTAAAGAAGAATCATGAGAGAAAGTACACAGAAAGGATAGAGAAAAACGATGTCAGGTCCATGGTCCTGAAATCTCATGACTGAATTCTAGCGTACAGCTCGATCTGGCGCAATTACGCGAAGTCATATATCTTAGGAAAACACGGTCGTTTTCTCTCGAAGCCTCCCATATCGAAAATCTTGCGAATTCCAACCCATGATGGAAAAGAGCAATGAATATCCAGAAAATTGAAAAAAACGAGAAGGAAAATGCCAGTAGCAGCTTCGATTTGATAACAATGAGATACGACACTGACCTTTGCTCCCCCATCCACAATCCTCCCCTTTCCCCCATCAACTCTCAACCCCGCCCTCGTTGAGAAACCCAACCACACACCCTCACTCCACCTCACTCTCCCAAACGCCCCACAGACCCTTTCCTCCCCCCTCCACTTCCCCAACCCGCCCAAAGCCGCACCGCTCAAACCCCTTCCCCGCCCAGCCCTCCCAACACAATGCGGCACAAGAATCGCCGCCATGTCCAAAAAGCAGCTACTCCATCAGCTCTCTGGTTCAATATGATTTGCTAGGATCAGCAAAGCGCGATGGGCTAGATATCGCGGTCATTGAAGTAGAGTAGCGCAAAACCACGGACGACGTTGGCAGAGCTGGCTGACCGACCGGGGTGCGCAAGCGAGCACGTGGCTAAGGGCGCTAGTGCCCGATGCGGGGTTCACTGCATAGCCGGCCCTGGTGCGTGGCGGACGCACGGCAGGGGGTTTATGGGGACGTCATGTCGTACAAGGGTGGGCGTAGCCCAAGGGGTTCTGGAAGTATGAGGGAACAGACACAAGGAGAAGTGGATAGGGTTTTGTGGGATGGGAAGGCTTTGGGGGGTTTGTTGGGATTTGTGGGTACACTTGATTATGGAGCTCAAGATTTGATGCATATTGTACGAAGCATAGGTCTAGTGGCTTTTGTATTTGTCTATCTAGTATACTATGTACTAGTCGGTTGGACCCCATCCAGTCTCTGGCACCACCTTATTTCCGTCGGCCACTATAGGAAACTATGTACCGGTCGATTAAAGGTTTTGTATCCGATAAACGCCCCTATCATGAAGACACCGTCCCTAATGTCAATTCATTGCGTAGAAAATAGCGCGCACAATAAAACTCCCTCGCTTTCACGTATTTCCACAGGGTTTCCTTTTGACCTAGAGAGTGCTCTGTCTCTGAATTTCTCCCCTCCTTGTCGCATTAAGGTAAAAGCCGTACATCATAAAATACTCCATCCATGATGCCCATGTATCGCCGAAGACGATTTTACTAAACCTGGAAATGGTATTGGCGTAAACGTTGAAGAAATCCGTCTTGAGTCTACAGGCTTGCTGCGCTCCCCTAGGTGCTCATGCAAACGGAAAAGAGAACATAATAATAACGAGAATCGTGATAGTAATGCATCCTACATCCTGGTATAATGCGAGTTCCTAAATGACCAGAAAGATGCCAAATATGATCATGAGGCTAAGAAAGAGCCTGGCTCAGTTGGCACGACTACTGATAGTCTACTGCTAGGTCCATGTCACGAGGTCCGTAGTCGTGCATGGTAGACAAATCGGCCTGATAGTGATCCATGTGGTTTATGTCGCGTTGTCGTATTTCTTGTACAGAAATGTCGGGATGAAATGGATCTACTTGATTGAATAGGCCACTGGGTGGCAGACCATGACCCGACGTCGATGACGCTGAATATTGAAGATGTTCCTGCTGTGGAGCAGATGCTGAAACTGCTGTAATGTGAGGTCGACTTGGATTATGTACGTAATGTGACTGCTGTTGATCGAAACGTGACTGAGATTGGTCGTATTGTGGCTGAGCTTGTTCATACTGACGTTGGACTTGATCGAAACGCGGTTGCGCTTGGTAAGAGTAGCCAGAGACTACACCGTCGCGGGGGCCTGGGGCATTACCGAAGCAATACATTGGCGGAGGGGGGTAGACAATTGTCTGCGCGTAGGTAGGCTGCCCGATGACTCCTTGGTAGCCCACAAGCATTTTCGGCTCTTCGTCAAGGAGACCAGCCCTGAAGTTTTGCTCCTCGATGAGCTCTTGACGGATTGGCAATGAAGATAGTGTAGACATGTCGACTGGCCGCTGCAGTTTACACTCGATCCAATCTTCCACTGAATAGTACGAGATGATGTGATGAGTAGTGCCCTTGTACTTGATGCTCATGGTCTTCTTGACCAGTCCCCCATCCTTGAAGCCGTAAGAATCGACCAAAGATCCAAGAATACGGCGTTGCTCGTCGGCCGTCAGGCTGTCGACGTAAGTCTGTGTTTTGGACTTTTTCGTCGGATCCGCTGGCGGAGAAGGCTTGACTTCTGCCTTCACCTTTGCCTTGTTGTCAGAATCGGATCCCTCGTCGGTGCTTCGCTTCCGTTTGACAGCTCGCTTCTTTTCACCCGGTGGAAACGGCTTCTCGAGCTCTCGATATATTAAAAAGTTACCCATGATACGACTAGGACTCCAAGTCAACCCATCGGTCCAGCGCTTGATTCCTGATGCGTTCTCTTCATAGACAAAGATAGAACCACTTTTGATCTGATCTGCTCGTTCTTTGTCGTGAGGGCGCCGAGGAACGTGCATGAGAACTCCCTGGAGGCAGCCTTCTACCACGAGTAGTCCATCGTGAGTCGTCTGAATGGCGCCATTTAGCGTGGGTGCAAATTTGGCATCGCTGGATTGTTCCTTGCGAAGTGGAGCACCTGACAAGGAGGGGAGCGAAGAACGTGATCGGACTGGTACGCCGTGGTGCTCTGGTGAGCGTGGTCGGACTGGAAGCGGTGCAAACTCCGGGGAGCGTCCTCGGACGGGCAATGCCGGGAAATCGGGTGATCGCGGTCGGGTTGGTAATGGTGCATACTCAGAGATAGATCGGATTTCCCTGCCGAAAGATTGGTTGCCATACGAGTACGACTGGGAAGGATCACTGGCGGCCGGGTACCCTAGGCTGGTGTTTGAATGTGATGCACCTCCGCCTATGCTTTCGATATTATACGCCTCGTACGTAGGATGAGTTTGACGACGGATATACGACGGCTCGTTTGATGACAGAGGCATGGTGCCTGGATAACTTTGCGTGTGAGCCATTCCAGAGTTTCATACAGATATTGTATACTGGATCTTGGAATTGGCGAATTGGTGGTGCTGGTGGGATAGAGCGTATGAACAAGTCGATGGCGCGGTGCCGATAAGAGGAAACAAATTGGCACCGCAGCGAGGGAACTATGGATAACAATCGGAATCGCAGCACTCAAGCAGCGTCGGGATCCTGAAGGAGGCGGTGCGAGGTTGACACATTAATTGGCTTCGTAGTGAATGGATATCTAGCTTAGTGCTCGCTAGCGAAGACTCTCTGATCCCCACGAAATGGGCAGAACCACACGTGGAGCTCGGTCTGATGGGCTTCGGCGGCATGTGATTTGCGCACCCGAATATGTTGCTAGAAGGATTAGAAGAGGTTCAATGAGTGGCTGACGAGTCTAATGGCGCATATGAACCTGAAGAGGGGAGAGTGAGGGGTGCGGGCACGAGGCTATGTCATACCTTTGCGGGCCCAACGAGCTCCAGAGAGGCGGTGGCCCAAGAAACAAACGATGAAGACGCTAGAGCTGCGGATGATTGAAGTTGCTTTTTCGAAGAAGTGGTAAGGGCAGGCCGGAGTCTAGGCTGTTTGGTCGGCGATCCCCCAGGTACGGCGCCGTGTCGGGCTAGCAACTAGCTCGAGCGAGAGAATGAGACGCAGCTAACAGCCGGAAAAGACACAGAACAGATCAATTGGGAGGTGCTGGGCTATGTTCGACGCAGAAGAAGGGCGAGAGAGCGAAGTGAGGTCGAGATAGTCCGGGAGCTGGACGGCCAGGTAGTAGTCATAGAGGCTCGCTTGGCTTGGCGGCGAAGACTCGCGTCCGGGACGAGGTTTGGACGGCGAATGGGAGCAGCGGGCCAGGGACAGTGGAGTAGAGTAGGATGGTGAGGCCGGGGAGCGCGGCGTTCTCACTGGCAGCGTTCTGGAAGCAACAAGGCGAGAGTTGGAAAGGGGAGATGCTTCGCGCGCAGGAGGCGTGGTAGGGCAACAGGACAGTAACATCCAGCAGGCCATCCCAGCGGCGCTATCGATAATATGGGCGTGGAGTGGTGTGGGCTTGAGCTCCTCAGGCTACTCCACAGCCTTCACGCTCGGCCAAACGCTCCGGCCAGCCCCCAGCGCGCGCACGGTCTGGCCTGCCGCCCTGGAGACGATCAGCTATCGGAACTGGTAGTCTTCTCTTTCTCTTGCTGTCTGCTGTCTGCTGTCTGCTGTCTGCTGTCTGCTGTCTGCTGTCTGCTGTCTGCTGTCTGCTGTCTGTCTGCTCTTGGGTTGCTGTCTGCTCCAACTCTTCACAGCTGTCTGCTTCCAACTCTTCAGAGCTGTCTGCTCCCACCTCGAGCGGCTCAGAATCCATGGCAGGCCGGACTCGCACCGCATGTGGGCGGAGCTGGGCCGGCGAACGGCATCGCGTTTCCTGGTGAGAGCCCGAGGTCGGATGGTCGTGCTTGGCCAGTGGAAATTGTGGAGGAGAGGCCCATGAAAGTTGCGCAACGCCAACACCTGAGTCGCGCCTCATCAGGGATTTGCAAACGTCAACCGCGCTTCGGGCCCACTCTGCCATGGCCCTTGCGGTGTCCTTGGGGCCTCATCCTCATCGATGCCATCGCCAGCTGCGTGGAGCGCCGTCGACACCAGCCTCTTCGCGGTCTAGCACCACGCACCGCGGTCAGTGCTGGCCACGATGCACCGCGACGCAGCGAGCTGAGCTCAACGGGCGCTGGTCACGGCCGCTGGTCACAGCCCAGTGCAGAATGCGACGAGCCCTTCGGCCGCGCCAGGCTGGGGTTGCTGCGAACTTGAGCAGCGCAGCGCCACGCTCTCCGGGAGGGTCCCGGCAGCTCAACTAGACTGGCATCACCTGTCTCACCCCCCGCTTGCCTGCCTTCCTACCGGCCCTTTTGCTGGATGGGCCAGCACATGAGGAGCGGACCGTCAGCAGAGCCCACGGCAGGCGGCTTTGGACGCGCGATCCCGTCGTCTGCCGGCATCGTCGAGACGCCCGCACGCCGTGCTCTGGCCGCCGGGCTCGCGTCGCCGCTGCAGCTGGACATGCAGCGTCGACATGGAATCCATGCTGCGGCATGGCCGCCGGCGCGGGGCTCAACGACGTCCTCTCAGCGAGCATTCGACGAGCGTTCGACGACGCATGCCCCGTCACGCCGACGCCCCCTCCGTATGGCTGCGGCCCTGGCACGCCCTCGTCCGCAATATCAGGGACCCTCCGCCCTCTGTCCTCTGCTATCGGGAGCCATGGACGACTGGCATCTGGAAACGGCAAGGCTGGCTGGCTGGCTGCTGGACGGCACTCTCCTCCGCCCCCTGACCTCGTCCTCGATGCCACCAGGCAGCCCGCCATTGCTGCTATTGCTGGAGCGTCACAGCGTCACAGCGTCACAGCGTTTCCAGGCCGATCAGCTCCAGCGTGGCTTCCGAGCTTCTCCAGCGTCCAAGCACGCCGTGGGGTTGTCACCATGCATGATCTGAAGCCCCTCATGCTCGCGTCCATCAGCGGCGTGTACAGTGGCCAGTCGGGACTAGATTCACACCTCCGGCAAATCAGAGTCGATATCTGTCTCTCTCGAGCTTCCGACGCGGCTTGCAAACGCATCCAGACTGTCCTGGGTTAAGCTTCATCGCGCCAGTGCGTCCAGATCGCTGCATCTCTGTCCACGCCAGGCCAATGTGGCGTCTCGTTGCACGCTTGGGGCATCTGAAGCCGGAAAAGGCTCCAACCAGCGCTGTTCTTTTCCGGTCTGCGACTTGGAGCACGCGAATGTGCCTGTCGCAAATCTTGCCTGCAACAGCCCTCTCCAAGGTCGCCTCCACCACGCAGGAGCGCTCAGATGCACCGACATGCGCCTCTCGCAGGCCTGCGTCGGTCGTGCATGTCGGCTGACCGCCGATGCTGATCAAAGATTACCCGTTGTTGAAATAGGCCGAACTTCTTGACTTGCAGACTGCTGAAATCGGCTGGGAGCACGACACCCCCATCCTTGTGGACCACCCATCTTCGACATCATGCAAGATACAGGCCATGCCTCCAGGGCCCGCCTCACTTTCAAGTCTGTCGACGGTCTATCTTCAGCACCAGTAGAGCGTTTCAGTTACCGCCCAGACAAGTCTGCCAAGTGTCACTCCACTGCTCTTGCATCACTAACGTCAAGACGACATTTTGATACACCTGTGGTCTCTTCAAGCTTCAAATCGGCCCAGACACTCGGTTTGCTCTCTAGCTGCCGTTGCGGAAGTTTATTGCAAGTGGCGTCAGGCACGAGCTGTCGCAACCACGGCAATTGACGCTATGTGGGTCACGAGCCGCGTTCAAAGGATTAGCTTTCGAGGCCTCAGCGCCGCCAAACTCAACACCAAATCCTGTCAAAACCTTTCAATCTCTATCGTCATTTCTATTCTGGACCTCTTCGATGTTTGTCTGTATGTCGCGGTTTTGTTTCGTACCCAAAGTCTCTTATGCCGACAGCGGAGTTGGATCATGTGTTTCCCATTCCTTTCGTGCGCTCTTTGTGTTCTCGGAATCATTTCAATACCACCTCCCGCCACATGGCAGGCGGCACCGTAGGAGGTGGCCCTTCGAGCCTACGAATGGTTCGAGCCCACGAGTTTGCAGTTCGCTCGGAATATGAAACTGTGTTGAAGGAGCCTGAACAGTGTCAAGAAATTGTAAATAGACTTACCTTACGATGAGGCACTGTCCATACTCGCGTATCCCAGTATGGCAGGTCATGGTTGCGCATGCAATTAGACATCTTGCCATTTCCTTGGCTGTTCACTGTGTCGACTGGGCACAATTTATACCCTCGATACCAACCCCATTTTGTGGTACAGGTCAAGAACCACCACCTCAGTTGAAGCAGGGTACACTCCACAACCACTGCGTAAACGTCTATGTGCAGAGGCAGTTATTTCACCTCTCATGCTGGTAACTCATCCATGGCTTGCACCAGCTCCTGATTACCAACTCTGGATCCAGCATGCTGCAAGGATTCATCACACGAGAACAGCAGGCGCAATCGTGAAGTAGTGTCAATTGTGCCAAGGTCAGTCGCTCGGATTTCCCAACCTGTTCATGATCATGCTCCTCAGTACTTCCAAATCAATCGCGATGCATTCTGACTAGCGAATTACCGGCGTGGACGTTGTCCAGAGCTGTGTCTATTTCTTCGCATGGCTGAAACAGCGCTGCGCGTGTAGATCGCACCCGCAAAGTCAAATTGGGCTTCATGGCATCATGCACTCAGCCTCCACGATGGGCGCATCCTTCACATGCAACGTGCATCTGCTGGGTTCTCTGGCATGTCTCCGCATTGCCGACAGGGAGGACAGCCCCAGCGCGCATCCATACAGATTCTATGGTAATCTCCCCAGAGTTGAGAGTCGCGTCCCCACGCAGAAGCGCCTCCGCCCCACGTCTGCCCAATGATCGCCCCCACGAAACCGTTGGACGGGACGGCACGACGAAGAAGAAAACACAACTGCCCAAAGTTCCAGAAAAGCCGGCCTCCTGGGTCCCTGGACTGTGCCGCAGCGGCTCGCAAGCCAAACAGCGTCACTGCAATGGAAACTGCTATCACTGCCACGCGCACGCCCGCCATGGCAAGGCCCGTCCCGTGCCGAGCTTGGTCGCGAAGGTGCCATCCGGCTGCCGCCGCCAACGTCTGGACTGAAAGTTTATCTAGCTCGGTTGTGTCTCAGCCTCATCCACTGTCCTCGTTCGTTGGTGCCCGTCTCAGCCTGGCAAGACCCTGGTCCAACGAGTATACCGATCAGTATCCCCGCCCCCGACCCTGCTAACGTACATGACTTCTACCAACACTCGTCATCCAATACCTGACGCAAATTTCTCGCTCCTGCTCAGCCTGCTGACTCGACTCTACCAGATCGCGAGATGCAGGGGTTGCGAAGGTGGAGAGATGACTGAGGATTCCGAATGTTCCGTCCCATGCCTTCGCCTTCGAGAGCTCGAACAAAGTTGCCATCGTCCAAGCTATGCTGAAGTCCATGCTGCGACTTCGAGACTAGCATGCCCTGCGAAACGTCGTCATTCAATCAGCTCCAAACTCTGCGCCGTGGAACTTAGCCCTTCGACCACGTTTTCAACATAGATACCCTGGATGTCCGCAACGACCTCGCAAACTGATGAATAGCGGTCCCACTTTTGTTGGCATGATCTTGTGTGCCCCGACATGGCGCTTGCATGAGGCACAGCAATATGATACATGACGAAGAGCGAGTCAAGATGCTGGAGGCGGCAAGTCGAGCCCTTATGCTGGTTGAGGATACTCCGAACCTAGCCAATAGATGCTGCGATGTGGTTCGTTTGGACATCGTAGACTATCCGGCCTAACTTACGTCCGAGTCACCCGCATGAAGCAATGGTCTCGTGACCGTCACCGTTCACGGTACCTTCAATGATGAACAGATTTTCAACCGAATTTCAGCCGGTATGCCGACGATGGTGTCTGGTACATCAATCGCTGTGTCCTTTAGTACATCTCTCAGTTCCCTTTCTCCTCCCGTCTGGACATGGCACTAAGTCCTGCCGAATGAGTACTTATCTATGCAGACGTCACACGCTAACATATCTTATCAGCCTCCATCATTGTCAGGTGGAGAGCTTCAAGTCTCACGAAAGAAATAGAAACCCTTTCGGTTTTCAGCTTATCTTTCACGCATCACGTTTATTCGAAATTCTTATAATGGCAATGCCGGCGTGCATCTGCCTTGACTGCATAAATTCCGCGCGCTTTTAGCTAATTGCCCGCTTTTATTCCCAAGGCTCGCCTTGTTCAACGCAAGTCCCTTCGGAAACACTTTTACGAATTCTACAATGACCATGTCATTGTCATATCTATCTTAGATTCGTACTTTCTCTTGGGGCGAGGCCTAGCGTCCAACTCCAACAACACGGACGAAGATCAAACTACCATCACAACAGCTACAAGCAAACTCATCCGACAAGGCTCTTCTTGGAATAAATCTAGAAGCTTTCGCTATGTGGTAAGGATATTCCCTTTCGTAAAATCACGACTCCTCGATCGAATATCTCCGGGCCTACTCGTCGGGTGCCGGATCGTTCCGGCGAACTCGGTAAGAAGCACACGATTGGCGTCCTGCATGATCAAGCCACGTGTTGGACAGTGCCACCGCAGATTTTATCCTCCAGCTGGGACGAAAGGGTTGTCTGACCATGGTGCCGGGTATTGCTCACCATGGTATCGGGCTGGGGATGCCGAGAGCTTCCGATGTCATACAAATCCCGCTGCTCCACTGCGTGAGGCTCAAGGGGCGTAGATTGGCGAGAATACGCACTTGCGGTGAGACGGAGAAAAAACTCAAAGTCAATTGGCCCACGACCAGCGTCGAAGAAGTGACTTAAGTTCAATCAAGGTAGTAGATGCTACCGTTCAAGTGTGGGAGAAGCCGTATTTCTCAGTACGCCGCCAGCTTATGAACTTAGCGATGTGCCTTCGCGCTAAGGATGCTTCTGGCAAAGAACAGGTACAGAGATCGATGAACTAAAGCAGTAGTAAGGCCTGATTACGATGAGCATAGAGCTGACTGCTTTCCACCATCAGAGATGCTTTCATTTCAATTCGGGTTTCCTGCTCCAGGTCAAGTTTGATCAAACATTGGCATCCTACAATACCTGCTTTGGGTGTGCATACCTATTCTTAGCACTGCGTGCGGGCCTCCAAGGAATTTTCAGGAATATTAGCAGAAGGAAATGCCTCCATCTGAACTTCTCATACGGTCATTGGGTCACCTCAGATGGCGGTGCTGTGACATGACAGCACCTACAAACTTCTTACCACCTCGTGAGCAGTGCCAAATGAGTACACGTCATACTATGGCAAGAAATCGTGAATACAACAGTAGGTCACAAGTGTGGGCACATGGATATTGCACTGCTCGAGCTGCAACCTTGTTCGCTCGACACCACTGTGAGGAGTAGCTCGGCTAGCACGTAGTCATTTAGTGAAAGGAGAGCCTAGTATGCACGGCACAAATCTTTACATCCTACTCTTCAGCACATAGATTAGCACTAAAGATCCTCAAGCTCGTTTATAGTGCTGCAGTCTATTTGTTACTACCTTCCAGTTTCAAATCTACGTCGAAGGCTGCAGCTTAACATAAACCCAGCAGTTATGTCTAGTTAATTGCTAGAAAGGTGGTACTCTAGAAGGCCTCCCGGGCGAATGTGAAGTCCTGCCTGGAGGTTTAAAGGAATCGGCAATGTAAGTGAAGTATCTTGCACTCTTTTGAATCGCAATACAAACCAAGTTGTAAATTTAGGCGCATGGATATCTCACTACTCGGACTCCAATTTTACTCGCTCCACACCACTGTGAGGAGTAGGCCGGCTAGCATACAGTCGGCTCGTCACGTCAAGAGGTATTCTAATCTCCGCAGTGTTGACCTTGACATCGTCTTCGGCGCTTGGACAGCTTATGGAGATACCCCAAGCAGTGGCAAACGGACCTACTTAGACTTTGCTTTCTTTGAATTTTTTCTCTCCTATTCTATTTCCTTTAGTGCTGATGATCGTCTACTTCCACGCAGTTTTATTTAAGAGCGCTATAAACCTAGGTCCTAAGTTCACACGCTCTCATATAGCGCTGCTGGGGCTCCCCTCTTGTTCGCTCGATACCACTGTCAGGAGTAGCACAGCCAGCAGCTAGTCGGTCAGTCAAAAGGCAACCTGATTTCCACTACATCGACTTTTACATCGTATCGGGAGTTTCAAAAGCCTGACCCCAAACAGTGGCAGCAATAGTGAGTACTGTAATCTCCCGTATCTCAACTTCCATAGTACCTTGTCATAAATATCCGTACACTTCCGTGCTATTGTTAGTGAAGTTCAGCGTACTAATAGAAACCGTGGGCAGCAGATATATTTCCAACCTACGTACACCCTTTTGACGTGGCCTGGGGTAGCATCGGGAGTCTCCTAGTTGTTCAAAATGCTGAACTTCTTTCTATTCAGAGTGCTAGAAACACCGCGAAACTCCTCACGCAGCGGTAAATGAGTGTACGGATTTGTATGACGCGGCATTGTAATCCCCTCTTTGAAAACCACACTCCTTAACTAGCCCTGTGAGTCTGTCACCTTCCGACTATATAAGCACTGCCCGCACTGGTTCCTTCTTCGTCCTTCCATCTCACGTGCGCTCTACTCATCAAGTGACTTCTCCAGCAAGGCTTCAATGAGGATGACCAAGTCTTCTTCCAATCTATCCTCTGGCCCGACCCACCAGATCGGCAAACTCGTCAAGTCTGCTCGTACGAAGCTATCGAGTCCTTACATTGGGCTTGAGCTTCGTCCAGAACCAAAACGAGACTCTGACAATCACACGACTTCTACTCCGCTCCTCCGCCAGCTTCACCTCGATACACCATCTACTTCGGGAGAGACTTTGGCGACTTCATCCATCTCCACCTCACGAACACTAAGCCTAGAACCGCCTGACATCATGACTGCAGATTCTCCAGCTCCAGCCAGTGACACTCCCTCAGTACGTGTCTTATGCAGATTTCCTCGACATTGAACTGACATCACTTAGCTCAAGCGCGTCGGTGGAACAGCCTCACTTCGCTCCAACAAAAGATATCGTAGCTCCACCACCGATATGACTGCTAAAGCGCCAGGCGAAACTTTTCCTGTTTTCAACGGCGGCGATGTGATTATTCTTACGAAGCTCAGTGAGGTGACACAACACTACCAGCTACACAAGTCAGTTCTGGAACGGAGCTCACCGTGGTTCCGAGGCGCCTTTGCGACGGCAACTTCAACAGTTTCTACGCCGTCGAAGTTCTACTTCGCCCTCGATGAGAATCCGAGCCTACCGACTCTCATCCTACGATCCGAAGAGGAAATTGGACCAGAATTCGACATATCTGCCGGCAGCGTCGGAGTCGCCACGGATGGCGAAGTCCAAGTGAAGACTGAGCCAGTCGAAGATGGCACCCCTTACATCGTGAACACCATCAAGACCGAAGACGCCACTGGAGCTAAGTCTGGAGGGCTCAGCAACGCAGATGTCGTCCAGGCGTACAGATCACTCTTCCGCACCTTCTACAACTTCCCACCTCAGCTTTCAACGACGAACGTCAAACGCGCACTTGGACAGTGCGAAATCCTAATCAAAGTCGCAAAGGAGTACGGCTCTCTTGAGCTCATCCGGCCACACCTGGGCAATCTTCTCTCCCAATTCCGGGAAGCCCTCTTCGTGTCCATCAAGAATGACCCGGCACGCTGGCTACGCGTCTCGGTCGACCTCGAGTCACCATCCATCTACACAGAAGCGTTGATCCATCTGGTCGGATCGTACCCGGCCTGGCCATGGGCGACACCGAAGAGCGAAATCCCAGGCGGCATCCACAAGCTGATCAAGACCAAAGCCCAGCACCTTGTAAAGCTCAGCGCGTTGGTTGAGCGCGATCTCTTCCTTAACTCTATCGAAGGCGCCGACGGCAAATACGTCACGATGGAAAGCGACTTCGAGGCTTGGATGCCGGCGCAGATGTTCCGCGACTGGTTCTGCAGAGAGGTACGCGCGGCCGCGTTCAAGAACTCCGACGCGCCGAACCCGATGCGCATTGGTGCACTCTACCGCAGGATTAGGAAGGGAGGCGACGCGTACCTGCCGTTCGATGAGGTGCTGAAAACGCTCATGTTGCGCGTGCGGAACAAGACGGACTCGTGGACGGAGCTTGCGGACGATCTCAAGATGCTCAAGGAGTATGCGACGAAGACGGTGGAGGATATCACGAAGAACAAGCTCTTGCTGGATCTGGAAGCGAACACGATTGGCTATCTTACCTGTGTGGATGTCACGCCGGCTGATTATCCCTGGGCTGTTATGGCGGACGAATGAACGTGACGGCGGGTATGGAGGGGCTTGGGACAATTGAATAGGTCGAAGGACACGGTTCTTCGAGCTAAGGATGTATCTGTTTGTTTGGAATCTTCTTTCTTTTCATCCTTACGATTTGTCATCGCAGGTGACCCTTTTCGGCATGCTTTGGCGTCTTCATCGACTAGGCGGCTTGCATCTTTGCGATCAACCTCCTTTCGTTGCATATTCTCTCATTGAATCTGCACATTTCTTCTCAACTTGGGGCTCAAATCACTAGCCGTATTATCCGATGATTAACCCCTCCATTCCTTTCTACCTCCAATCAGCTTATCAGTTTTTATTCCTCTGCTGATCAGATAGACAGCATACGCGGGTGGTGGATGATACCCTTGTCTGCAAATGGAGCTAGAGATACTTTGAATCACTCAACCTGCTGTCGAACGGACCCCAGAATATCGACTTGAATGAATTTGGAGTTAGAGTGAATCAAGATGTGCGTGTAAAGTGCATGCCTTAACTTTTGAAGGAAAGTCTTGATGGAAGGACTGTGGACGACGAAAAATGGTGATCGTAGGTGAAAGAGATACCTAGTTCGTCGAGGTAGACAGTGTCGTCTTCTAGTCGGCGTTGTGGTTTCCGTTCGTATGCCATTGCTGCTTCGGAATTTAGGAGTGATATGTGAGTACAGGAAGGTGGGTTCGGGAGATGCCAGGATGGTTGCAAGCCACAAGGAGCAACGCCCAACTCTCAGCCTCGACCTGGTACGTATAGGGCCACGAGAGGCAGCGACATTTTCGCTTAGGATGATACTGAGCGGGTGTCTTCAAGAGCTGCGTCGCTAGAAGCTAGACCATCATACTCGATGAAAAGACTGCTGACAGGCTATTGATATTATGTTAGCTTGACGTATACAGATTTATGGTGAGAGGAAGAAAGACAACTGATAGATGGTGGAAAAGTTAAAAAGGTACCATTCGTGACATTTTGGGTGGCTATTTACATTTCAAATGACAATCACTTTTCCAATACATCAAAATCCAAACGATTCCTGCGACGCCCATCTGGAGTCAGCAAGAATGAGCTCCAACAAAGCATCCAACAGTTCTTGCTGCAAGTCCATGTTTTGGAGTCTAGACACCCGCGTGCTAACGGGTTGGTTGGCAGTGATAGTAGACCATATGGCTTCCTTCTTGTCGTAGTCCATATACGTATCGTAAATAATGGGCCAGCATAACGACAGCGGGTCGACGATGTCGAGCTGAGGACCACGCCCAAGCTCGAGGACGCACTCCTGGTCGCTAGGTACAGAGTTCAACTGGATGACTGTTCCCCTGGAGTCTGCTAGGGGTTTGACAACGCTGCTCTTTTTGGTGTTTTTGAGCTGGCATCGGACCTCCTCCCGTGGAGTGTGGGCAATAAGACGAATCGTCCAATCTCTGTGCTTTGGAATAGACGGGTCCATGGGCGAAGTGGACCCAATGCGCAGAACGCCACTTGACTGCTTGTAGCTGATTGTGGTGCAGCTGAAAGTGACATTGTCGTCGCCAGATTCTTGGCCGTCTGCTTCAACAACCTGGAATCCGCCGTCATCGACCTGAGTGCCTGTTCCGTTGTCTTCTATCAAATCGAAAGAACCATCGGCTCCGACGACAAGTAAGATTTCCAAGGACGATGGATTCGGCACCCCGTTCTTCAAGTGATGCGAGGCGTCGAGTGGGACAATGGCTCCCTCGGCAGCTAGCACAGGAACACCTGCGAGATATCTGTGGAGTAGGAGATCTCGATCTCCGTCATACACAACTCCAGTGAAGATGTCGACGAAGCGCAACCCTGGAAGCCAAGCCTTCACCTTCCCGAGATGCGTATCTGGATCTCGAGACTTCGTTATGGGAGCGACGATAAGCTCGCTGCCGAACTTGAATTGATTCGGCACAGTGTATGCCTCTTCGGCATCAGGATAGTCCCAATACATAGGTTGTACTAGAGGCTCGTCGTCTAACGCAGATCGGGCGTTCATGGAATAGAGATATGGAATGAGACGATGGCGCAAGCGCATCGTCTCCTCGATAATCTCACACGCTTCAGTGCCGAACTTCCAGGGTTCTCTGGTATTGAATATGTTGTTTGACGAATGCAGCCTTAGAATGGGAGAGAAGCATCCAAGCTGAACCCACCGAGTAGTAAGCTCATCGTCTTTGTACCCGTGCATATGGCCACCGATGTCGTGACTCCACCAACCATATCCAATATTGGAAGCCGTTGCCGTGAATTCAGGTTGGAATTGAAGGGAGTCCCAGGTCATGACAGTGTCTCCAGAAAATCCAATCTGGTATCGGTGAGATCCAGGGCCAGCAAATCTGGAGAGAATCAAGGGCCGTTGTCGCCCTCTGCCTATATCCAAGAAATGGAAATGATTTAGCACCCATAGTGGGTCAATTCCCTCGATTTTTGACCGATCACCCTGTTGCCAGTCGACCCACCAGAAGTCGACACCCTCCTCTTCGAGTTCGTGATGTACAATATCAAAATAAGCGTCCATGAACTTGCGGTCCGTACAATCGAATTTGATCTGTTCCTCTTTCGAAGGATCATACCCAAGATACTTAGCTACTTCTTTGTATTGATCCTCGTAAGCACGAATGCCGTCGGCAGGATGCACGTTCAAGGTCGTCCGCAAGCCGCGGTCGCGGAGTTTCTGCAAGAAGCTCGACGGGTGTGGGAAAAGGTCCCTATTCCAGCTATAGCCAGTCCAGCCGTTTCCGTATTCCGGAGGGATATTGACTTTGTGCCAATCCATGTCCAGAACCGCAACGGTCATTGGGACGTTGTCACGTTCGAAATGGTCGATGAGATCAATGTATTCAGTGTGCGAGTAGCGGTGATAGCGACTCCACCAGTTTCCCAAGGCCCACCGGGGGAGCAAGGGCTGACTTCCAGACACGGCGTAATATGCCCTCATGGCGTCGCGGTAATCGTGGCCGTACATGAATATGTAGGCATCGCTCCGAGTTCCAGGCTTACGGGGCGCAACCCACCCATTCTTCTCAAACACCATCGTCTTGGAGTCCTCGATGACGGCGAAGCCATCCCGAGCAAGCACTCCAGGCTCGACGGGGATCCTCCCATTCGCCATATCCAGTGTCCGTGTTGTCCCCCCCAGAGTCTTGATATCCTGGCCGTAGCGCCAGCGATTGGTAATGGTCCCCTTCAGCTGTATCGCAAAGCCCTCAGAGCTGAACTTCTTCTTGTTATAGATCAGGTGGAAGCGAGTGGTCGAGATCTCCACGGCGTCCCCGCGGTCCCACACATAGAAGTCGGGAACGGCAAGCTTCCTGCGGACGGCAAAGGTCGAAGCTCTGTCTTCAAACTTGCCATCGTCAGCCCATTCGTATCGGAGGAGGCCGTCGGTCAGGATGGTGAAGCGGTAGCTGTCGCCGGCGACAACGGCATCGGCATGCGCAACAGGGCTCGTGGGGAAGTCGTAGCGGGACATGGCGGGTATTTGGGGTGGATTTCAAGCGGAGCATCAATCGGAATCGTAGGACTTTGCGGGGTTGCGGGGCATGGCGGAGGAAGGGTGTGTTTAAGCTGCAGGTGGGTGTTGACAGAGGGCAGGAATTGGAACGGGCGTTGCGAGCTGTCACGACGGATGCTAGGGCCTTCTTAGAATAGCTCCCGTGACCCACCTGCGGCAATCCCTCGCGCGCGGTGTCGACGACTCGGTCTTGGGCGATACGAGAGCTGCAAGGAGGCCAGTTGCACTGTATGCTCTATATGCATCTATAGCGTGTGCCAGCTGGCGAGCGACGAAGCAACAGCAGCTTCAAGCTGTCTGGTCGGAGCTGTTCACGCGCCTCGGCTGTTCCCGTCGTACAAAAGGTACCTGCAGGTTTCGGAGCTGCGTAGCTTGATAGGTGGTGAGAATATGGGCTGCGAGAAACTTGCACGCAACGTTCTCGGCCATGCGAATTAGTGCCCTCCCATGTACGTCTCTGCAACAGCTACCCTTCGGGCTCGACTCTCGTAGCTTGGAGCCATGGAGCCGGCAGGTGACAGCGCGAGGCCGCGTTTTCCAGGCTGGCCGTAAACGTACTAGCGCCGAATGACCCTCCTCAACCTCGCGACTCCGGCTCTAGATATCAACCTCCTACACATGGGCGTCGCAATTGCGGCGTTGTAAAGGCTCATTCTTCCATGCCCTGCGACGCGAACTTCAGGGTGAATCTGGAATGATTCCGGCTCTCACCTTTTCGTCTCCACTGCCCACTCCGTCGTCCACGTGAAGGCAGCGGCGTGTCTAGGCCGTCCAACCTCAGTCTTTTCATCTCTTCGCTCCTTTTGAGCTTCTACTCCATCCATCTTCCAACGCTTCTCGTCATCTGGGTATCTACAGCTACGCAATCTGCCGCTCCGCTGTTTACTCTCGACGCATTCGCCGAGGCTGCGCCGGAAGTCACAACAAGAGGTACCCAAACAGTCCAAGGCCGGTTTCCACTTCGCTGACAAGACTCGTTTGAAGCTACAATCTAGGCGCAACAGGCGAAGTTGATAGGTCAGCTCGCCAGCTTGTTTCTGATGCTATAACCTCACTTCTGACTAGCGATACTAGGATAGCTATTCAATCTGCATCTGCTGCGGCCCCCGGTCATAGCCATTATGGCCGAGAAAGACCCTTGGCATTGGTCCGTTGACGAGGTAGTCGACGCGCTCTGCAGCTCCAAGGAGATCTACGACGAGGCCGGATGCAACAATGCCACTCTTCCGGATCTGACGGCATTTGGCCAGCAGCTCCGAAACGAAGAGGTGAACGGCTGGACATTACTCACGGGTATGGACGCCTCGGTTTTGAAAGAAGACTTTCAGATCAAGGCCCTGGGCCACCGGCGGACGCTTCTCGAAACCATCAAGTATCTGCAAAGCAAGTCGGCGATATATAGGTACAAGAACCCGGCACAGTTTCCAATTACCTTCGACACCGGGTTTCACACTCCAGGCTCAGGTTTCCATCCGGGTAAAGCTCCTTCCATCCAATCCCCTCCGCTATACTATCAAGGCGCTTTGCCAGCCTTTCCGAAGAATGATGAACCACCCGAGATTGGTCCATCTGAGCAACTTCTACTGGAAGCAGGAATATCAAGCATTGTGGCTAATTTTGACCAATATGCAGGCGGGGACAGGCCAGCGACCGGAGTCGATCCTCCTAACAATTCGAACTCGGACTCAGCTGTACACGTCCGTGCTGGTGAAAACATGGTGGTAGACCAGAGTGGAAAGAAGCGCCGCAAGCTGAACACTCTCGTCTCGGTTGATGCCAACGTTGAACAGCCCGAATTACAGCCCATATCAGAACGACTAAGCCTTACTAATATCCCAGTATCGCAGCCTCAGCGCCATCAAGGACCTCAGCAGCGTCGCACTCTTGACCACGGCTTTCGCCCTAAGGGCTCCTTTCCTATCAAGGATGTTTTCTTCCGAGGTAGAGCACCTGACGATGATACCGATGAAGAAGCCGAATTTTGCTCTATAGGACAAGCTACAACTCCCGCGGCTGTTAAGCGATATGTTTACCGTCAAATGCTACATTTTCTCAAAGGTCCAGAGCGGGAGGAGGTGGAACGGAATGACAAGCAAGCACTTGCCGTCTACCCCTATCGCAAGGGAATTGATGCCTCAGATGGACCTCGCCCTGCTATCGTGTTCCAGAGCTTAGGCAGCAACGTGCATATCACACGAGAAACACATGTCCAGAAGAGTGGTGATCCGATGCAAGAGGATAGTCACACAGGACATGAATGGGACTTTCTTCAGCACTGGGCTGAGGAGCCGGGCGAGGAGCTTCGACCCTACGGCGAATCGGGCTCGGAGATCAGTTGCAGTTCCAGTTTCCTCGAGCAGCTGGAAGATGAAGAACGAGAAAGACAAGAAAACAAAGCAAAGAACGGAGGTCCATTGTCCCCGACTGAAGTTTATGGAGCTATGGACGAAGCTGTGGCACAATTTCGGGAAGATTGGCGGAAGAAGAAGCTTCCGGTGCGAGAAAATGTTTACGCATGGTCAGAGTGGAAGAAAGGACGCAAGTCCAGTGCGCGGCAGGTGCTTTTAAATCGGGCGAAAGGCAGGATCGACAAACTAGACCGACTGCTCGCAGGATACAAAAAAGATATAGCTGGTCAGATCTGGAATAAGCCCTCCGAAGTTCACCGCCAATGCTTGATCCTCGAAGAATTTGTCCACCAGCGGGAGCACGAGGTATGGAATATTTCAGTTTGGCAGAGAAATAAAGCGCCCCCACGACCTGCAACGAAACCTAGGACGCGGACGAAAGTTCATGAGAAGCTTGGAAGCGATGAAGAGGTCTTGAGTAGCGATGAGGCTTTGTCAGAAGACATTCCGAACTCTGTGGACCCTGATGAGAACGACTTTACTCAAGTTGAGTTGCATTCGCCTCAATCTGGTCCAGGTAGCCGCTCAACACAGCCGAAGAGTGCTTCTTCTTCTCCTATCAAGCTCGGACAACAGCACTCAGTTCGCGTCACTCGAAAGTCTGACGACAGTCTCCTCGATGACGATGAAGATCGAATGGACCTAGACCAAGAGGCGGACGCCACTAATGTGATGGAAATAGCGACGGCAGACAATAGCGGCATCCATCATGATACGAATCCCAATCATGACCTAGATGACGAAGCCTCCGCTCCAATTACTCCCCAGAATCAAACACCGCAGAAGATTCGAACGCCACACTCTGTTATTGACCTTACCCTTTCCGCAGACGAAAGCTCTCCCGAAGATGCGTCTTCAAAGCCCTTAATATACCCACGTTCGGAGTGGTTGAAGGGAGATCCAGTGCATGCTAACGCCGACATGATTGCCAGCTGGGAGATGGATTTCCTAGAAGAACGTGCGGACCGGAAGAGACTCATTATAAAGGTCCTCAGCAAAGTCAATTCAGAGGATCGCGAGACCCTGAAGACGCGTTTGCTGAATGTTCGGGAACGCGAGCTTCTTGATGAAATGAGACGAGGAATTGGTGCATTGGTACGCGGCGAATCGAAACTGAGCGGAGTTTCTCCTGACGATTTCCGGAAGATCATGATGTTCTCAAGACTTTACCTATGCTGGTTCAATTGCGATAGCAGCTGGTGGACAGAGAAGGTCTCTGAAGATCCTCCCATCCATCAAAAAGACGACCAGGAGGTCTTTTATAGGTTTTTGAAGCTCGTTCTTTTGAATACTAAGTCAGAGGGGCGCCAGGGGAGTAGTCGGCTCCATACTCCAACGAAGAAAGTTACAAAGAAGATCACTCAAGCATCACCGATAGCCACCAGCAACCCCTTTGGTCCCGAGACGGACGAGTCGGATGAGGAGAAGGAGGTGGAGTCTCAGAATACGCACAAGAGGAGGAAGCGGGCCGTAGCGCAGAGTCAAGTCGCATTACAAAAACGGGAGAGCGCCCAGATGCGTCGCCAGGAACAAGAACGTTTTGAAGAGCAGCTAGACTCTTCGCAGGCTGGACAAGAGGTCTCTATCGACTCGATCATGATTAACACTAGCAAGCTTGATGAACATGGAGCTGTGTACCTCAACAAGTCTATCGCCGGGAAAATAAAGAAGCATCAAATCGAAGGCGTTCGCTTCATGTGGCGAGAGATCATCACTGCAGCTTCGTCTGGATCTCAGGGATGTCTACTAGCGCATACGATGGGCCTTGGAAAGACGATGCAAGCGTAAGCTACTCCAAGACGTCCTTGTAGTTTCGAGTACTAACATTCAATAGCATTACCCTGCTGGTGACTATCACGGAAGCCGCGCACTCCAGGGACATGAAAATCAAGTCTCAAGTACCCGAAGAGCTGCGCGTGTCGCGTACTCTAGTTCTCTGCCCGGCGGCACTAATTCTCAATTGGGTTGAAGAATTTGACATGTGGGTTCCCCCCTTAACGAAGAGATTGATCGGAGCGCGAAGACCCATATCAGCCGACACGCCTTTCGAGCGCCGTATAAAAGTTATTGAAGAATGGCATGAAGACGGAGGTATATTGCTCATTAGCTATGAGATGCTGAGAGTTCTTGTCGAAAACAAGGCGACCAAACTCAACGTCAATGGGCGATTACCAGAAGACCAACACGAAAAACTCCTAAAATGGCTTTTCGAGACACCAAACATCATCATCGCTGATGAAGCCCACATCATGAAGAACCCAAAAACCGGGCTCAGCCTCGCATGTTCGAAGTTCAAATCGAAAAACCGTATTGCACTGACCGGCTCTCCTCTGAATAACAATCTTTTGGAGTATTTTAACATGATCAACTGGGTATCCCCTGGGTATCTTGGTGACAATGTCGAGTTCAAGGCTCATTATCAGGAGCCCATACACCTGGGTCTGTGGGGTGATAGTTCGGATATGGAATATCGGAGGGCTCTAAGATTACTCCGAGTTCTGAAGAACGAAATCGAGCCGAAGGTCAACAGAGCTGATATCACGGTCTTGAAGGGAAGCCTGAAGCCTAAGGTTGAGTTTGTCATAAGAGTACCACTCACAGCCCTTCAAGAAGAGGTCTACAGGACCTATGTTGAGGGTCTTTTGAGCGGATCAGCCAGGGGAGAGGATAATGTCTCTAGAACTCGTCTATGGAGCTGGCTAGCGATCTTGGTCTTGTTATGCAGTCACCCCCAGATATTTTTCGACAAGGTGCTTGACCTACTCCAGAACGACGCCCGGTCCAAGAAGCTGCCCAAGTCAACCGCTAGGAGGCAGCTAGAGGCCGAGGAAGATGAGACCGGCCAACCAGAGCTTCATCCTATCGATCAGGATGTTGAAGACATTTCTCTACAGTCTCTACAGTCTCCCCAGAGCCCACTCACCACCATGGAAGCTCAGAGGGCGATCTATGACAGGGTCAAGAAAGAAGTCGGCAATATGGATCAAAGTTTCAAGATGCAGGCCGTCGAAAAGATTATCAGGTACTCTAAAGAAGTTGGGGATCGAGTGCTGATTTTCTCGCACTCTATTCCGATATTGGACTTCCTGGAACGATACTGCAACAATTCAAAGACGGTCTACCAGCGGATTGACGGATCTGTAAAGTCATCGAGCCGCCAGACCCAAGCGAAAGCCTTCAATCAGGGCACGTTGTCAGCTACCGTGTTTTTGATATCTACTAGGTCAGGTGGGCTGGGTCTGAATCTTCCCGGCGCTAACCGAGTCATCATTTTGGACATCAACTTCAATCCTACCTGGGAAGAGCAGGCCATCGGTAGAGCATACCGAATTGGTCAAGAGAAGCCAGTCTTCGTGTATCGCTTCCTCACCGCGGGCACCTTTGAGATCCCTGTTTACAATAAGGCTGTGTTCAAGACACAGCTCTCATACCGAGCCGTTGACAAGAAGAACGTCAAGGCTGCCGCTGATAGGGCAGAAAACTTATTGAAGATTCCTGAACGGGTTGAAAAGGAAAACCTAAGCCGTTACATTGGCAAAGACCCGCATGTCCTCGACCGAATTCTAAGTGGAGGGGGTGCGTCTTGGATATGTTCGATTTCCACTATGGAGACTCTGCAAGAGGAAATTGCCGAGAACTTCACCCCAGAAGAACTGGAGGAAATTAGGCAGATGGAGTACCGCGAGAAGCTAAGGAAGTCCGAGCCAGAGAAGTGGAAGCGGCTTGTGCATGAGGACAATGTGAAGAAACAGGCTGGAGCGGCTCGAGCGGCCCAAGCGGCCCAGGAAGCAAAACTCCGCGAACAGCAGAGGCAAGCACTATTTACCAACGCACAGCTTTCACCCAACTCGTTCGGACAAACGCCTAGTTCTGCGAGTGGTGTACTCCGTGGACATCGAGTAGCACCCCCACTCCACCAAGCACCTGTGGCGATTCGTTCCATGGGGCCTAACATCCCGCCAAGTGGCCTTATGCCTCCTGTTACGCACGGTCTACCTACCTGGACGGGCGATAGACCAGCGTCTTCGTCTCCGCCTCTGATGCAGAATGGGCGAGGTCAGCCCAAGGCGAACGGGATCGCTTTGACTCAGCCTACCAGTCTTCAGATGAGGAGCTCTGCACCACCTCGTCCGACAGGGCTGCCAAGTGTGATGGCGCCTGGGTTCAGCAACGGCAGCTCTCGACCTCAGCGACCGCAAGACCCTCAGGCTATACAAGAGATATCTTCGACAGAAGATGAGGATGCGGATTCGCCCGTGAATGAGGCAGCACGGCATCTCACAGGCACAGCAAGGCGAGATGCAAATCAGGGTAAGCCACTCAGCTTCAACGATAGACTTGGACGTATGCGTCGATGAGGAGGCAAGAGTTGCCGAAGGTGTGCGCGCCTCACTAGTCGAAAGATGGGGGAGTGTGCATTCGTCCGAAGTCTTTATGGCATACGTCGAGGTCAGCATATGTTCATACGCATGGCGTCTCACGGATTCGGTTTCTTTCTTGTTTTAATATCTCGGTCTCGGATATACAAGCGTTTGCAAGCGTTGCAGACTCGGCGGGGTGTCTCGGTGCATTTGCGCAACGTCGAGTCACAAGATACCCTTTCCATTTTCCAGTTGTAAATTACATTAGGCAGGGTAGTTTCTGCATGCCCTCTTAGAAGGCAAAATTCATGCTCAAATCTTATAGTTGGGAGTTCCCTCATGAGTGCTGAGTGAGATATTAGGCGCTTCCGAAGGCACGCTGCCTAAGCTCTGCATTTCTTGAGTAAGGTTTCCCGTGCAAACTGCGGCTTCTTCGGTAAGACTAGCATGGGCACGACGATATTCGTAGTTGAGCCTGATAGTTTTCCGGCGTTCCGGTCGTGTTGTTAGTACGGTGCTACGGTACTTTATGGGGTTAGTGCATGAACGGGAACCGACCAACACAATACTTCGTACAAAGAGTCTCAGGACGCCTTTGTCTGGGGAAGCTGGTTCTCCGGACATGCATGCATGATGTAATGCTTTCAAGAAGATGTCCGAGGATTCCGCGCGGTAGTCTAACACGAGTATTCAGTCCTGCAACCACATGCGGCGGGACTGTATTCAGACTGGCGATGATCCCCCTCACCGACACGGCATTCACTCTGGGGAATAGTGCCGAGCTTCGGCCTGTACAATAAATTTATCGAAGTTACTTCATGCCGAAATTGGACGGGTGGGGTCCAGACTAATCAGAGGCTGCTTATTTCCCCTCAGCGCCAGCGATCCGGAGAAGCAGGGTTCCGTGCGTCTCGCAACACAAGTCAACTTTAGCCCCGACTTTTCCTCTCCCCCAATTCACCACTCCCTCGAAACTCGCCCTCTTCTGATCTCCTGAACTCAGTCAATTGCGGAACATTCAACACAAAGCCAACGCTCCTGCCTTCACCATGGAGGCCCTTCTCCGCCAGTCGAGGTCCATGTGCCCGTTCCTCCATAAGACTTCGCCCGCCACCCTGCGCTCGCTCTCCACCACAACCGTCGGCCATGATGCTTCTCCCGGAGGCGGTAGCATGTCCAACCTCCAGGTCATTGCGAGGCGCTGCCCAGTCATGGGAAAGGCACTCAGCGTCCAGAGCGCTCGTACCATGAACAATGCCTTCGCCGGAGCGTATGGAGGCACGAGGGCCTACCACTCGAAGACCAGCAAGGCTAAGTTGCACACTTCTGCCCCCAAGGAGGCGCAGGCTATCGATGTCGAGAAGTTGCGCAACAAGCAAGGTAGGCGCAATTTCGTAATTTGGAAAACAAAACGTCGATGACGACGGCATTCTTAGAGTCATCTTTCTAACTTCGCGATTCTGTAGTTCCGTTCCCTCAAACCGCGAAGCCTCCCGTTGCTCCTACTCAGAAACAGCCTGTAGGCGCCCCTCCAGCACCGAAGGCGGCCCAATTCGACTACGATGGATTCTACCACAAGGAACTGGACAAGAAGCACAAGGACAAGTCCTACCGCTACTTCAACAATATCAATCGCTTGGCTAAGGAATTTCCCCGCGCGCACATGGCGTCCAAAGAGGAAAAGGTCACCGTCTGGTGCTCGAATGATTACCTCGGCATGGGACGAAACCCCCACGTGTTGATGTCGATGCACGAGACTCTAGATACGTATGGGGCTGGAGCCGGTGGAACGAGAAACATATCGGGCCACAACCAGCATGCCGTCTCACTCGAGGCTACAGTTGCCAAGCTCCATGCAAAGGAGGGTGCTCTGGTGTTCTCCTCTTGCTATGTGGCTAACGATGCTACGTTGGCGACGTTAGGAAGCAAACTCCCGGACTGTGTCATACTGTCTGATAGCATGAACCATGCCTCGATGATTCAGGGCATCCGTCACTCTGGTGCTAGAAAGATGGTGTTCAAACACAACAACGTTGCAGACCTTGAAGCGAAACTGGCATCACTACCCTCCGATGTGCCAAAGATTATTGCATTTGAGAGCGTTTACAGCATGTGTGGTTCGATTGGACCTATTGAAGAGATTTGCGATTTGGCGGAGAAGTATGGTGCAATTACCTTTCTGGATGAAGTCCATGCCGTCGGCATGTATGGACCAACCGGCGCAGGTGTCGCCGAACACCTGGATTACGAAGCGCACGCGGCTGGAAGACCCCGCGGTACCGTTATGGATCGCGTTGATATCATCACTGGAACACTGGGTAAGGCGTATGGCTGTGTGGGTGGGTACATCGCTGGCTCCGCCAAGCTTGTAGATACCATCCGTTCCCTCGCGCCCGGTTTCATCTTCACAACCTCACTCCCCCCCGCGACGATGGCTGGCGCCAAGGCAGCCATCGAGTATCAAATGAGCTACCAGGGGGACAGGCGTCTCCAGCAGCTGCACACCCGCGCTGTCAAAGACGCTCTCAACGCCAAAGACATCCCCGTAATGCCCAATCCTAGCCACATCATTCCGGTGTTGGTTGGCAACGCCGAAGTTGCGAAGCAGGCGAGTGACCTTCTCTTGGAAGACTGGGGCATCTACGTGCAAGCCATCAACTACCCCACCGTGCCCGTCGGTCAGGAACGTCTGCGCATCACCCCGACTCCGGGCCACTTGCGTGAGTACCGCGACCATCTCGTCGTGGCTCTTGACAGCGTCTGGAACAAGCTCGGCATCAAACGCACTAGCGAGTGGGCTGCGCAAGGCGGCTTCATTGGTGTCGGCGAAGGCAAAGAAGAAGCGCCGCTGTGGACCGACAAGCAGCTGGGCGTCGACAACGTCTTGAAAGAGATGAAGGCCGGCCAGGGTGCCGTCGGTATTCTCGAGTCTGTGCTTGAGAATGAGCGCAAGGCTACGGCTCAGGCGGTCAGTGCGGCAGCTTAGATGGACATGCCAGAGCGGGTATACAGTTGAGGATTCTTGTCACTCGTTTTAAATATATTGGCGACGGTTTGAGGCGACTATATGCAATTTCAAGAGCTGCGCTGATGCGCCATATTGCCTTGATCAAGATCTTATTGCTGTGACTGCTATTGCTGTGACGACTGCTGAAGTGACTTCATGCTATTCTAAGACAATAGTCTTTGCATCAATTGCCACTGCTGGTTTCCCTTACTAGATCATAGAGAAATATGTGTTTGTCAGGGTAAGTTGAGAGTGGCTGCCTGAGGCTCGTAATCCGCTGGCTCACTGGCTGGGCCACCTCAAACCAAGAAGTAGACAGCGCTGAATGTACCAAGCTATTGTTCGCTATTGTCGTGTGCAGGTGAAGTAGTGGTATTGTTCCTATTGTGGTGCCCGTGCATCATCCCTGCTCCTTGGCACAGCGCTCGGGCTACGGAATCACGACGCCCTCTTGCAAAGTCGTCCTAAGCTCTTCACCAACCTCATCTCCCCATCCTTTCTTTCTACTCCTTCTCTGTTTTGGCTTTCCTTTCTCGATACCCACCACCTTGCAAATCCTTGCACAAACTCACTATCCACGCACTTTGCGCGCTCGCAAACGAATCGCTCCGACCCTCCTACCGAGCAGCATCAGACCGTGAATGCAACGCGCACAGCATACCGAGTGTCGCGCCCTCTCGTGGTGCCAATAGAAGGAGGGTACCATGGCTCCCAATGGGAAGAGGAAGAGAGGGGATAGGACTTACACACACGATACTAACGAAGGCTCGAATCGCGCCTCACCTCACCGGCCCCAGGATCTCGAGCTCGGTCAGAGGAATCAGCAAGGCAATGCAAGAGGTGGCAGACGTGGTAGCCGTGGAGGAAGGGGAGGCTCGAATACTCCAAGAAGCCCCAGCTTGAGCGCGACAAAGCAGACGTCTCCTTTGACGAACCAGGCCATGTCCCCTCCGACAGCTCCAGCGATTCCAACGCCTAAATCCGCTGCTTCAGCAGCATCTCCCGTACAGCCTCCCGCACCGATCGAGCAGCCATCTATGCCGTCACCCATCTCTCAAACACCTTACTTCTACCAATACCTCTCAGAAGAACGCTTGTCATCATGGAAGGACGCTGGACGAAAGGCTGTCATAGATGTCGCAATTCAAGCGCAGTCAGGACAGGATGGCGTCGCACTATCATGTTTATTCCAGGAGCTTGTAAGAGCAGCAATGGATGGAAAGCTAGGCCCGACAGATGCTGGCGCTGTGGTTCAGGAAGTTCTGGCGTCATCTCCTGATTCTGCAGCTCCCGGTTCTGCATCTCTATTCCTCGACTGTGTCAGCATACTGACTGAAGCCGATGCAACAAACCCAAGCCTGGCACCTCTCCTTTCCTCTACCGGTATCGATCCAGCGCGTATGCGAGCAGAATTGGAAGTGCCTCTTCTCATCGCCGACAATCTAGTTCGAGCTACCTTTGCCAAAATGGCTATCCGGAAGGGAACGAACGCCCTTTACAAACAGTCTGCCTATAACTTGCTTCGAGAGGAGAGCGAGGGATACTCGAAGTTGATGACGGAGTACTTCACTACAGTCAACAGTGCGCCACCATCCGACATCGTCGTCAAGGATACCTTTCAGAGGGTGAAGGCTCTTATTGGGGCATTCGACTTGGATGTTGGGAGGGTACTGGACATCACTTTGGACGTGTTCGCCAACTTGCTCGTCAAGCACAACGAATTCTTCATCAAGTTACTCCGGACGAGCTCCTGGTGGCCGGAAAAGGTTGCCGTCGAAGGCGTGGAATGGGAAGACCAAGGCTTCTCCTCCCTTCCGAGCTGGGCTCTCCCTGGATGCCCGAAATGGCATTTCACCGAGGAGGAGAAAGAACGTTTATCGAAACTCCGGGAAGTGCGAGACCGAAATTTCTGGGAGCGTGTTCAAGACCCTGCTGTTGGCTTGTCCGCGTACTTTGAGCTTGGCAGTCGCCGAATTACTAGCGATACTTCCGCGTTCGAGCTGAACGGAGCGGGAGATCCAATGGACATTACAGAAGTCGCTGCGGATACAAAGAAGAAAGGAGAGACACCGGACAGCGAGAAGATTCAGAAATGGACCCAAGAATGGATAGCGGCAACACACACACTTCCGCCCGCTGGCAACCGGATAGCCGCGCAGCTTCTAGGGTTCAAGCTTCGTTTCTACGCTTCAGATACCCGAGACGCCACCGATATCTTGCCCGATAATCTCATTTATCTTGCTGCGCTTCTCATAAAGATCGGCTTTATTTCCCTGGCTGATCTCTATCCTCACCTCTATCCACTTGATGAGGACATGCCCGCCCTGAAGGACAAGCTGACCAAAGAGAAGATGGAGAAAGAAAAGAATGCGCGAGGAGGAGGCGCCAACAATGCCTTGGCCAATGCTGGGGCTCTCAAAGATGACACCAAAGACTCTCGTATTTGGGAGGCGGAGAGGTTGGCGGCTTTGAGGGCTGAGGCCAACAATAACAAAGGATCCCAAAGCAAAGCTGACGAAGAAGAGAAGGAAAAGCTTCCGGACCCCATCGATCAAAAGACTCATCTTCTTCGAAGTTTGCTATGTATTGGCGCATTCCCAGAGGCACTCTTCATCCTCGGCCGCTTTCCTTGGCTACTTGAGTTGTATTCCGACTTGCCTCTATATATCTTCCGTTTGTTGAACCATTCTTTGAGCAAGGTATATCAAGAAGTTCGCCCTCTTTCGGACGAAGACGACCTGCAAGCACCGAAGAAAGCGCCCGTTGACAGATCAGTCAAAGGCGAAGGTCGGTCTACCGACTTCCCTCCACGGAGGACTATGCGATGGCCAAAGTTGGATCAAAAGGATAATCGTGATGGTGTTGATTATCGCTTCTATTGGGATGAATGGGCAGATAACGTCCCTGTCTGCCGGACAGTTGACGACGTCTTCGCTCTTTGCAACACATTGGTCAACCTGGTCAGCTTCAAAATTGGCCAGGATCCTGTGCTGCTCACCAAGCTCGCACGGATAGGGAGGAAAAGCCTTATCGATGACTCATCAGAGAAGAACACCCAGCGCTGGATCGATTTGTCGAAGCGTCTTCTTGCACCCTCTCTCAGCTTCACATCACGGAATCCCGGTGTCGTCAATGAAGTCTATGATTTACTGAAAACCTTTCCGACCCAGACACGATACTCTATCTACTCGGAGTGGTTCACGGGCGCGACATCGCGAACACCTCAAATGTCAGCCAACTTCAATGTAGTCAAGCTGGAGACAAAACATGTCCTTAAGCGCATCAGCAAAACGAACGTTAAACCCATGGCACGATTACTAGCTAAAGCTGCCTACGCCTCGCCCGGAGTCGTCTTCCAAGTCGCGCTTTCTCAGATCGAGTCGTACGAAAACTTGACGGACGTCGTTATCGAATGCGGAAGATATTTCACATACTTGGCATATGATGTCCTAACCTGGGCCCTCATCAACTCGCTCGGTGGCATAGACAGGAACCGAGTCCAAGCCGATGGAATGCTCACCAGCGCCTGGTTGCGGTCACTGGCCACATTCGCGGGCAGGGTTTTCAAGCGATACACTGTTATGAGCCCCACTCCCGTGCTGCAATATGTTGGAAGCCAGCTCCTCCGTGGTAGTTCACACGATCTCGAGGTTCTTGAACAGATCATTGTTTCCATGGCGGGTATTCATTCGGATGTCACTCTTAACGACACTCAGATTGACGGAATGTTTGCTGGCGAGTACCTTCGCCTACATACATTGGAAGTTCATTTGGGCGACAAGCGGCATGAACTCAAGGCTCCTTCCAAGCGGCTCCTGCGCTCTCTGACCGACACTGGCCTCGCTGCACAGCTCCTCATTGCTGTTGCTCAGGAGAGACAAACATATCTCTTCCGCAGTGCTTCAAGCAACGCACCACTCAAAGTTCTGGGTGCCAACTTTGATCGGATCCATCAGATTTTCGCCCAGTATCTTGAGTTTCTCAGAAGTGGTCTCACAGTCAAGGACTTTGACACTATCATACCTGATGTGATAGTCTTAATCTCAGAATTTGGTCTCGATCCTGGTATCGCATTCACCATCGCTCGAGATAGCATCGCGCATGCCGTTGAAGAAGCCGCCGCTTCGCTCAGAGCAAAGAGAGCGGAAAAGCTCAAGAAGATCAAAGAAGCCAAGGATGCCGCGCAATCGCCTAGCGATGGAGATATCGAGATGGGAGAAGCTTCAGTAATCCCGGCTACCAATGGCGATCATACTACCGCAGAGCATACTACTATGGATATGGAACCGACAAGTTCCCCATCCACAGATGTCCCTTCACCAACAAGCGCTTCGCCGGTCACTACTAGCGCAAACCCAGAAGAACCTTGGAACCCTGTCCTCAAAGATCTAATGGACCGTTTAAGGCCACTCTTGCCAGCAGACATAGAAGAACGGTTCAGCGTTTCTTTCTATGTTACTTTCTGGCAGCTTTCACTTCAAGATCTGTCCTTATCCAATGACGAATACAACAAGGCGTACATATACTGGACAGCGCGGATGCCGACCAACGATCGCCGAGACGTCAGCGCTGCAGCCGCAAAGAAGCGCGAATCAGATAGAAAGTGGATTTTGGACGAACAAACTAAGGTCCGCGAAGAAATGAAACGCCAGATCCAGAAGAAAACTCTCATAAACCAGCGCCTCACAGTCGAGCAGGACTACTGGTTCAAGGGCTTCCCCATGTTGGACGCAAAGTCAGACCATCTGCACTTTTCCATCTTCCAGGAATGCTTCTTGCCCCGTTTACTACTTTCTTCGGAGGACGCTCATTTTGTGTTCGTCATGCTGAACCATCTTCATAGCAATGCAGTTCCAGGCTTCCGGACGATGAAGCTCCTCGACCAACTTTTCAGACAGAAGCAACTGACGGCCTTGATATTCCAATGCACGGCACGTGAGGCAGAAAACCTTGGACGCTTCCTCAACGAAGTACTTACGCAGCTCAAAAAATGGCATTTAGAGAAGGAGGACTACGACCTACATGCACTAGGTATTAAGTCGCAGCAGTCAGGCGTCGGTACGCTTCCAGGCTTTGGTCGATCGTTCAAGCCTGACCGATCCGCTTCATCTTTCCTCGACCATGAAGACTTCCGACGTGTTCTGTTCAAGTGGCACACGCAATTTTACAGAGCTCTAGATGCTTGCCTGAACGACGGCGAGTACATGCACATCCGAAATGCTATAAACATCCTTAAGGCGGTCAACAAGTGCTTCCCAGTTGTCGATTTCATGGCCAAGGGCCTAAACAAGGCGGTCGAGTCTTTGGCTAGTTCAGAAAAGAGGGGTGACTTGAAACTCTCCGCCAATTCTCTACTGGTAGACTTCAAGAAGGCAGAATTGGTTCCCTCGCAGGAATTCCATACAGTAAGCGTCGACCAAGCACACTCAAGACTGAAGAGCGCCCATCATAACACGCGACAGAGCAAGGCTGGTGTAAATCCACCTCAAAACGCAAGCCGAAGTACTTCTGAGAAACCCGGTACCCCTCAGCCATCGACAAACAACTCGGGGTCACTAAATGCTACCGCTCCGCCCTTCGCGCCTCGATCAACCCCTGTGTAAGTACTCGACTCACTTTCGAAAGCTATGACTTTCTGACATACGACACAGCAACGGTATTTCAAAACCCAGCCTCACTAGAAAAGAGATTGAGGACGGTGAAGTCGAAGACGAGAAACGACAAGCCCTAGCCAACGCCTCCTCCACCGCCGCACAGTCCAAGGGACCAGCAACCTCGAAGTCAACAGCGCTACCTGTCCAAGAGAAAGTGGACAGTCTCCCAAGCCGAGAGTCTGATCAATCACGAAGTGCACCGCAATCTGTGGATGCAAAGGCGACAGAGTTGACACCGCAGGCGCAGTCTGGCACGAATCCCGCAAGACCGGATAGCAGAGGCGGCCCGAATCGACCACTTCATGCTTTACCTGTTCGCCCTGATACTCAGGCTCTAGTCCGTGGCGTTGGGCGTGTCTCAGATCGACCAGTCGACCGCACTAGCGACTATCATAACCATGGCCGACACGATGCACGCAGTGGTTCGAGCGCAGATTACGGTCGCCTTGACAGGCCTGGGGAGCCTTATCAAGAACCGTTCCGAGGTCGCCGCGACGGATCGCCTGCACGTGGTCCCCGTGGACGAACTCCGGAACGAGGCACACCGCTTGATCGAGACCGTCGTGATCCTGCCTGGCCTCAGAGAGACTCCCGGGAGTACCCCGATGATCGTGGTATGCGACCACCTCCTCGAGACATCCGGCCCCCTGGCGGACGAGGCCCAGGTTGGGGCGACAATCCAAGAGACTCCAGGGAGCCAAGAGATGCCAGAGAGCCTCGCGATGCCAGAGATCCTCGCGATCGTATGCCAATACCGCCAATGGACTCAAGAGGTCCGCCCGCTCCAGTCGATAGCCGCAGCCGAATGCATTCCGGGCCGCCTTTGCCACCTTCAGGTACCAGTCCTTATCATGGATCAAGTCGAGACGCCCCACTCAATACCGATCGCTCTGGGTACATGCCATCAAAACCACCGTTAGATCGCGCACGAAATCAGCCATTTGATCGTCCTCTGCCACCTAGCGATAGAGGCTCTATCAATGCCGAGCGTGCTCCGTTCATCGAGGACAGACCGCGACCAGAGAGCTTTAATCCAGATCGGGACGGTCGTCGAGACCGAGGGTCGCGGCCTCATTCTCCACGCCGTGACGACCGAGGGGCTCCTTCATACCCGCCTCGAGGAGATCCTCCGCGGGATCACCGAGACGATCGCGGTCCGCTGGAACGGCTCCCTCCTAGCTTTCCTCCACAAAACCGGGATCGACGGGAAGATGCTGGCAGCGATGCCCCTACTGGGCCTCGCGGCCCGAGGAATGACTTTTCGCAACCGCCTCCCAGAGGTGGACCTGAGATGTTCCAGCCAAATACTCGTGGTCCCAGGCCATCAGGGGAGTCTGATCATGGAAGATTGAACAAGGACTTCTCGCTCCCACCGCGACCGAACCAACAAGAGGAGTCTACCTTTGGTCGCCTCAACGCTCCAACAGACAACATTCCGTCTGGCCCGCGTGGCAGGGCTACTGGCGGACGTGGTGGACGGAACTTTACAGCGCCCGCGGGTCACGGTTTCGCCCGAGGTGGCGATTCTCCTCATGTGCCGTCTTCGCCCGCTGCAGACCGACCACCACCAGGGCCTCTGTCAGAGCGTCGTGATCGTCGAGAATCAGCTGCAATGGATACGATGCACCAATCTGGACCACCGACGCCGTCTACTGATAAACCTCAGGACATGTCAGGCATCCACCCGAGTCGCCAGACTGCATTCCAGGCTCCGCAACTGCAAACCAACATCCCGCCTCCGCCGATGAGTGGCGCTCCATCTGGCCCTCGAGGCTCACAACGAACTCCAATTACCTCGACCGGTCCTTCGCCGACATCGCGAAACCCACCGACTGGGCCCGCGTCTTCCAATGAGCGTAGTAGCGGTCTAGAAAACAAGAATCAACTTGCCGCCACCTTCAGGCGACACCTTCAACCATCGAATCCTCCAGTCCAGCCTCCCGACAACAATGGGTCTTTCGAACGCAATGACCGCGGCACTTCGATTCGCGGCCGTGCCTCCCGTCCTGGTGGCCCCATGGGCTCGAACAACAACTCCGGTCACCATACCTCATCTCCTGGTGGCTCCCAGCCTTCGACTCCCAATCCATACGGCCCGTCCCGGCTTGATCGCACCGAGTTCACAGCGCCTTCCCGTGGCGAGAATGCTCCTCAGGACGATGGGCGCTCCGATAGCCGGACCCATCGCGATGGCCGACGTAGCGAGCGCACTCGACATCATAGCCGCTCAGGAAGCGCGAAGAACACCGATCGGCGAGGCGAAGAGAAACTGAAAGGCGAAGACGAGGTAAAGGAACGGCCAGAGCGTACTTCCGGACGCGAGAAGAGAGGCGGCAGTGATCGCGACTCCGGGCGTCGCGAGCGCACTGAACGTAGTGAGCGAGAGGGTGGAGAACGACGAGAGGGACGTGAGAGACGTGAACGTGGTAGAGACGAAGGTGGGCGGAGGGAGAGCGGTACTGCGAGCGGTAGAGGCGAAGAAGGGGGGTTGAGACGCGGGGGGCCGCCTATGGTAGAGGGCGAAACTCCCAGCTGGAACGATCAGCGCCCGGATGGCAGGAACGGCGATGGCAGGATGAGAGGAAGTGGTGATCGTGACCGTGGCAGTGGGCGTGAGCGAAGAGACGGTGGACGAGAGGAGAGAGATGCACGGAAGAGACGTGGCGGGGATGAGTTGGTCCATGGGGACAACAAGAGACCACGGAGATCGAATGCTTGAGCGTTCGATTCGAAATTATCGGACGGAGTCGAAACGGCGCAGCGACAGCATTGCCACGGCACGAAGGGACCGACATCGGTTTTTCTTATCTGTTACGGCTATACTAGCGACTCGATTCGACAAAATTGGCGACGGGACTCGATTCGAGTCGACCACATTGTAGCTCTCTCTACTTCAACTTTTGTTTTGTTCTACTCCAATTATTTCCCATCGATCGAGAGAGGACATACATGGCAAGCAGGCAGCAGAAAACACTTTTCACATTTGCACACGAACACACCATCCGACTGCGGGCATTGGGACGGCGCTCTGTAACTGCTTTAACAAAAATTCAAATTTCGATATGCGACACTATACGAAAAGGCCGTCACTCGAAACACTAGATTCTCAAGGCCCACTTGGAAATCTCCTCTTGATTCTTTACTTTGGACTGCATTTAGCGAAGCGAGGTGTTGGGTACTGGGTTCCAACATTGGCCTGGGTATGCTTACTACTTGAGCATAGCGTGCGATTATTGTGCCGTGAAATCGTCTACGGCGAGCTTGTTTCCATGAACTCCATGGCTCAGCGAATTCTTGATTATGACCAGGTCGTAGATATCAAGCACTGTGACCTTATAACGCTGACTGTTTTTGTCGCTCCTTGTTGATCGTGATGTGGTGATTGATGCCCTGTTTGACGAACTCTCAAAACAAATGGGCTTGCTAGGCCCAAGTGAATTGCAGTCGCCATGTCCACGAGCAATCCGTGTGTGAGCCGAGTAACTTTAGTGACTGCGGCGGAACAAGAGGGTTCGTTTGGGTAGGGAGGCGTTGAGATTTTTATGAGGCAGCCCGCGGCCCCTATCTTCATGGATAGGTGCAAATATTTCTCTATAAATGCACAGTATATTCTTCTTGCTTCTGCGCATCTAGTCCCGCTAAAACTTCTGTTCTCAGAGTTGTGGTTGTTGAGTTATTTGAAAAAACGTGGCTTTTCCCTCGAATGGCCGAGAAATTCAACTTTCCCCGACTCAACACTTGTGATCTTCTTGGCGGCGGCCAAGAGCTGCCGAACAGAGGAGCAAGCAGCGTAGTTTTGGCGGCCGGCCGGAGCTCGAGAGGTGTGGAGTACCACAAAAACCCCCCTCTAATTCAACGACGCGGCGCAATTCCTTCCCCAGAGCTCCTTCAAGATTACTTCTCGGCCAGGCGAATCACGTACTGGTGTCAGATCCAAGATGCGAGGTGTGGTTCTTGGGTTATCCGCTGAAGAGGTGGTGGAGGCTCAAGGACCTGAGCAGCTCCTGTGTCGCAACTTTGTTTTGCCGCCGCCGAGATTCCTCTATCGGGTAACTCTTGGCAGTCGAAGATGGCGAGAAAAAGTGTGGAGTCCTATGCACCCACCGCTAGACCGATGAGGCGGAGCTTTCACGGTTCCAGAACTTCCTCAAAGGTACTACTAGGCCAGGGGAGAATTGTCCCGGTGTCAGATCCAAGCTACGACGCGTGGTTGCTGAGCTATTCGTCAAGAGACTGAACAGCGCCGGGAGGCTCGAAATTCTTCCTTCCGGGCGGCGGCAAAACAATGTTGCGAGTTTCTTCTTTTGGCAAGTCTTGGCAGCTGCGACGAGATCAAAAAAGTGTGGAGGACCATAACACCCACCGCTAGCGCGATGAGGCGGAGATTTTACGGTTCTAGAACTTCCTCAAAAATACTACTTGGCCAGGCAAATCGCGTCCCGGTGTCGGATTCGTGATGCGAAGCCTAGTTGTGGAGCTGTTGGCGGAAAGGTGAGGGAGGTTCGAAAAAGTCGGAAATTTGCTGCCAAGCCTTTGTGGCCGTCTCATGTGCCTTTCTAGTAGCAGCTGCGTCTTGATACCGTGGTGGATGTGATGGGCTTGTTGGCTTCACTCGCCCTCTTGCATCTCATCATTCTCTTGCTCTTGCTCCATCTCACGCTCTCTCTCCCGGTCCCGTTCCTCATCTTCTGCGGAGACAGGGAAGCTGAGATGTTTCCAGTCCTCAATCTAATTATCGAATCAGCTCTACTATACCCGCAGCACCATAATCACGACACTCTAAACTCACCTCCTCGATAATGCTCCTCAGGCGATCTCTAATGCTCTCAACCGCATAACTCCCCAGCAGCAACCTCAACGGAGGATACGCGCAATGCCCGAGCTGCCACACCAGTTCCGCGCTTTTCACCGCACTTACCGGCTGTCGGTCATTCAACCACCCCATAACCCTCTTCGTATGCCCCGACGGCGAACTCGCGCTTGCGTACGGCGCACTCGCCGGCTTGACCCAGAAGTGTCCGTACCGCTTTAGTTGCTGTTCCTTCGCTCCGCCCGCGGCCCCCATCACGTCTTGGGGCTCGTCTAATCGCACATATCCTGGTTCTACGAGGGTTGCTTTTATGTTGAAAGCGTCGAGCTCGTATAGCATGGATTCGATGAGGCCTTCGACAGCATACTTAGTCGCGCAGTACGGTCCCAGACCCGGCACGCCGAGGGCGCCGGACGTGGAGCTAAAAATGAGGTAGCGACCATAGGACTGGCCGCGGAAGTGTGGAATCGAGAGTTGGATGATGTTGAGCGTGCCCAGGACGTTCGTATTGAATTGGTTGCGCAGATCGTAGGAGTCTTGGTCTTCGCATGCGCCTATGACGCCTGTCTCACGCATCAGCACACTATACAGCCCTTTTCCATCTGGGATACCGGGGCATACCGTAGCCTGTGCAGCTGTAGATTGGTCGTCAGCGCCAATTCCAACGTACAGTTCTACAAAAAGGTGGATATGTCTAATGAAACATGGAATTGGTACTTTACTATTATGTCTACGTTCCCCCAGTGCTCAATGCTCTGGTTGATAACGGCGCCGACCGTCTCCCGCACGCGCACGTCGCACAGCAGACCGAGACAGTTCCGCTCGTGCCACCGCGACATCTGGTCCTGCGTGTTCTCCTGAGACCACCCGACGGCTGTGCACTTGTCGCCGTGCGCGAGGACCGACTTGGCGAGCGAGCGACCCATATGGCCTGTTGCGCCGAAAATCTGTAGGGAACATAGGCCATTAGCGATTCGTACAAAGAGAATTGAGCTTGGAGCTGTGGCGGACGTACGATCCATGACGCTTGCTTAGGGGGGTTGTTCTCAGAGGGCGGGTCACAAGTCGCGGGCAGGTGTAGATTAGGATGGTGAGACGCAGCTATCGGGGAGAGGCTGGTGCTCGCGGCGTCGTCCATGGCGGGCGATGAGGGATGGGATAGAAGCGATGATGTGGGGATTTGAAGGTTGAGCTTCGTAGCTGAAAGCTTTGCCATAAATTTAGCCTCCAAAGCTCAAGAAATCAAAGAGAAGGCACACTGAACAACGATGTCATAGGTTATACAATCAATATAACATTCTTAGTGATTTGGCCTATGTAGATGGATGATAAACTATTTCTTCCTTTACATTCCAGTTTTAATTGTGAAATGTAGTGAAGCATGCCAAACATAAGAATATGCAAACAAGCTCCGCGGACAAATTGTTTGATCTGTGTACAATTTCTCAGACTACATGTGAGTATTCAACGTCCTGTAGAAATGGAAGAAACGTGGTATAAGATGGTAGTCTTGAACTTGGAGCTTTGACCCCATCCCGAGGTCGCCGTTTCGTCACCATCTTTTTGCTACCCACCCGCCATTCATGATTGCATTATAGCACTCCGTCCGGCTTGCAATGGCCGTCACAAATGGTCTGTACAATTGAAAGGATTTCCTGCGCCCTGAAAAAGCTAACACCCTCATAGAATCGCCGCCTGTCCCTCAAGGCTCCTCGTACGTCTCCCCACCTCTAAGGCTCCATATCCAAACCCACGACTAATCCACCCCAGCCTCTCCTTCACCCAAGGCTTCCTCCTCGGCCAGCTCTCCATCGCTCTCCTCATCTTCTGCTTCATAAAGTTCTTCATCTTCGGCGAGCCCCCGCCCGCCGACGAACGCGCCCTCCATCTCTCCTCCCTGCGCCGCGCGCGCACTCTCGCGCACACTCAGCAGCCCCATTCCTCTTCCCTTCCCCTCCGCCACAAGCACTCCCGATCAATAATTCGACATCCAGCCGGCGGCGCAGGCCCATCGCCTACCATCGCCACAATCCTCGCGAAGACGTACTACAACGTGCAGGGCCACCAGCCGGAAAGCTTGGACTGGTTCAACGTCCTCATAGCGCAGACAATCGCGCAGCTGAGAGCAGATGCGCGGCAAGACGACGCCGTATTAACAAGCTTAACGGAAGTGTTGAATGGGCCTAGCAAGCCGGACTGGGTGGGCGAGATGCGGGTCACGGAAATAGCCCTCGGGGACGAGTTCCCCATATTCAGCAACTGCAGAGTCATGCCCGCAGAGGAAAGCAAGGTAGGTTCGAGCGGAGGGAGTAGTGCAGGGGGCGCTGGGCTAGGAGAGGAGAGCAGACTACAGGCGCGGATGGACGTTGATCTCAGCGACGTAATCACGTTAGGGGTGGAAACAACGCTGGTATTGAACTATCCCAAGCCGCTGGTTGCAGTCCTCCCCGTTGCCTTGGCTGTCAGTGTGGTGCGCTTTTCGGGCACGCTGTCTGTGTCTTTCATCCCGTCATCGCCTTCGCCAGCTCCCGCGACGTCGAAACTGGACCATGCCCTGAACTCTGGCTCCGCGGATGGTCGCCCGCAGACACCGAATCCAACGCGTCGTCCTACTAGCCTCGCGTTTACTTTCCTCGATGACTATCGTCTCGATCTCTCTGTTCGCTCTCTCGTGGGCTCCCGCTCCCGCTTGCAAGATGTGCCAAAGATCGCGCAACTAGTCGAGGCGCGCCTGCACGCTTGGTTCGACGAGCGTGTAGTTGAGCCGCGCTTCCAGCAGATTGTGCTTCCGAGCTTATGGCCGCGGAAGCAGAATACGAGAGGTGGAGAGGAAGACGAGGGGGCTGCAGAAGGTATGGGCGATGTTGGCGAGGCGGAGCAGCAAGGGCACCAAGGAGAGGAGAAGGACACCGAAAGAAAGAACTTTGTCCCATCTGCAGCGCCTGGGACGCTGGAGACCAGGATGGAGGCAGAAGGGGCAAAAATGCGGGAGGCTGAAGTTAGAGCCGGTAAGAGAGCGAGTGCGAGAGCAGCTAGTGGGGGAGGCATGCGGTGGAGGGGAAATGGGGAGAGTGGGGACTGGAGTGGGCAAAGAGGTATGCCAGGTGCAATGCTTGGCTCGTGAGGGGTCTGTTATACGGACGATTTTCCACCCTCACGGTCGATACGAAAGGACTGCATGGTTATGGCGTTACATCATGGGGCATTGTGAATGGTCATGGAAAATGTATTATACATGGTGCTGGGAACGAGCACACGCCTCAAGTCAGTTTCACATACGAACAATGGATACCAATCCAGGAAAGATTCGGCATGCTGCGTAAACTCACCACTACGGGTAGCTATCATATATTCCGGTGACTAGGTACTAAGGATGTTGCTGGAGGCAGATTGATTTTTGAACTGAGGTGCGCGTCAAGGACTTCAATCACCAGGAAAGGTTCTGGCGACGCACTGGAGGGTAGAAAGAAAGTGGCCTTGGAGTCGGATCATGAAATTCAAGTTGTAACTTCATTGTAGTTCAGATTTAGTGAGAGCCGCAGGATCGATTTCAAAATTCGAACTAAGCACTAGACCTTGAACACAGTGACCCCTTTAATTCCAATCCCACTATCTCAATTTATACAAAGGCATTCCATCCCAGAACGCCTCGCTATGCCTTCTCCCGAAAAAGCCCAACCGCCAGGACCGCCCCGCAGTCCTCCTTCAAGGCCATTCATTTTCCTCGAGCGAAGCATGCAAATACCGACCCAGCGCTTCCAAAGTGTTTGCAGACGCTGAGGAAATCCGCAATCAAGGAATGACAGCAAAGGCAGATTGGAAGCAATCAAGTAGGAAAAGTGTAAGAGTAAGGAGAGAAAGGATTCCAAAAGCGGGATCCATGATACTGAGTCCACCCCTCCCAATGCTCCAACCGGCGAAACAGACCCAAAGATTGATTAACCAGAAAGCAATACTAACAAAAGCCACCCAGTACCTGTGATTGGAATTGTAAAGAGAAAAGGAGATGCTCAACCTCAGCTCCTGCAAAGACGCTATGCTTTTGAAGCACAACAATGGCAAGGATGAGATAGGAGGAGCACTACATGTGACTCCCAGATCACAATTGCCCAGATCCAGATATGGGTATCTCAATTCTCTCGCCGCTAGGACTCGCTCATCCCAAAGCACTCCGCTTCATTGGCGGTGGGGGTGGTGGAGGCTTCTTCGCCCGGCTCGGCGGTGGGGGCGGCGGGGCCTTCTTCCCAACACCGCCTCCGCTTCTCTCAATCTCGCCCGTTGTCCAGCTTGCCGCCCGGCTGGGTATGCTACCATGGCTAGTTGCAGGGCTTGGCGGACTTTCGTCCCGCACTCGTCTACCTCCATAGCCGTTTCTATCACCGTTGCTCTCGACATTCTCATCCTCGTACGGATCTGCGAATGTATCTGCCCGGCGTACAGGTCGCAGTTGTGAACGATTTGCCATTATGAGGGAGGAATCTGTCGGTACGCGAGCCAGGCGGGCATTTGGAGCAGGCGACATGTCGCGACCAGCGAGACGGGAGGGGCCTTCAAAGGTTTGGGCTCGATTGGCGGACGGACGTGAGTAGGCATGGGCAGGCGAGAGATCGCGGTTTGAGCCACGGGTGGGGATCGTCATGCGTGGTTCGGGAAGAGGGGGCTCTTCCTCGACGGGGTTGTAGCGCTCGTTGTAGGCATGAGCGGTGTTGGAGCGGGAGCGTGTGGGCTGGCGGGTGTCGCGAGTCTCGCTGTTTTGAACACTTCTATTAGCATACTGGTACGATGGATAGCCATCTTTGGGCTTCGTGGCGTGGTGAGGGCAAGGGCATACCTTTGCGCTGGCCAGTTGCGTTTCAGTTTCGTCAGGACTTCCCTGCAGCTGTCGTAGTATGACAATTCGGCCTCCAAGAATGCCGTAAGATCTGCCACACTGTCCACCTCCGCGGCCTTGATGTCCTCCATCCGCCTGTAGACGTCCTCGCTCGACTCCTCGTACTTGGCTTTCTGGGACCGCAGTTCCTCCTCGACTCGGAAGTCTTCCTTTTTGGCTTTCTGCATCTTGGCGAGGGACGCATCGTAGGCTAGACGGCGGGTTTCAAGCTTCTTTCGGGCAGCCTGTGCAGAGTTAGAGTGCTTCTCATGGTGCTAAGATTCAAGAATGCCGGCCTACCTGATACTCCTTCATCTGAGCAAGGGAGCGCTCGAGCCCCTCCAGCCAGGTTGAAGTAGCATTCTGCACATAGCTCTCTTGTAGGCGAGCTATCCTCTCGTTTGCTCTACCAAGCGCTAGACAACACCATCAGCATGCGCCCCGGCGTCAGCTTACTGCGAAGGATGTGCTCACAGTCAAGACATTGACCGAATTCAGAGTCAGGTTGGAAATCCTCGCCGTGACTGATCATAGTAGAGCCCAGGTATCCGCCGGGCAGTGCCTTCTCGCGGTCGTCGACTTCGTTGCGCTTGGAGAGCGACTTGACGTACATGTTCATGGATTTGTGTAGCTTCTCCATGCCTGTAGACGGTAGCATTAGCATTGGCACAGCCCTACTCGTGCCAGCGACGACGGCATGAGTTCGTACCCTCGTGCCTCAGCGTCATCTCCATCTCCAGCTGCTTGAAGTCCTCAGACGTGCTGGTCTTGGCCTCCCCGCCCATCTTCTCCCCCGCCCACTGCTTGAGGCGGTCGGCCTTCTTGATGAAATTCATGGCTGGGCGTGGTTGGCGTCAATAGCGAATGTCGCGGATAGGGGAGTAGAGGCCGAGCTCTGCGGTGGTGGTCGGAGGGGCGCGGTGGAGGATGGCGGACGTGGCCTGTTTATCACTTGGAGGTGGGACGGCCCTTGGGCAACGGCGATCAATAACGCCGCCGAGATTAGGGGCAGCAGTGGGCCAGTGTACGCGGCTATCACGCAGAGGCGTGTCGGCAGAGAGAGCAACGAGTGAAGGAGAGTGCGAGCGGGCGCGCAAGACAGCTGCTTTTCACTGCTCGCTGGGCCGCTGTAAGAAGTTTCCCCTTCTGGCATGGCCTGCTTCTGTGCCCGCCACCGATCACGGGCGACCTTGCAGACGCCAACGCTCCCGTGGCGCGTCTCCACAGCGCCTGGTGCTCTCCATCCACCTGAAACCTGCAACGCCCACTCTGCCACCTCCGGGGCAGTTGTTTCACCCTCCTACCCGCCCGCCTGTGACCGCGCGCGCTCTCGAACTCTAGCAGTCGAGTTGAACACTCCCGGCGTCGTCTATCAATCGGATGCAGCCGCAGACATCCCTCCGGCACTCACCGGCCACTACGGCAGGGGGCCACGCAATGGCAGTTCATGCTTGCCTCTGTTGAGAATCGCCTGTGCTCTGGGCGTTCAGGGGGCTTGGGAGGTGGGGTGGCAATTGCTGGCTGCGAAGAGCGAACGCCGAGTCATCATGGGAAGTGCAGGGCTGTCACGGCGATGGGCCTGGCACGTTGTGCTTTTGGAGACGGCGACGTGTGATATCCTTCAAACGCAGCATCAACACCGCAGTCGGCATCCGAGGTTTGCTCATGGCAACCCACTTCTGCTGGACCGCTGCTAAATCAAGGACGGCCAAGATGATGGCTTCGCATCCTCAAACGATGGCACTGGATTAGTGATGAAGCACGTGAAGAGATCAGAATCAGCGAAACACACAGGCTTGGCAAGTCTTCTGGCTTTTAGATTTTTGTATCACATTGGACCCAGGCTGTTTGAAACCCGTGATATGCTACCTGCCTCTCGCGGCAGGCCAACTTGGATACTACCACCATGGAGAACCCCGAAGCCGCAAAACAGATCCCGGAACCGTGCACCCTCTCAAATCCCCTAGTCCTTCACCTTTTGAGTACCACGTAGCAGACCAGTCCGGCGAGCAGCGATGAGACCCGCCTTTTGACCCTGGGCAGCATACCGCGAGATTGTTGACGCTTTACCGATATGTTGATGGTTACCACCTCCGTGAGGATGGTCGACGGGATTCATGGCCACACCACGAGTCTTGGGCCACGAGTTGCGCTTCACAGCGTACTTATGCTTAGCACGCGAGGCCTTCAGGAGAGGCTTGTCCGTCCTTCCTCCACCAGCGACAATGCCAATCATGCCACGGACACTGCTCGATACAACCTTCTTAGCACCGGATGGGAGCTTGACACGGGTCTTGCCCTCGTCGGGGTTGTGGCCGATAACAGTGCAGCTGCAATCCTGTTAGAATACGCAGTTGCTAGACTCGAGTGCGGGTGCATTTACTAGTTGCCAGATGTACGGCCAAGTGCGCCTCGGTCGCCAATCTTCTCCTCGACGTTCGACACGACGGTACCTTCAGGGACGCTTCCGAGAGGGAGGATGTTTCCGACAGTTAAGCTTGCGTTCTTATCCAACATGTCAGCGCCATTGTTTCCTTGAAATCATAGCGTGTGAAATACCTTGCCGGAGTAGATGAATTGGCCAGTGTACATGCCCTCGTTGGCGATCATCGGTATGGATGTTAGTGAAGCGTTCGTCGAGTTGTAGGGTTATCACAGCTTACAGTCTCAGTGTGGAGCTTGAATCTGTACGGCTATGAAGAGGTCAGTCTCATGAAAACCTAGATGCGCCATCAGACTTACGTCTCTAAAGACCACCTTTGCGAGGGGGGCACCTCGTCCGGCTGCATAAATTGTTAGTAGAGTTCCTCGGAGTGTAAATGGGTCTTCGTACGGTCGTGGACGATGTCCTTCACGACACCGCGAATGTAGCCTATCAATCATTTCAGCAAAGCCCAGCGCAAATCGAATTGAAGTCGCAGCGGCAGCCAGACTGACCATGTCGTTCAGCGTAGTCGAGAGTTCGGAATTTCGCAGGTGCCTTGTTCAGTCGGGTGTGGGCCGTGAATATCGAGCCGCGACCCTTCCTCTGGTTACGGATAACTCGACCTGGAGGCCGTTAGCAGTGCAAGTATTGCGGCAGGCGTGGAGTCGTACCCATCGTGGCTTTGACTTGACGTTGGATCAGTTGATGGATATTTCAAAGTGGAGGTTTTGGATCTGTGGGCTGTCGTTAGCCAGCCTTGGCGGCACGTGATGGACGGTCGCCTCAAACCGGCCCTAGTGCATTCTCCAACATCGTCCTCCGCTGCCTCCTCTTTCTCATCCTCTAGCATCAATCCACCAACCCTCTAGAAAGCCTTCATAGAGCTGGCTCGTACTAAGAACGCAAGTACTATCGACGGCATGTTAGGCGTCGCGCAGTCAATCTTTATCGCATTTTCTGGCTCCACCACGTGTGGCAGACATTTCAATAGTGCATCGTCATTGTCTTCAGATAGAAGACTTTCATCATCAAAAGACGTGGGATCTATAGTGGGGAGTCAGAGAAAGCGTCGGCGTTGTCGTTGCGACCGCGTTTAGAGCCCACTCCTTCTTTTACTACCCCCAGCATCGAATGTCACGATATTACAGCGTGAAAGATTTACCTTGATCTGTGTCACCAATGATCACGTCTTCATTTTCGTCAAAGATTCGCTACCCTCTTGTACTCTTTTTTCGTTAATGTTGTTTCTCCAAGTCGTTGTAACGACACACCAGAGAATCGAAAATGCGGAATCCACGAAGAGAATCAAATCCGTTGACGAAAATTCCTGTTACTTCCAATGGCAGCTCTGCGTTGTGGATGTGTGCTAGTCAGAATCGCTTCCCCCGCCAAATTTCTGAGAAAGAGATTAGGATCAACGCAGCTCCTCAGCCCCTCAGGGCGTGCTGCCAACACACATCATGCGACCACTCCAGAATGCAACACTCAAAATCCTCGACGCGAAGGATGCGACATCCTCTACCGAAGCGCTGCATGGGAGTTGCTATGGGTAGTGCTGATCGTCAACACCATCTAGTATGGCCTGGAAAGCTATTAGCATCGCTAATACTGTCGCTTTACATTTTTAATAATGTACCAGACGACCTTATGCAGTACTAGGTAAGTATACACAGGCCCGGCGAGATTGCGTATCTGAGAGCAAAACTTCGCAAAGATCTGTGGACTGCTACTTTACGTTCAAGAGAGCCTGGCTAGCTTGCGCGTTCTGCTTTGCGCCCGACACAACCATGGAAACTCGATCACATCCACAATCCAGGCTTCCAGCCACAACGACAAGATTCAACCGAATCCACGCCGCTATCTTATCGCATGATGAAACAAGCAGCGTGCCTCTACTCTTCCCAGCTTCCTTCTCATTGGCGTCCTTCATTCAACCTACTAACTGCGGCAGAGCCATGCGCTTCGATACTTAACAACTTGCCCTTGGCTACCGATACACACTCTCGCTGGCTGCCTGAAACTGAATGCTGTAGAAGTGTGGATGCATTGCGTTGTGGGCGACGCTGGAAGATCGTATGTTAGCGGACGACGGATGTAGAATGTGGTTCTTTCGCGTATATAGCACAGCCTTACCTCTCTCTCTTCTCGGGCAGTTTCATAGATGCAATAGAAAAGTCTTCTGTCCGACCTTTCTCTCGGGCTCACCTCTAGAAGTCTCCAGACGCGCTATGAAGGGGAAGTGAGTTCCCTATGCACGCCAAATAATCTAGCACAGGCTTGCCTATATATCATGAACGAATCAGACGTCTCAGACGCCGAATGACGCCGTGCGCCGTGCCTGTACTTTAGCTCCGTCTTTCGACTTCGCTCCCCTTCCCGAACCTCCCTCCGCGCACGTCCACCTCGCGACTACTCCCACACCCAAAGTACTTCGACAGGTGCGATCCTAACCTTCATTATGAGTGACAGCGACCTCTCCTCTGTTTTATCGTCTCCGCCATCGTCGGACCACGAGATGGCTCAGCCCACACCGCCCACCAAGTCCACCAAGAAATCATCTTCGAAGAAGAATGGCACTATGCTCAGCTTCGTGGAGTCCTCACCACCAAGGAAGAAGCGCGCACCCTCTCCAGTTCACGAAGAGGTCCTGGCAGACAATCCCGACATTGCTGTAAGTCGTCGTCGCGTAAATCACGTCGTCGTCAACGCGATTTCACGTCCTTCCCTCAGATGTGCAGCGGACTAATGAAATCATACATAGTTCATTGTAATGTTCAGATCACGATTCAGCGACATTTTTCCTACGAAACTACAGAACCTTGGACCACAGGATATCGAGCGTGGCGTGGCCGACCCATTGCCTTCTCCCCAAGTCGAGAGTCTCCTTTGCGCCCTCCTCGGACTCGTCCTAAATCGCAAGAAATATGTAGAGTCAGTAGCCCATTCCCCTGCTGCTTCACCTAGCTAGATATGGTCGCGTTAAAACTGGGAACCCACTACGGATTATCTGATTTGCTGACGTCTCTTGAATCTCACAGGAGAGGCCACTATGGTCGGGCACTCGAAGAAGCCATCCAGACTCAGAAGACACAATGGCCACGCGCTTGGGGCGGGATCAACCCTCTTCATGGAGGCCGTACATTCAACACAATGTCCCCAGAAGAACGGGTGCGTCTCGCATACACTACTTATCGCTTCACGATCTTTGCTGACCTCTTTACCAGCTCACGTTAATCAAGACTCTTATCCTCTGGAGTTTGCATGAATCAGAGGCAGTCAATGGTACGATTAAAGAATCATACAAGCAAGCTCGACACGATGGCGACGAGAACCAGCCCCTCTCTGTCCAACCCTGGGGCCGCGACGGAGACAAGCGCCGATACTGGCTGGTCGAAGGTCGAGACGATACCGCTTTCAGAGTATACAGGGAAAGCAACCCGGTTCTGAAGCACAATACCTGGTGGAGCGTGGCCGGTACTATCGATGAGCTCCGCGTTCTCTCGGACAAGCTCAAAGATGAAGATGGCACGCAGGCTGCCAGGCGGTTGAGTGAGCGCATCATCAACGCCATACCCCGATTTGAAGCTACCGAAGAGGTAAGTGCCATTTATGCTTGCGACCGCAACTCATACTAACGATGTACCAGAAGCGCAAGCGCCGCGAATACCGAATGAACCGAAAGGCCCAATTTAGCCGTCCCGAACCCGGTTTCTCACTCTACGAAGGCAGGACTCGTGGAAAGCGCATGAGGTACACCTTCTCCGACGAAGAGGATGAAGACACTTCCGATGCAGGTTCTGCGCGGCGATCCACGCGACAGTCAGGACGAGGAACGCCGGCCGCACCCTCTGGCCCTACTGTAACTGCTAGTGGCCGTCATGTTCGGTCGCGACTTGGAGGAGTATACGGGGAATCACTGCTAAGCGGGCAAACTACTACCGAGCGGGCATCACCAGCGACTGGGGAGTATGAGCGGTCTGATGCATCGGAAGAGTCTCACCCAGCACATGGTCGATCCACTCGTGCAGCAGCGAACGCTAAGCCAGCCAATGGATGGTCGAAGACGCGTAAGCATATTGAGGGATACAACTCCATTGACGAAATCGACGATGAAGATGACGCCTCATCTTCTGGTGGAGAGTGGGACGGCGGAGATGAGGAAGACGAGGTCGATCGAATGGAGGTTGACGAAGAGGACGAAGCCGCCTCAAGTGAGGAAGACATCGACGAAAATGCTGAGCCGAACCCAACGGCTAGCCTGATTGTGAAACTGCGATACGGCAAAGCATCCAAGTCGCCGGAAGTGAAGCCGGCTGAGCCTCTCCAGGACTCAATAACTGTCCAGCCATGGACAGCCAGCGCTCCTCCCAAAGTAGATCCAGTTCCGAACGGTATTGCTGCTCCGATTCAAGCCACACCGAAGCCAATTCAGGCTGCTCCACAAGCAGCGCCTTCGGCTGTGGCTAACGGCATCACGGTTCACCAACCTCACGCCATACCTCCGCCGCAGCCTGCACAAACCGCGACTGTTCTCCCGCCATTCTCAGCAGTTCCGGCAGACGCACCTTTGAAACAATACCCTCAGGTCATGAACGTCCCCATTACTTCACACGAACCTCCCCAAGCATTCCAGACCACCATTTTACCCCCAAATCCCACCACTGCTTATGGCTGGCAGTAATTGATCAAACGATATGATGTCATCTTTCCCGGTGTCCCCTCTTAAAGGCCTTTTTTTATCAGAACGGCGAAGGTGTCTGTTAGCCATGTAAACTAAGACTGCTGCCTTACTAGCTGTTGGCTTTGACTTGCTGTCATATCTACCCGTGCTTCCGGCATGACCTCCTCTCTTCAGGATGTCTGAAACAAATGCTGTCTGTGTCTAACACTGCCTCTTTCTTTCTTTCTTTCTGTCTTATCTTGTACTCTAGAATCTTATGCGGGCTGGATTGGAGTGGTGACATGCTAGTGCGCTACCTCTCGAACCTCGTAGTGTAGAGAGTCGCGCGTTCTGAGATGCCAAAAGGCATGCTTGATATTTGAATTATGCTTCAAGACACAAAAGCTATCTCATGTGCTCATGTACTTTGAATATGTGCTTTAAATATGTGCGTTTGCAGTGCGTCGTCACTCTTTAAGGTATGAGACGATGTTTCATAGCTTGCCGCGATTACCGATGCCATATAACACTTTCTAGAATATGAAAAAGGTAGAATAGTTGCAAAGCTGGCTCTGATAGCATGTTAGGGGTGTATAAGCGCTTGGAAGAAGAAAGCATGCATCTATAAATTTCTCCTAGTACAAGACCAAGTTTTATATTCAGGCACACGGAGATGGCACTACTTAAGTTCACTCTTGCTCAGTCAACAAGGCTCCGGAAAGTAGCCCAGAGCAGATGGCTGGTCACTCAAAAGGCAGTATAATTTCCACCCTTGAAGCACAAGCAATAGGAAATATCATGAATGCAACCACTCGATTCGAGCTAACCTAAAGTACAGCGCAAGAGATCACACCTCAGCGGCCTCTCCCGCAAGATCAGCCGCCCCTACGCTCTCGCCGCCCCATCCTGCAACCCGCCAGAAAAAACACATTAAGCACCAACCCAACGCCCCAAAAAAGCCTTCCGAAAACAAGTCCAAACACCGCTTCTTCGTACGCCGCATGCAGCGTGGCCGACCTAGCCAAAGCCGAAAGGAAGAGATGGTGATGAGAGAAAGGGCGTGGATAAGAAGGGGTGGCGGAATGCCATCGCATTGATCTAGCACGTTCTTTCAATCTTTGATTGCAAAATAGGGTTACAAGAAAATCAATGAAGCCAAAGCCGAAGCCGGAGCAGAGCAAAACTAAAGCAAAGCCAAAGTCGAGCCATCACAAGACCGATTCTCCCTCCATGTTCATCGTGAGAAAGTGGGAATCTTAATGCCGTACTACTGTTGTTTCAATTGAATGAAATAGTCTATATGGATCATCCTGTAAAACGTTAGTATTCATGAACGAACCCGCAACCTAACCGGTAAACTCACTGCCAGAAGTAGAAGCTAAGGGCGTGCCGACGCTCGAGATAGGAGCAGTGGATCTACCATCTGCCATCGAGGATCCGACATTTTCAAAATCTTGGAGGTGAGGATGCGCCTCTGTCTCGTCCCGCAGACGGTCGATACAGGTTTGCTGCCACGATGTTAACGAAACGGCTGACGACATTTCGAATGATAAAACAAACCTCAATCAGATTCGCATCCTTGTAGAGGATACTCTCATCATCGTTGTACGTTCGGCAGTTATTGCAGAGAGCCCGAATATCTGATAGGAACTGCCTTAGACTCTGGTATTCCTTCTTGTTGATCTTCTTTTTGATCTGGTTCATGCAGATCGGGTTCTTGATGATTTGGTAGTAATCCGGATAATCGTACTTGTCCGGCAGCTCGATGAACGGATCGATGATACCCCGATTTGGAATATCGTCGTCATTAGACTCTTCTTCGAGATCATTCAGAGATTCGTAAACGGCGTTCAGAATGCGTTGGTGGGTCTCACGGTCCTCTTTGCTGAGCGTTTCCTGAACTTTGTTTGGTGTCGGACGGCCACGCTTTCGTGGCGCTGGGTCTCCGTCTAGCGATGCTTCGTCTGCCTTCCGCTTCTCAGCAGCTTTTGGTTTGCGGCCACGCTTCTTCGGTGCGGGTGACTCAGAGCTTTCACGGGACGGAGCAGGAGAGTCATCATCTCCAAAATCGCCAGTCCGCCTTGCCTTATTCGCATTACGCTTCGCAATTTTCGCCTCTTTGCGAGCCATAGCAGCTTCGATGGTATCCTCGTCGTTGTCGACAGCCTCGAGCCATTGTTCCTCCGTAAGGCCGTCATCGTACTTGACTCGCGTCCGCTCGCGCGCACCACGACCACGGGTCTCTTCAATCTCTTCAACGACCGGGTTGTCCTCTGACATGTAGAGTTCTGGCAACTCGGACTCGCCAAGAAGACGAGGGTACTTCCTATTCGGACCATACTCGTCATTCTTCTCGCGGTCGCGGTCCATTTGCGCGAAGATCTCAAGCTCCTTCTCTGAGCGCATCATGATCACATTCAAGTCGTCATCATCCATTTCGTCCTGTTCCAGGTGCTCCGCAGCTTCGGCAGACTCCAACATGATCCTGAGCATGGCGTCACGTTCCTCGTTCGTGGACTTGTTGTCGAATTTACCAGCTTGAATGACCTTGCCGTCCATATCGAGCTTGAAGTTAGCACGCTCCAGAATCTTCTCTTCGACGGAATTGGAGCTGATGAGTCGCAAAATTCGAACTTCGTTCTTTTGACCAATGCGATGAGCGCGATCTTGAGCCTGAAGATCCTGATGGGGATTCCAATCCGAGTCGTAGATAATGACCGTATCTGCAGTTTGAAGATTCAGACCCAGGCCGCCGGCACGCGTTGATAGCAGGAAACAAAAGTAGGGCGAGTCGGGCGCATTGAACTTTCGAAGCAGCTCAGACCGATCATCAGATTTCGTGGAGCCGTCAAGTCGCAGGTACGCCATACCTCTTAGACGCAAGAAGTCCTCCATGATGTTCATGATTTGAGTCATCTGGAAAAACATCAAGACACGATGCCCGGTGGCTTGGAACTTGGGTAGGACCCGGTCAAGTAGCTCGAATTTGCCGGCTGTCCGCCACAGGAGGTCGTTGGATATTTTCCCTGGGTTCATCTGTTCTTCAACTTCTTCAAAGACGAAGGGGTGATTGCACAGCTTCCGCAGTTGCATCAACATGTTGCTCAAGCCCCTCATACCGGTCTTTCCTCCCTTGCCATCGCTAACTATAAGCCTATTGTGATTGACGAGTTGCTTGTACAGCTTGGCTTGAAGGGCTGAGAAGTTGCACTTCACGACTCGCTCCGTCTTGTCAGGAAGATCTTTCTCGACATCCTTCTTGAGACGACGGAGGAGGAAAGGCCGAAGAACCTTATGCAACCGACGAATGACAAGCAGCTGTTCTTCTTCGGTAAGCTCCATTTTATCCTGTCCACCAGTATTCGCAAACGGGGTATTGAACCATTCATCGAACGATTTGACTGACTTAAAGATGGTAGGAAGGACAAAATTGAGAAGTGCCCATAGCTCTGGGAGATTGTTTTGGAGAGGTGTGCCTGTAAGAATGATACGATATCGGGTGGTATAGTATTGCGTGATAGTAACGCTGAGCTTCGAGCCGGCGTTCTTCATACGATGACCCTCATCGACAATCATGTGCAGCCATTTGACTTTGCTGAGAACAGGACGATCTTTGATGATGAATTCGTAAGTCGTCAAGAGTACCTGGAATTGGCCCCAGCGGATTTGCTGCTGTTGCTGCTTCCGGGCGTTGGGAGGACCTTTGTAGACAATCTTCTGGACGCTCGGGGCCCACTTGTCAAACTCGTTGTTCCAATTCGTCAAGGTGCTGAGTGGCACGATGACCAGAAATGGGCCTTGCTGCTGCTTCTTCTCGATAAGATACGTGATCAAGCTGATTGTCTGGATAGTCTTGCCGAGACCCATTTCATCAGCCAAGATACCGTTGAGGTTGTTGTTGTACAGCGATATCATCCACTGCAGTCCCTTGACCTGGTATTCTTTCAGAGTACCACCAACGAGATTTGACGACTGGCCAGTGACTTCTTCTTTGATGCGATGGGCGATTTCATAGTAGTCAGTCTTTGCCACCCGCTTGCTACTTCCATCTTCATCCATGGAGTCATCCTCACTGCTCTCGGATTCTTCGGCAGGACGGCCTCTATCACCGTACCGGTCCATAGCACTCCGCTGTTGTGCTTTGACGGAATCGGAAAGCTGTTTCAAGAAACCATCTGTTTGCTTTAACAAATGCGAGATACGAGTATCCTTGGCTTGGCCGAGCAGCTTCAAGTAAGTCTCTTCGTCATTGGCCTTGAGAGCTTGTAGACGCTGTTTGGCGGTACGTTCGACGCGCTTCTGTTCTTCCTTTTCAATGTTCTGGTGTGTCTGTATCATAGTCCTACCAAGCTTCTGCATTCGTTGGCGTTGAGCATATGCAGCCTTCTGGATGTCTTCTTGGTGGGTGGTGATAGACTTGAGGAAGTCAATGTGCTTCTTCTTCTCCTTAGTTTCCCGAGCGTCGCGCTGTTGTTTCTCGAGCTTCTCGGTAATGCGAGCCTCACGAAGCGATTGCTTCTTGATTCGGCGATATTGGGCACGGTTTGCCGTCATCGCTAGGTTGTCAGACTGGACCATTTCTCTACTGATGACGTTTCGAAGGGATCGCTGCTTTTGTAGAAGGCACAGCGCCTTGTACTCGATGAGGGCCCTGAGCTTAAGATTCCCGTTCTCAGCTGGGGCGTCCGACTTGCTCGTGTCCCATGTGCCAATGTTTGCGGGCAGCTTTTCCAATTGCGCCTTTCTTGAGAGAACCCTGTTGTATACAATGTTCTCACGCTCTTCGCGCACCTTGTCGACGTCAACTCCAATTGGCATTATAGACGGTAGCTGATGGCGCTGGTCGCGGAAAGAATGGTCGATGTAGTTCACGGGATCGCTGATATGTTTCCAAGGTGATGCGGAAGTCTCATAGCCCGTGTGGCTATTCGAGTCAGATTGGTCTGTGTTAGCTTCTGTTCCAGCAACACTTGCTGTCTTGGTCGCATCATCAAGCGCTTGGCTGGCGGCAGCAACCGCTTCCGTCGGCGTTGGCGGCTTCTTGGATTGGTGTGATGCGAACAAAGTCTGCTGCATATTGGGAGGGAGCGGTAAGCCTTTCGACAGGCGCTTGAAGGCGGCAATCTGGTTTCGCAGGATCAAGAGTTGGTCCTGGTTGAATGGGCTCATACCAGGGCCAGTTGCGGACGTAGGCGTCTTTCCTTGACCAGAACCCGCAGCTTGCCCCTGAGTAGAGACCTGGATACCGCCTGGGGGAGACGCAGCTGTGCCTGAAGTGAGTGGGCCATCACTCGATGTACCTGGGGCAGCCTTTGCGCCATTGGTCATGGCGGCTACTCCGTTCCCATTTGGTTGCTGTGTGTGGTTCTGCTGGGCTTGCTGCAGCTGGTTCTGTTGCATGCGCGTCTGCATCTGCTTATACATGGTGTTCTGTCTCTGGACAGCCTGGAGGAGGGCCCGGGCTTTGCGAAATTCGGGGTCGTCCTCGGCAACGCCTTGTTCTTTCAGCTGTGTGTATTTCTGTAGTGGCGTTAGCAATCATTGCGACACGGGGTGGTGCGTTGAGTGAATGAGGAAGTGAAATCAGGGTGGGGAACTTCTTACCAGATAGGCGGCCTGAACATGTTCTTTGGTGAGGCCTGGAGGAAGTGTGGCGGACGCGAGCGCCATGCGTTCTTGGGGAGCAAAGCCCGGGGCGGCCTGTACGGAAGCCATGGTGAAAAATAGTGAATGATACTGTCGTGCAACGCGTAGCGCGACCGACTGGGGGAGATGCTAGCGGCGCAACAGGAGTGTGGAAAACCGCACGCGCGGGCGGCTGCTAGGAACTGGGCGGGCAGTGAAAGGGCGCGCGGGGTGGCCGTTCAGAGCATCCTCGTGCGGCGTGGGTGCCGGTGCAGAGCGTCCGTCAACGAGGGTGATGGACGAGACCGGGGGGGCTCCTGTGGTTGATGTCGCGCGGGCTGGGGATGATGGAATTGGCCCAGGCAACAATGGGGCGGCGCAGGAGAGCAGGGAGGGCGCGCGGGGGGAGGCGGCTGTTCACGCGTCGTGGAAAACGTGTTATGCGGCGGAGATAAGATGGATGCGGGCTTGGGAGGTGTTGTGGTCGGCCTGGGAGGGTCGGCGTAGAGAGGCGAGCGTGATGAGAAGTGGACGGGCTCTGGAGTTCTCAGCAGGAAAAGGACGCTAGTGCAGTCACGTGTGCACTAGCACTAACTGGGAGCTGGCCAATCAATCGGCAGCGATGCTCGGGAATGCTCTCGGGGCAATGAAGGCCGTGAAGCAGTTTAGTAGTATTCAACGCGCTGGACCAGAGATTGACATTATTGTCCGACGCTCATTTGGGGTACCACCCTATCTGGAACGAACATCTGTCAGTCTGGCAGGCAGCCAACCTACTGATTTGTTATGAGAATCTATGGAAGTGTAACTCTTAGAGTGCGTGAGATCCCCGGGCGCCTTCACTGCTTCGCTCAAGAATCTCGAGTGTTTTGGGGAGTTCACAAGCACATATTCTACGTAAAATATACGTATACACAAGTTTGCCATCGAAGCCTCGTCTTGAGACTCAGTGTCAATGAGAGCGCGCTGGAACGGAATGCTAACTTTCCTTAGCAGACAAGAGTATGCTATGGAACAGCTAATGGATAAATGGTGGGATTATTGAAGAGCAATAGCTATTTTGTATCGAGCGGGTCCCGAAACCAGTCCTGAGTAGAAATCTATAAGTCAAGCAACAACACTCAACTCGACTATTAATATGCAAGCGAACAAAAGGAGACTGAAACCAAACAGACTTCCAAAGATCGACATACTCATACATCGTAGCGCGCGAACTCGAACAAAGATCTATTAATGAAGAACATGTTCACACATTGCCGTTATTGAACGACTGGAACCCCCATGAATTCTAGTGTCGCACCTAGGTCAGTTACGATCTGCGGGTTTAGGTTCATCTAAACTGGTCGTAGTGACTTACGCGTTGCTGCAACGGCGGGTTCTGCTCATTAGCGCCGCCAGCCAGCCAATCGTTCTCAATGCCAGAGTCGGCGGGTACGAATATGGCCCCAGTATCTGTTGACGGCATGGCTGGCAAGAAGTCTTCGTAGGCGTCAGCCGTCGCTACATTGCCAAACCCTTGTAGTAGCGAGTCGAGATCCACATCCAAAGCTCCCATAGGCTGATGTGGTTGCGCATTCATAGACCCTAATGCAGAGTCCGAGCCAAATTGACTATGACTGTTTCCCTTGACCACGTTGGCTTGGCCCTGCGCTGCCCTCCTCTTTTGGGCACCCCGCATCCCAAAGAACACTTCTAGGTTCTCCTTGACCGCCCACAAGATATCCCCACACCTCTCCTGGACGCCTACACCATAGCAGTGCCCGAATACATGATCCATGATGGTGAACATACGGTCCTTCTTTGGTAGGTCAGGGGTGCGGTACAGCTCACTCAGGAGTAGCAGCACAGAGTTGTACTGCTGATATGAGCTTGCGTACCACGCCCAGGGGTTTAGTGACGGCAGTGTCTCCAGCGTTGCGCCAGTTTCAAGAGTCATCAACGCAGCTGTGATCAACACATCTCGGAGACGATTTTCAGATTCCGTACGTGTGTGCGAGGGATTCTGGGGCAAGTGGCGGTACAGCAGCATGGAATCGCAACGCGAAAGGAGGAGTGTAGCAACCAAACCCGCGCAGCGTTGGATCGGGATTTGCGGGTCGAGAAAGCGGAGGTAGTTGGAGTGTATCTGGCGCTTGTGAGACTCGACCTGGGCGCGAATGTCGTGCAGAGTGATTGCGTTGCGGTCCATTTCCGTGCGGCCTCGAAAAATCAGACGATGAATCTCGTTGCATTCGTAGCGGATAATAGAGAAAGTTGCATCGGTCCAGCCTTGGACGGAGACGGGATGCGGTTGCCACTTAGGAGTGCCAAACTCAAAGGCATCGTCATCAACATTTAGCGGAAGCGATATATCGAACTCGTCGGTTCGGATTGAGGGAAGAGGTCCTTGTGATTCTGCTGATTTGACATCGAGAAAGCATATTTGGTGCCATAATAGTGATCGGACATGACGTTGTAAAGGATTAAGAGAAGTAGAAAGGTTGTGGCTAGCACGGTGGATACCGATGCATTGAGCGAGACGGATGAGAGCACCGACGAGGACAGATGTTGTACGAGAAACCTGAGCTCGACAGAGCGGCATCTAGACACTGTCAGCGATTCATCCTTCTAGTTCTAATAGACAGTGGATGATTCACTAGATATATAGTGAACGCTTGGAGAGTTCGGATGTTTGATGTCTTCGTCCAATTGGCTCTGATCAGAGCTTGCTCGGTAGCTGTCTGTAATCTTCGAGCAAGGTCTTCTTGTTCGAGTCCGAACTGAGTCTTCGATTGAAGCACTGTCAGGCTTGAAGCGGCCGCCATGCACACTGCCAAGACAAGTGCCATCGATGATACGGAATTAGGGTTTCCCAGCTCAACGTTCACCCAAAAAGTATCGAAAAGTCTCTTGAAAGACGGAATGTGCAGCACATGAGCAATTGGATTGACGGATTCAAGATAGATCTGGTACAGGGTCTCCGCTTCTACTCTAGTAGGAAGCCGAACATCGTTGGGGCCATCGGTTTGAGAGCCGGAAGCAGGAAGTGCTAAGAGTAACGAGAGAGATGGCGAGGGGCAAGGAACCTTTTGGGAAGAAAGCAAAGTAGAAGGCTCGGTGATAGTGTGGCTTATGCTAGATGAGGATTGCTTAGGACGATTTGAGAGGAGTCTCCCCAACTGGGAATTGTTTAGTAAGGAAAGATGGAAATAGTTGTGAAAATGTCGCGGCACATTTCAGGAGGAATACCTCTTCTGCGTACTGGGGACGGAGAGGAGCCCCAACTCTATCGACAAGAACCATTCTTCCGATCTGTAGGTTGAATTCGGTTACATCCCAATCCTCGTCTTCGTCCTCGTAAACGCCATCATGCGCGGCTTCTGGATCTAAGGGGAGTTTGGCCCAGGCGTCGTCGTCTACATCAATATCTTGCTGATAAGCCTCCCATTCGTAATCACGTGGGGGGGTGCCTGGCGTCGTGGTGGATCCACTGGCATGATGCTCCGCGCTCGGGCCGGGTGAATCGTTTAGAGTACGTAGTGGAAGAGGTTGGGTCCAGTCCGCTGAGGATCTTGATATAGACTCCCGTGGCCTTCGACGTTGAGTTTCCGGAATGGTTATGAACACGCAATTCCTCCCGAAGGCGGTGCAATTCTGGCATGGCGACGTCTTAGAACAGCGCGACTTGCGTTGGCGGCACTCGATGCAAGAATTGATTGGGCGCGGATTCCTCCGACGGACGATGCGGGATTGCGTGACCTGGTCGGACATTTCCAGGGGTCATTTTTGTTGCATCGTGCCTCTGTGTACGAGAGTGCTGGTGGTGGTCAGAAGGATGAAAGACGAGGCGGCAAAGATTCCAGAAGAGAGATCGGTCTCGACCACGTGATGCTAAGAAGGCTGGGCCCGCGCGATTTTTAGTCGACACGGAACGGCGCCGATCCAGCTCCAATCCGTGATAGCGTCGCAGCCGTCACCGGTGGGAGCTGCTGGCGGACTTTAGAGAATAGCAATATGCCTACATTTCTGTTCTTCTGGATGGGCTCACCCTAGCTACGCTGCCTTTCTTCGGGGAGACCGTATGGTCAAAAAGGACAGTAGCCAAGTCTGATACAAGGTTCCTGTAGCGACACTGCAACTACGAACTTTCACAGATTAGATGAGTTGGAGAGCTACATTGCGGCTGAAAGATTGCTGAGCATGTCTCGCGGTGTGAGTATGATGGCCTTAGCAATATGGAGTGGAAAGGTTCCTGGGGGCCCATTTCACCCGGACTCGACGTTTCCTCGACATCTCATATGCCATGTTCAGCGGGATTTGGGTTCGACCAACAGACTCGATTTCCAGGAATCTCGCCCAAAAGCTGCCGTGTAACACAGTAGGCCTTGTGAGTAGACTTCGTCGTCAATGGCTTCTTGTCTTAGTGTTTCTATCCCGTTGCCCAGGAGAGCTTGGTCCGCGGCCGGCAACCGATTTCAGGGACGTATAGAAGGGAGGCTGTTAGTGTTAACACCACATCGCAATTCAATGAATTTAACTGAAGACTGCTAAGAGGACTGGGTTTCAGGAGAGGGACCATTCCGCATTCAACTTAGCGTGAAAAGCAAACCTCTCACATCCAGACTGTGTACACCGCTCTGGCGCTGCGTGAGGTGACCTCGGGACTTCTTCGATTGTTCAAAATGATCCCACCTGCATCGGCGTGAGGTGCCCCCATGGGCTGCATAGATTGTTGTAATGAACTTGATATGATTTATGGTACAGAGCTATTTAAATGTCAATACAGCAAATATTTCAACGAGATCTACTTCACGCCCTCGCGACCTCTACATCCTATGGATTATTTCTCCTATAGGCGTGACTAGGCTCAACGAGCTGCACAGGCCGGCAACGAGTGATAGACTTGTTGTGAGTTACATAGTGGTATAATTTACATACCAGTCCAACAGATTCTTCGACAGCGTCTAATTCATGGTCTCTCAACCTTGACATTGTGTGAACTTATTCTTCTATAGGTGTGAGGTGGCTCGACAGGCTGTGTAAGGTCCCAAAACAACAGAACAACTAATGTAAATTACGTTGCCATGAAACTTGTACAGGTTTAGAGTACCTTTTCCAGGGATACTGACGCCACGTTTAGGAGCACTCCAATCCACGCGGAAGGATACCCTGGTTCACGCATAGGGTATTCCAATTCAAGCTTAGATGCCTTAAGTAGTGACAAAAGAGAGTATAGGGGCTTGATGTAGTACGTTTGTGTGAGAAAAGAAATATGTCACAGGCAGGCTTCCTTGAACAAAATGTGGCAGTCATGCTGGCTGTGATAAAAGCGGCACACTCATCAAGCACTCTGTCTCATGCAGCCATAGTGCTTCAATAAGGTTCCACATAGCCCAAAGTGAAGAGCTTTTGTCTCGTTCAAATGTCTGAAATCGGTTTGAAGCACCCCAAGCAGTGGCATACACGCACACACACGCAAAGCGACTTCTTCTAGGAATCACAGTGCTACTTTTTTGATGCCCCGCGTAGCAGTCTATAAATCTGTTTGCTATTCTTAAGATTCCGATACTCTAAATACACAACCACTCCGGCTTGTGTGCACTTGCCTACCACCGCTTCAGGTCCCCTAGTACACCATTTAGGACTGGAAAACAACAGTTTCAAGAAGCCTGTTAACTCTTCAGGCCACCTCAGACGGTATCAGAACAGAATGCCACTTTATGTTTCACGAAGCCTGACAAACCACTTGATCTCATGTGAAGCGCAAGGTAATTCATTGTTCTACATAATGCATCAATCTTCAAGCTCCTCCACAATCTCAAGCTCTTCTCCACCCACAGGCTGGCCCTTTGGCTTCTTCTTTTGTCGCTCTTTCTTCTTCTTTGCCCCATTTTCCACTCCCTCGCCACCCTCGTCGCCCGAGACGTCAGCTCCAGCCAACTGCTTCTGGCGCTGTATCTCCGCATACTCTTTCCTCGCAGTTTCGACCTCGGCCTGGTTTTGTGCCTCAATTTCATTCAATTCTGCCTCAAGTTGGCGTGGATCCTTGAACGCAGAGGCCTCTTTGCCAGTCCTCTTCAGGTATTCATGGAAATCGATGGGCTTTTTCCTCCCAACAAGGGCTTCTTTGATACGGTCTGGATCCAGTCGCTCCTCACGAACAAACTTCTGCTTGATGCAACGGCGGTCTTTGTTGGGAAAGAGGGTAGCTACCATGCCGAAATCGGTGCCAAATATAGTCAAAGCGTCGTAGAACTCGTTGGTCTCGGTAATAGTCCACTTCTTTGACGGGCCCCTTACGCGTTCTGCAGGATCGCGGCGGTTCGCAAGGATATGACTGCCCATGTTGAACCGATTGGTGAGGTCGTCTTCCTCAATTGCCTCTAGAACATCTTCATCTTGGGCGGCTTCCGCCCGGCGGTCTCGGACCAAAGAGTCCGAATTAAGAACAATATTACCATCTGCGTCCGTTGTGAATTGAGGCACGTCGTTCGCAGCATCTCGCTCATTGGCAGCCTGGTCGAGACGCTCATCAACCTCTGTGGAGTTAGCACCGCCATTCTGTGCCAGTTGCAGGGCCCTTTCCGTTCGGCGTTTCTTGACTTCGTCCCAGTCTATTTCACGCATTTGTTTCTCCCGGTTGGAAAGTTTGCCCCGTCGTGTATCTGCGACGGCTAAGCTAGCCATGGTCGTATCGGGTGCTACTTCGTGATCTTCAGCATCATCAGGCGTTGGGACTCGCTTGCGCCGGCCCCGTTGTTGCGCTTCTTGCCCGACTTCTTCTCCCTGATCTTCCGTCTCTGCGGTGGCGGTCCTCTTTTTCCGAACTCTCTTGGGCTTCGGACGAGGGTCCTCAGCAGCCCCATTCTTCTCGGTAGCCGGTGCCTTCCTCTTGGTTCCTTTGTCCTTGCGAACCTTTCGAGGTTTCTTGGTCACAGGGCCTGGATGTTCTCCTTCGCCGCCCTCGCGTGCTGGACCCTCCTTTGATGTCCTCTTGCCTTTTGGTTTTGCAGTAGCTGTAGGCTGCGTTACTGGAGCCCTCCGTCTCTTCTTGCTCCCAGTTGCTTGCTCTGTTGTGTCTGTTGGAGGTGAAAGCGGACCTGCGGTTTCCGATTGGGGCGTGGCGGGCAATGGGGTTGGCGCGGCAGATGTCTCTCCCCGAGAAGGTGGTGCTGGTTCTCCTGATCGGGGAGTTGTAACAGCGGAGGGTGATGGGGTGGGTAGTGGACGACTTTCTGATGCTTGTGAGGGCACAGGAGCAGGGGTCGTGGTCGTGGTCGTGATGGGCGTAGCATCTTGATTCGATGGCTGCGACAGCGCTGGAGTATTTGATGCGACTTGCGGATTTGCGGGGGTCGTGTCTTCGGGCGCTTGGGTTCCCTCTGTGGCCTCGGATGTACGATCTCGCGGTGGCTCCTGGGAGAGCCTGTGCCTCTTAGATGGCCTTGGAGAGACGGCACCGTTATCGTCTTCCTCCTCTGCTTCAGCAGGCGAGAGGACTGGAGACTTCCTAGCTTGCCTAGCTCCACTACGCTGTTCTTGACCTGCATCTGTGGCTACCGTAGGCGTTGACGCGGCTGCAGTGCTCGATTGTACGGTGTCCGTCGTCAAGGGGGTTGGCGGGTCAATTGGAGCTTGTGTATTTGCCGGGCTCGCTATGAGTTGTACTGAAGTCGCTGCAGGCTGTGTCGGGGCCACGGTAGTCTGTGCCAGAGTCACAGTCGCCCGTGCTGGAGTCGCGGTATCTTGTGCTGGAGGTACAGTATCCTGCGCTGGAGTCGCAGCGGTCTCCTGTAGTAGGGCAATGGTCGGGGGTTGTATTTCGGAAGCAGTATTCTGGCTGTCTGCCGGTTCTGATTCTGCGGTCTGGGTAGATGGCAGCGGCGTCGGAGCATTGACAGTTGAGGCTGCAGACGGGTCTGGGAGGGATTGGGAGAGTTCTGGAGCTGGAGGAGCGACTGGCCGACGTCGCTGTATAGCTTTCGGCGCGAATTTCCTGGTGGATTTGTCTGCGCGAAGAAGTCAGTCTCAGATGTATCGCTGTGAGGCAGCTCTAGCAAACTCACTGATCACAGAGCTTCCAAAGGTGCTAATTGGCGGGGGTGCGTGTGACTTCTCGCTGGCGGCATCGGGCTTCGAGGCTGCGGCGTCTGATGACATGGTGTTGGTCCATAGGAAGTGTCGTGTTGGAGAGAGGAACTGTTGTTCCTGCAGGTGGGGTGAAAGAGGGCAGGTGCTCAACGACTCATGCGGCAGCCGTGGTACGCTAGGCAGAAGAAAAGTGGCACACTCAAGCAGTTCAACACCGTTTGAGGTGGCCCGAAGAGGTACCAGACCCGTTGAAACTATCGTTTTCCAAACCCTTGTAACGTACCTGGGGGCCGCAAGCGGTGCAGGCAAGTGTACACAAGCCTAAGGTGATCGTGTTGCTGGACAGAATAAGTCATCAGACGAAATCACAGATTCGTAGACTGCCACTTTCTGCTCAGCGAATCCTGCCGAGTCGGGCCTAGCGCCGCCTTCGCCAAGCACTTACAACTCGCGGAACGACTTGCTTCTCCTCGCTCTCCTCTCCTCAGTCCCTTGTCACCACCTCACACTCCCCCTCCACCACGATCTACTCGTTGACGCTGCGCTCTCCCCACTTCTGCTCCGCCGCGGGCCTTGGGCGCATTCCCTTCCTTCCTCACATCTCCCCCTTGCGGCTCTGGTGATGAGGCTCGAGGCCAGGACCGTCATTGTCCCCCCCCAACTTGACGTCGTCAAGATGGAGGACCGCAAGAGGCCCGCCATGGGCGACGACGAGTCTGTCCCCCCAGCTAAGAGGCAAGCCGTTACTGTTAACGGTGCGAGGTCGCATCCCGACGCTGACCTTCCCTGGAAAGATTTCAACATCGAGGTTCGCCCCCCTTCTCGCAGCCGCCCTCCCATCACATCCGTCGCGCCCTCGACTAATCATGCCGACGCACTACAGCTGTTCCAAAAAGATGCCATCCTACGGCAAATGAAGGAGTACAAGCGAGAGAAGGTTGCGCTCGAGAACCAAGTCGCCAACATGGAGAAACGGTCAGCATATCACGATGACCACCTCCGCATAATCGACGCGTGGTTTTCCCAGGTTGGTCTTACTACAAATCTTTCATTGTGCTGCGGGAAATTCTAACTGGCATCACAGCTCGTTGACGAAGTTCGGATCTTGGCTAATGATACCCACTCGCTGGGGGCATCGCAAAGCTGTAAGCACCTTCCCCGTCCCTGGGACTTGATTAATCAAGCGCCAGACGCTGATCGAACGGCATTCCAGCTCCTGATACGCCTTTCCCCTCCTCGCTTCTTTGGGCAGATACCGACACCTTCCAGAAGCATCTGTCCGCACGGTCTGAGGAAATAAAGTCCGCCCTGTCCGACCTCTTTGCTAAACTACCCACCGCGTCGCCCGACGTTCACCAACTCCAGGACAAGATTTCCAAATTACTGGCCTTGGAAAAAGAGCACATAGCGGAACTGCACCAGATCACTACCGAGAAGGAGGAATTGTCCGAGCGCATGGACACTGCCACACATCGCTACATGATTGCTGAGAAGAAGTTGGATCGTTCCAAAAGCATTCAGGTGTCCAAGTTGGAAAGCCAGGCGATTCAAAACAGCACCCGCGAAGATTCGTCTGCTACTAACCAGGATGGGCCCGTCGAGGTCAATGGGGTGAAAGGCGGCGCTCGTATCAACGAGGAATTAGAAGCGCAAAAGAAGGAAGCCGTAGCTGAGTCCGTCAAGAGAAAAGAACAGCTGGAGCAGCTTGAGTCGGAGAATAGGAAGCTGACAGAGCACGTCACATCCCTGACTATCAAGCTGTCTGGACTCTCTGATGACGACTATGCCAAATCTGAACTCTTCAAAATTCTCAAGTCGCAACATGAAGATGTCCTCAAGCGAATCAACAACCTGGAGGCCACGAACAATCAACTGCGCGAAGAAGCTAAGAAGCTGCAAGCTGAGCGAACCGAATACCGTATCCAGATCGACGAAGAGAGCCGGATCATGCTCAGCGAGACCGAAACCAATCTTGCTCAAGCGGAGGCAAACCTCACACGAGTCCGACATACCCGAGATGAGCTTATCGCAGAGAATAGCATCATGAAGACGAGCCAAGATCAAAACAAGACTTTAATCAACCAAACCAAAGAGCTCACCAGCGCAAAGGAAAGCCGAATCGCCGCGCTTGAATCAGAGGTCGAGAGATTACGGCTGAAGTTGGCGGAGCAAGAGGCGACCGAGGCAAGCCTTCCCGAACTGGATGCATTATCACCCGATCAGCTATGCAGCAAGATCGTGAGCCTCGAAAGCCAATATAAGCTCTTGAGCAACGAACTGCCTTCTATGGAGGCGGCTTGGAAGAAAGCGCAAGCCATTGCCGGTCAGAAAATCAAAGATCAGTCGGACGCACTTGAAAAGATCGAGCGAGCCAATGCCGATAAGTCCAAGGCTGACCAGAAGTACTTTGCTGCCATGAAGACCAAGGAGGCACGGGAAGCTGAAAACAAGTCGTTGGTGCTGCAACGTATGAAGAATGGTGAAGTCATTGCTTCTCTGAAAGAGGCGGAAGCCCTCAGTCGATCCCTCTTGGACAAGGTCGAGAAGCAGAACGCCGAAATGAAATCCCAAATGGACGACATGGCGAACCAGCATCGTGTCATGCAGCAAAAGTTGAATGAATATTCACTTACTACCGAGGGACAATCATCACAGATCACAGAATTGAAGAAGGTTGTAGAGGCGAAGACCACTGCCCAGTTGGCCGCCGCACACGGCCAACGAGAAGCTGAAGCGGAGCGCGAAAAGCTAAAGGCCCAGTTGGACGAATCGAAGAGACAGGCAAAATCTTGGAAAGAGAAGAGTATGGGCAATCAATCAGAGGAGGACAAACACATGCGGGTGAGTTCAAAAAGTATTACTTTACATTCTTCTTATATTAATGATTTGGTAGGCCATGCTTCTGTGCGCAGTGTGCAAGAAGGACTTCAAGGACACGGCCATTAAGTCCTGCGGCCACCTGTTCTGTTTTGGATGCGTGAACGAACGACTCACTTCGCGGTCAAGGAAGTGCCCTCAATGCGGAAAGTCTTTCGGGTCCAACGATCACATGCGGGTTCACTTCTGAGAGCTAGCTGTCTACTCAACTTTCATAGGAATTCCGGGGCACGGCGCAGACGGAATGGAGTTACCGGCCAAGGGACTCCACAAGGCTTGGACTCCGATGGAGGCGAAAAGCAACTTGTTCTCTCTTGCAAGCACCCCTTTGTCCTTGTATACTATACCACAGATCTTCACTTCGGCCGACTGGGAGCTCTCTTGGCTGTTTTCTTCAGATGACTCTTTGGCTTGGAGTCTAGGGCTTCTTCGATTGATTGGCGTTCCGAGCTTGTTGGCTTTTTGAGCGCACATCGTGGTTCGGCTGATCCACCCTCGGGCATTTGTGTTGTACGATTCTACTGGCGTGGTTCCATCATGACAAGCTTGCAGCTCCTCCACGGGCACATTCGAGAGGGGCCGACATCGGGATAGATAAGCTTGGTTCGCCAAATGTGAGCAAAATGTCTAAACAGCACTTCAATGCTTGTGCCGTAGACGCGTGAATGAACTTGACCAGTCAGGATTTTCGACCCGTGCCTTTCCAGGATCCAGCAGGGTTGAACTGATTTAATCCGGGTGTTCGTCGTACTCTAGAACAATTGTCCTGTTTGCTGTCGTGTCGCCTTCTTACAACGCGAATTCCAACTACTCTCAAACTTCTTCTCCAAAAGGGTAATTAAACTTCAGCAACGCGTTAAGCCCGCCGACCCAGTGATCTTCCTCCTTCTCTTCCATTCCCACTACGCCACGGACGATGCTTGGTACACCACCGCACCACTCTCCGCTTCTTCTATCCCTGATGTCTTCACCCAGCACCCGCACCTCCATGCCAACGCCTACTCCTTTACTAATGCGCACCCCATCGACACTCACCTCCACTTCTCGCCCTCTATTCTTCTCGCTCAAGCGCAATGTGATGGGCGTGTTTGCTGGCAGCACCAGTGGACGGAACGAAAGACTCCGCGGACAGATGGGCGTCAAAAGGAGTGACGAAACGAGCGGGTGCACGATGCTGCCGCCGCTGGAGAGGGAGTAGGCCGTCGATCCCGTGGGGGAGGATATAATCATGCCATCCGCGACGGCTTCTGTCAGGAATCGCCCACCAACAAAGACATCGATTATTTTCAAATGAGGGGAGGAGCCGCGGTGTACGATCACTTCATTTAGGGCATATGTATCGCCAGCAGCAGGGTCAGAGCTATTCAGGCGTTTGCCCGAGGGAGAAAATACGGAGATGCGGAGGCGATTGCGGAGGAGGATGCGGGCGGGACGGGCAGCGCCCATGGGTTTGCCACGGATGGAGGCGTATGTAGGGGAGGCCTTGGGGTCTTCTGAGTCCGTGGCTTCGGATTGGTCTTTTTGATCGATGCTGGCATATGCATCGTGAGCGCCGGACATGTAGACTTCGCGGAAGGCGCGCTTATATTCCTTGAACTTCCATTCCCCAAGGAAGCCCAGCGTGCCCATCCCGAAGGAAAGAATCGGCGGGACACGGGGCGTGTGCGCGAAAAGGGAGGAGGCGTGTAGCACCGTACCGTCACCGCCTAAGGTGGAGACGAGGTCGGTCTTGTCGGATAGTATGGTCGGAGTGGGCGCATCGTGGAGGGTGGGCGTCGAGGTGGTGTACACGGGGAAGCCGAGCTTCGAGTGAACTTCTTCGGCGGCGTGCGGCTCGAGGATGAGGTTCATAGACGGGTATGTAGAGTGTATGTGCTGGGCGTATTCGATCAGGGACTCGGTGATCTCAGGGGTATTGTTCTTCTTGGTCAGGAGGACGTTGCGCGGTGGTGACGGCCATTGCAGGCACAGCAGGTCGTTCTGCCGTGTTTCGGTGTACTTTGGATTCATTCGGGCGGGCAGCTCAGATATGTTTCTTATCACTCTTCGCGAACTGCTGTGTGAGAAGGACCTCCGCCAGGGGAGCACGCGACAAGGCACGAAGTACTTCATGGTGTATGCGACTATCACCCTGCTGCTTGGAAATGTTCAAATGGCGGACCAAAGATGAAAAAGCAAAAACACACGAGATGCTGGCCGACGTGAAGATTGCTCTCCAGTAACTACCTGCGGTTAGATAGGCATGTCGCGATAGCCTCTGACGGGTGTATGAAGATTAGGTAGACTTTTTGAGTTGACGTCTGTCGCGGTGCTGGCCCAAGCTCCCCTTGACGAATCGCCGTGCTGGTGTTCTAAAAATCAAGCATTTTAGTCGCTCCCGGCACATGAAGCTGCTGCCGCGGTCAAACGCAGGCACAGGGTCGGTGCAAGAGGTCATATCGGACGCCAGAGCTCCAGTCAGTCCGCGTGACGTGGTCTGAGGTGTTGCGCCGCGTCTTGCAGCATGTTTCGGTTTATGTCCCAGGAAAGCAATTCACCGACCTGTTGTCGTCGTGCCGCGTCTCTTAAAGGGCCCGCCGCTCTCCTCCGGCGACACCACCCCGCGTCTCCGCGCATGTGTTCTTCTGCCTGGCGAGCTCGTCCACCGCAAGCACGACCAAGCCTTGGAACCAGCCCTCATTGCGAGCTTCCTCCCGCAGCATGATCGAAATTCACGACTTCAGACACCTATCCTCTTCCCCGCTCTGACTTCATCCTAGCACGCGTGCTGAGCCTGGGGCACTTGACTCAGCCCGCCTCCGCGGCTTATTCTCTCCAAAGCTGGCTCCAGAGCTGCCACGCGATCTCGATCCTACCACCACCTCGACGGTCACCTATATCCTAACCTTAGACCGCCTTTCCAACGCCCTCCTTCGCATTCCTACCCTCTTATAACCTACCATGGCGACCAACGACCTAAGACAGAGATACCCCGCCGCTTCCGTGACGCCCAAGGCAGAGAACGGCGCCGCAACGAACGGCACCGCAGAGAAGATCAAGAGTGGCGAGCTGCACCCTGGAGGAGCCATCAAACATGGCACATATAAACAGGCGCTACGTATGGCGTTGTTTGCAGCGTACTTCAACGGATGCTGCGTCTGGTGCGTGATCTTGAGCTAACGTCGTCCAGCACGCTAATGCCAGGGCTCAGCATTCTTGTCTCTCAGCTCCTTGGAGCTCCCCTTTATTTCTACGATAGAGATCTATACTACGCCTGGATGGCCATGACCAAGCAGCACTTTGGCCTGGTCATCACCACCATGACCCAGTGGTGGAGTCCTACGACTGTGCGAATAAGCGGAGACAAAAGCGTGCGAGGACAGCTGCGCCAGACCGCGGATGGCCGGATAGAGTGTGACTTCCCAGAGCGCATAGTCCTCATCGCAAACCACCAGGTTCGGCGGCTCGCTTGTCTCGTTGAAGTCATCGGTCTAACTGAATCAGATATATACTGACTGGCTATACTTGTGGTGGATAGCCTACACCGCTAAAATGCACGGACACATCTACATTATTCTTAAAGAGTCCATCAAGTGGATCCCCGTGATTGGGCAGGGCATGATGTTCTACGGATTCATATTTCTGACGCGGAAATGGTCAACAGATAAGCCACGGTTCAAGCACCGCTTGCAGAAGCTCAATAGCAAGCACGGTGGCATGCTCTCCGGGAGCCAGGAGCTCGATCCCATGTGGCTGCTCATCTTTCCTGAGGGCACTAATCTGTCAAACAACGGTAGAAACTCGAGCGCTAAATGGGCAGAAAAGAATGGAATCCCTGACCTACAACATGCCCTATTACCCCGCAGTACGGGGCTACTGTTTTGTCTCCGAGAGATGAGGAACACGGTAGACTGGGTGTATGACTGTACGGTGACATACGAGGGCGTTCCGTAAGCTACGCGCATTCAATTCAGACTTTCGGCAGTAGCGTTAATGCAGCCACAGTCGCGGTCAATTCGGACAAGATATTTTTACCCTCCGCTCAACGTACTTCCAAGGTCGGCCTCCAAAGTCGGTTAATATGCATTGGCGACGGTTCGCCACATCCTCGATCCCCATGGATGACACTAAAGAATTCGAGAAGTGGGTCCTGCAGCGTTGGATTGAAAAGGATCAGCTCTTGGAACACTTCGTCCAGACCGGCCGCTTCCCCGCCGACGACGAAGCTGGGCCATCCCCGGATGGTACCAAGGAAGTCAAGGGTGCCGGACATATCGAGACAGAGGTCCGAACAGCAAATCCCTTGGAATTTCTACAGATATTCCTTCCTGGTGCGGCTCTACTCTTGGTAATAAACGTGCTTGGAAAGATATGGCGAATGTTCGTTCGCGGAATCTTCGGGAGCTAGCACTATCAAGACATACGGCAGGCTGGTTTGGACCTAGGTAGAAAGCGTAGAGGCAGCATACAAGGGCATGCTCTGGTTAGTGGCATCGCTCAGGTATCGGTTTTTTTATCATTCAATGCGTTTTGTGATGTGGCTGCATTATACCCGAGCTGCACCTGATATTCCTCTGTTATGACAGTACACTTTCTCACTGTAGAGTTGTGTACACAACCGAGAAGCGTGGGCTATCGCAGATTTTGAACATATTGTAAGGCACCATGAGTAGTGGCGAAAGATGGTGCACAAATCTGTGACGAGGCGTATACGGAGAAAACAAAAGCAGGGCCTACGGACTTTACTGCAAATTGAGCCTACAGTTCTACGTCTATAAACGGCGTGTTCTACTATTTGACAAGCAGATTCGGTCAGCTAGTGGAGACTCACTACCTCATATAGAATAGACACTTGGAAGTCACGGGCGAAGTATCAGTGAGTCAGGATATGGGGACTATCCCCACCAGTACCTCAGTGCGCAATTTATCGTCGATACTGTAATTTTGTAATTTTGTTACAGTCACCCCCAAGCAAAACTCTTACGAAGTAGCTTACAGATCTGAGCATTTCACGCTAAACCCCTCATCCGATGACTCAATATTCAGATTTTGGCTAGCGATGACCGCATTAGATCTCAAGATCTCAAGATCTCCGGCTATCTGGACCACTGAAGAACTTTTCTCGGTTTGGTTGTATGAATCATGCTTACACCAGGCGTCGATCAGATTCTGCGACCTATGCACTGTGGATGTCTAAACTCTGTTCCATTCCCTTTAGGAGAATGCGATGCTAACAGCTCGCCGCTAGAAGTCGGGAGTAGCATTTACATTCCGTAGGTATGCCAGCATGTGGAGGTCTGACATATGATACGGAGCCATGAAGCATCTTCCAGGTGCCAGCGCATTGTGCAAGATTGCGCATCGGCATGCGAGAGCACGGGATGACCATGTTGAGTTACAAAGGACGAGCGGTGTCCTTAGGGCTGGTCCGTCGAAATTCTACAGAGTTCCGTGAAGCGACGAATATGCGTCAAATCATGGTGTTGAGACACGCTCGGACAAATTCTCGTGCCACGGCGATGACGTCGGCTGGCTGTTGTGATTACATACTTTTCATCGCCGGAAGGAGGGAGAGATCTTAGCGTGCAACGGGGAGCTTGTTGCCGATTTGGAAGACGCCCTTGCTGCGTAATCCATCATGCGCGGCGTTGTCTGCAGCAGCACCAACTCAGACCGGTTCAATTTGTGTCCGCACAGAGAGAACCCGCCAATTGCGAGGCATCGAGATAGCGTTAAGCTTTTCGTGTTCTCCCGCTTCCTGGCTAAATCCTTGGTGCTTGGAAACCGACGGCTGACTGTCTTCGCAACACTGCATGCTTGTGTAAATGCCAAACTCCGTGTGAGTAGCAGTAGAGGTGATTGTAAACGCCGGTAGGAGCATGTGTATATATGTCTGTCCTATCCATCATGTCTCATCATCAACATTTCAAGTCCTCCTCACACTCCTGCCTCCACTACTCTCATCATACCTCTACACTACCCCGTTCTAAATCAGTCACATACTCTATCTCAATATTCGGTTGTTCCTCACAAACTTAACTGAAGATGTCCGCCCTTATCAGGGACGCCCCCGTTGGGCAGATTATCAGATGGGTCACCAAGAAAAAAGCCCTACAGTACCCCGAAGAAATGGCCGACTTTCTGCTGCCGTCAACATACGCAAGATTCAGTGACGGCGCTCAACCCCTCCCCGTATCAGCACCAGAGGCTCTGCCCACCGAAGAAGTGGTTCTAGTAGAGCCCGGAACTGCTCTCAAGCTGGAGCCTAAGGCGACAAGAGAATCAGACGACGACGAGGATGACGACACAATCGACTTAGAAAAGAGGAAGACTGCAGGCACGATGACAACAAATCGCACTGGCCTATCGCGACTCGGGACAAGGACGGCCCTTTCAACGTCTCATACTCAAGCCGATCTTGAGCAGCAATTCTCAATCGCGACTTTGGAGAGGGGACCCATTCTTCCAATCGCGCCAGAAAGGCTAGATGACGGCACGATTCTCGTAGACTGGTACACCACGGATGATGAGGAGAACCCACAGAACTGGTCCTTTGGCAAAAAAGCTTTTGTCTCATTGCAGATATAGTAAGTTTGTGAGCTTCAAATGCCCAAAGTACAGCCTCTAACGCGAATAGTCTCTACACTCTCGCATTCTACATGGGCTCCGCAATCTACGCTCCTAGCGAATTGGGAGTTATGGAGCGCTTCGGAGTTTCCCAGCAACAGGCCGCCCTGGGTCTGTCTATGTATGTCCTGGCATACGGTATTGGCCCCCTCGTCTTCTCGCCTATGAGCGAGATTCCCATCATCGGCCGAAATCCACCATATATGATAACTTTCGCAATATTCGTTATATTGTGTATCCCCACGGCAGTCGTCGACAACTTTGCAGGCCTCATCATTCTTCGCTTCCTCCAAGGGTTCTTTGGCAGCCCTTCTCTGGCTACCGGCGGCGCTACACTACAGGACATGTACTCGCTCATCAAGCTACCATACGCCCTCTCGCTATGGGCTCTCGCTGCGACTTCTGGACCAGCTCTTGGTCCCATAATCAGCGGTTTCAGTGTTTCAGCGGAGAACTGGCGATGGTCCCTCTGGGAGATGGTCTGGCTCGCTGGTCCGATTTGGATTCTTCTCTTCTTCGCTCTCCCAGAGACATCTCCTTCCAACATTCTCCTCCGCCGAGCTTCACGCCTGCGGACGCTAACAGGCAACCCGAACCTCAAGAGCCAGAGCGAGATTGATCAAGCAAACCTATCCTCTCGCGACATTGTCGTCGAGGCCCTGTGGCGACCTATGCAGCTCATGCTGTTTGACCCGGCCATTGCCTTCACGGCCGTTTATACAGCTTTGATCTATGGCATCTATTATAGCTTCTTCGAAGCGTTCCCTCTTGTCTATAACGGCATGTATGGCTTCAATCTTGGCCAGCAGGGACTCACTTTCCTGTCCATCACCGTTGGAGTTATAATCGCCATTGCAGCTTACTGGAGCTACATATACTACATCGTTGAGCCTGATATCCGCACCTACGGCCTAGGAGCTCCGGAACGTCGCCTCATCCCAGCGCTCTTCGTAACGTTTCTGCTGCCGATCGGCTTATTCATATTTGGCTGGACCAGCGACCCCAACATCCATTGGATCGTGTCCGTTATTGGTATTAGCATCTTCACTATCGGTATCTTCCTCATCATCCAGTGCATCTTCTTGTACTTGCCCATCACGTACCCGCAATACGCAGCCAGCTTGTTTGCAGGCAACGATTTCATCCGGAGCACTCTCGCAGCTGGTGCTATTCATTTCTCTAGCCCGCTCTACAGGAATCTGGGCGTGGGACCCGGTGTGAGCTTAGTGGCTGGGCTGACCTGTGGGTGTGTCGTAGGAGTGTATGTGCTCTACTTCTATGGTGCCCAGTTGAGGGCAAGGAGTCGATTCTCCGCCAAATAAGTATTCATTGCGAGAGTTTACGAAGACCAAGAGATCTGTCTGAGGGATAAATGAACCTTTTAAGGATCTTAGCGGGTGGGATATCAGCATTGGAACTGCGTTTAGCGAGGCGTTTGAGGGTTTTTGGGTTATGGATTTACATAGTATTAATATGCAACATGCTTCCTAACACTATTTCGCTGCCACCGTGTAAGAAATGGTTTTATTTGAACTGACACTATCCTCAAAAGGCTATATACCATTTGGTAAACTCCGCTGTGGGACTTGTGATCAACACAGAGGGGGTGGGGCCACGCGCCAACTCCGACGTCGTCAAAGGCACTTCAACAGCAGGCATCCAGCCACGTGCCAACGTAAGCACATCTTTATCCAGCTCGTCCACTGCCTCTCATCTGTAAACTTCACGGACGCATCAACCGCCCTAAGGTAGTGAGGGCCTTCAGTGACCTGAGCTCTGCTATCTTCATTCAACAAACCTGCTTTGTCACGACTCCATCGTTCCTTGGAGGTATCCCGACTTGGCTCTTGTTATCTCGAGATGTTCTTCTCCCAGTTCCGTCTATGTCATGTCGTCGCTCTAGTTCTAGCGACGTCGTGCAATGTAACATGGGCGAAGGAGCAAGTTCCTCTGAACACAAAACACAACTCACCCCAACCTCTTCGACAGTACTCCTGGGTCCGCAGCTTTGCTTCTATTGGAGATTCTTACGCAGCAGGCCTGGGTGCCGGTAACCGTATCGACTGGTCCTGCTCTCGCTATGATCATTCGTACCCTTCGCTCTTGAATTCGAACGGCTTCCTCGGAGAAAATCCGAATCGAACTCATCAGTATCTCGCCTGCTCGGGGGCTACCTCCGAAGAGGTCTTGGTAAAGCAGGCATCAGCCCTTGACGACGACCTGGACGTCATTACGGTCTCTGCAGGTGGCAATGACGTCGGCCTGAGCATTATCATGAACCAGTGCATTTACCAATTCTTCATGTCGAAGACCGACGCCTGCGAAGACGCTCTAAACGAAACATGGTCGAAGATCGAGAACGACTTGTCCGGCAACCTCACTGCGCTCTTGGACGTGCTGAAACCTAAATTAAACAAGGGCCACGGCAAGATCTACTACACTGGATATGCCAGATTCTTTGCCACCGACGATGAAATCTGCGATAATGTCACTTGGGCTGTTTGGAGCTACGAAAGCCAATCCGCCAAGCAATTTCTAACCCTAGAGCGCCGCAAGATCATGAACGATATGGTCCAGGCAGTGAACAAGAAGATCGAGGAGGCCGTCCATAAAGCCGGTGATCAGGTCATATTCGTTGATTACGATAGCTTTGTGGCAGAGAACAAGGGTCGATTCTGCGAAGCTGGAGTCATAGAACCAGACCCGAACCGCAATGGTCTGTGTTTCTACGAGTGGAAGACAGTTGACACAGGTATATATTCTTACTAAATAATTCGTTCTGCCTTTTACTGGTAGATGCTAATCTATGGAATTCAGGCGATAACAGCACAGCGCTACATCACGCTGGAGACGACGTTCCAAAGGGGTCCTTCGAGGTGAGAAAGCCGTGGTCTTTGCGTTGCTGGAGCATCTCAGCTAACATGCATGTTGCAGAGTGACATTGTCGAGTGGACGAACAAAACGTTACAAGAGCATCCGGATTGGAAATTTGGTCCAGACGAGGAAGTCGAACTCGATGCGGATAAAAAGGGAGGAAGACAAGTGATAGGAGATACCGTCAGCTGGCTCCTTCCGGATTTCTGGAAACGCGTATTCCATCTTCGACCAGCCGGGCATCTGCTCATTGCTCACCTTCTGATGAGCAAGCTAGCGGAGACTGCGTCGAAGATCTCAGCGTCAGAGACAGTTGAAGGCTACGCTTCTAGAGATGACTGAGCTATCGTGACCCAAGATTTCGCTCAAAATGTCTCATTGCTCCGAGAGAAAGATTGATTCGGACTAACTTCGAACGCTTCCATGTTTCTAGGCTGCATCTTCAACAAACTCCCTGCGGCATAGAATGTGGTCGAGTACCAGACGCACGCAGCTCAGCTTTAGAGGACTAGGACTCACCAACGAATGAGTGCTGAAGTGCTATCTAGGCTGCTCGTGTTCTCCGACCATTCATTGCAGGTTTTTTGGCTACGGAACACCACGGGAACTGAACCCGTCCCGCATGACATCTACAGCAATTCCAAACACCAGGGGTATCTCAGCGGTCGCGTTATTGCCCTGACATCCAGATTGAACATGTATCTGTTCGAAAACTTCTAGTCGCGAATTCTGCTTATACGACAGAGCGCTCTATCCGTACCAATGACGAGAACAACGGTGACATATCCAAGCGAAAAGCAGAGCAGGCGAGCGCTCAAAAGGATGCATGCAGCGATGACAAGCTCGATCCCTTTCGAGAGTGGTACGGAAGGAGGCAGGTGTGAGGCCTATTGGGAAGGCGATAGATTTAGAGTTTACTGGGTTTTCTTGGGTCTCTACCCCAGATTTCTATAGGAAGTACAGAGGTTCTCTTCAAAAGTTTCTGCCGCGCTAAAAAATGTGGCTTAAGCCTCAATACGCCACCAAACGCCACCAGCTCGGCACACAACTATGTAGCTACTTGATAACCTCTCCTGCCCCCTCCGAGACTCGTATATTTGGTGTAGCTCCACCAGTTTAATGAGTCTGGTTCGCTGCTGCCCTAGTAGCTGAGCGCGTACGGCGCGGCGCGCCAGGTAGGCTATATGGCAGCTCCGTTTGTGCAGCCAACGGGTCATTTTCTGCAGATATGAACCTGACCGTACGAGCATTCGTTTTCGAGATTTTGGCAGGGTTTTGCTCTGTTTTTGATCCCCTGCTAGTCTTGAAGATGTCAGGGCCACTAGGCGCTCTGCCTCTGCGCGCTCCTTGTGTTTCTTCTTCCTTGATGCAGCCTCTGGTGATTGCTCAGCGTCCTTAGTGCCCTTATTGTTATCAACATCTACCCAGTTGTTGTTGTCGTCGTCGTTGTCGTTGTCGTTGTTGTCGTTGTTGTTGTCATTGTTAACATCTGCCCAGTTGTCTGGGCGCTTCAAATGGCGAGTCTTCTCCATAGCGCCCTCTCTATACTTATTGCCCCCCTCAAGCCTAATTATCTCTTGGATATGTCGTGGAATCCGTTGAATCCAGGCCTGGCAGCGCTATTGCTCCATATCCTTCCAGCTCTGCCGCCACCGCTTATCTCCTTGTGCCCTAGACTTTGGCGCGCCCTTCTTTGTAGTTGTGCGCTTAAGGTAAGGCCAGGCAGGCTCTATCGCGTTGAGATCTGGGGAATTTGCAACCCAGAGAAGTTGTTGGACCTTAGCAGCGGCGTAGACAGTTGTTTGGTGATGATGTACGTGCGCAGGAGCACGATCTTCCTGTACAATTGTACCCTGCCGATCGCGCGCGCAGTGCTGGGCAAATGGGATAAGCTTCTTCTCTAAGATCTCCTTCTTGTAGCGATACCAATCAACGCCTGTTCCACTGCCTCTTGTAAGCTTTCCAGTATCCTGTGTAAACTGCCACTTCGGCTTCCTGCCTGGGCGGTTGCGTGTTGCCCCAAGGCGCGATAGAGGATTCTCTAGCTCCCACTCTGCCCGTGCAATAGGCTCAATAGTTTTGTTAAGCTCGGCGAGATCTTTGTCTACTGCAGCGCGTTCAGCCTTTATTTCTGGGTGCCAGATATGGCAAGGGCCCTTGCGATTATAAGAGAAGCAGCCCCAGAATATAAACTCTGAGTATCCTTTCCAGCGTTCTCGTATAATTGTGCGCAAGAACTGTTCGTTTAACCGACGCCAGATACAATATCCTCCACGGCGCTGGCCAACTACAAAGGCCGTCTCGTTGCTCCAGATAACATTCTTCCAGTCCTTAAGAGTCCAGTGTTGATAGTCAAGGCACCACTGTAATCGTTCCTGCTTCATCCACTTCTGTAGCCCAGGTTTCCGTGTAGGTTTTGTCTTCCGCATGTTAAGGTGGCGGCGAAGAATGCGCCATGCAGTCGTGGCTGAGATTCCCACCTCTTCTGCAAGCTGGTAAGTATTTAATTCCCTTCCAGCTCTGCTCTTAGTAATTAACTTCTCCATCTTTGCAATCTTCCTTGGGGTTTGTACAGTCGGCCGGCCAGAGCGAGGTGCATCTTGCACGTATATGTCAAGAACTTTAAGCGATTGTTGGGGGTTCCAGCCGCGATCTATGGCCCTCTTCCAAACGTCCCGAATCGTGCGCTCTGACATGCCAGTGATGGCAGTAATTTGGTCAGAAGGAACATTCATAGCCTTAAGCGTAAGGGCTTGCGCCCTTGTAGCATTGTCGTACATAGTTTATTGGCACAGTGGTGGACGAGAATCAAATCAGAAAGTGGAGTGTACAGGTGATGGAGGGGTTTCTTGGCATTGACGTGGCGGATTTTCGTTGGCGCTAGGCCCGTATAGGAAGGGGCTAGACGGTTTGTGGCGTAGGCTAACGTCTAGCGTGCGCCATGGCGTTTTTAGCGCGGCAGAAACTTTTGAAGGGAACCTCCGTAATGTTCTCATCTAATACAGCAAGTGGAGCTCTTTTTACATCTTGTCTACATACGGGGCTTATAATCAACAACAAAAACAAAACTGTAGGCGTGGGTTACTATCTTTACTAACAACACGTCTGTTTATATTTTCTTAATTCCCATACCCTTAAGCTGGTTCCCTCTCGTATACCTCTGGCTGTCACGATGACGATGTATCAGTTATTCGAACGCGAGATAGATAAGTATTAGATTTGAAAAATAAAGATAACTACGTGCTACTACCGTGGTGGGTACAAGACGTTAAGATAGAGAATTAAAGGAGGGGCAGGACGTCGGCCTATTTACAAACGGAGCAGGGGCAGAAAAGGGACAGGACGGAACGGGACAGAAAGGACGGGCGCGTGGCGCACGGAGCGCGTAAGGAGTCAAGGGATTGACGATTGGGAAGCCGAAGGGGAGCCGTAAGTCAATACCGTGACAGTTTGTAGTGAAGAGGTTAAAATGCCAGGGCCAGGCCTCTAGATAGAACCGCACCTTATAGAATTCCATGAGTCCCGCGCCCTCTAGGGACCCATGAGTTCCCATGATTCCATAGACTATACCTAAGGAACCGTGGAAATCCTAAGGGATCTTCATATGCGGCCCCGCAGGTTCCATCTAGAGGCCTGTTCAAGGCGAGCAGGGTGCATCACGCAGCTGAGACCAATAAAAGGTGGCTTGATTTGATAGGCCCACGACTAAACCTTTAAACCAAAAGTGGAATATGCGCGAAGGATGAGTCCGCATGTGCTCTAATTAGTTTGCTTAACGGAGTTTAAACAGGGAGGTGAGTTGTAGGTGAGCATTCTGAGTGATTTTGCTTACAGACAGGGGATACGGTGCTAGGAGGGGGAGAAGATAAGTTGGCACGGTTGGTTCGTATTTACACAGCCACATGACTCAGCCACAACACCCTGGGACCACAACTTCGTTCTTGTTAAAGATGGACACCTCTCTCCTGCTTTTAAAGATACCCGCACTCAGAAGCAAAGCGATTTTTGGATTCGCACGTCGTAAGCCCCTATTCTCTGCGGTCTAGTCAGCTTTCCTAAATAACACGTGGCAGACTTAATTCCTTCCAACTACACTAGGAGCTCTCTTCTAGAGTTAACCATGGCCGAGAATTTAGTGTCGTGGCAGACAGCTTTTTGGTCCCTTGTGCCAATCGCGCTCAATACAATGCTACAGCCCTCCGGGCGTGTCTGCGGCTTGGACCCAGAGCTCCACACCTACCTAACCAGCTCCCCATTGGTGTGTGCTTTTGACAGCATAGTCATCCTTGTGCGCTTTCTTGCAAGCTGGGAATATTCCCGATCTTTCCGATTCGCAATTCACGACACACTTGAAGAGCGTTTCCCCTCGCCGGCACAGCCCACCAGTGGCCTACGAACCCTGGAATCCGCAACTTTCATTTGCTGGCTCGGCTTCATCGTTGGCACCCTTCCGCAATTTATTAAACAGCACGCCCTTACAGGCGTGCCGTGGACCCAGGCCTGGGCGTGGATGTACCTGATTAATTTCTCTCTCGTCGAGATCCTGTTCTTCCTAGACAACATCATGGGCCCACCGTCGCCACCTGCACGTCCCTTCTATCCCGACCCGCTCTACCCTGATCTGATAGGATATCGCCTCCCCACCTTTAACCGCGTCTGTAGCTTCCTAGCACTTGCGACCCACTTCTATCTTGTTGAATGGACCTGCAAATCTCTGGTCGCCCTCCATAGCGAACCCTTTTAGTGGTCTGCCGGGATAATTGTGCTATTTGTTATAGTACCATGCGTGGCCATTGGAGCTTATTTCGTCTACCGCTATTGCATCCGTGATCGAATAAGTATCCGCGAGCGTCACTACCCGATCATATTTCGCCCTCAAACGTACTTCCTCGTCACAGCCCCCATGAACATCGGCACGTTAATCCTACTCGTCGTCCTTGTCGCTAAAAAGGGCAAGTTAGCCATAGCAACACATTGGTTTAACAAAACTATGGAGTGGGGGATGCTAGTGATACTGTATATACAGTTTATGTAATATGCGGTGGGCCTGCTGAGTTGGCCCACGTGGAAGGTTTGGAGGGAGTTGATATTGCTGTTGCCGGTTGAGGAGGCAAAAGAGGTGGAGGTAAATGAGGCGGAGATGCCGGAGGTGACTAAGAAGGCGATGCTGGCGTTCGAGGCTGCGCGTCTGTGACGAGGGTCCTCATGGCTTCGTATGCGCTGCTGATGTTTGTCGGGTCGTTCACCATGGCGATTTTCTGGTACGCCTTTTGCTTTAATTCTGAGGGAACGGTTAAGCCAGATTGGACTAATATGTTTGGTTAGGGTGAGGATCACATTTTAGTGGCTTGCTCAGACTTTGTATCTGTGTGCAGACCGGGACATGTATTTTGAACCATGACATGTCCGCAAGACCATGTATAAAATAGGACGGCTGCCTCTTTGTGACGGGCTCGTGACAGTCATTCTGGCGTTGTCGGCGCCGGATCAACGTGGACGGCGACGCCCCAACGAAATGTCGAGGCCCCAACCACGCGGCGGTAGACGATAATGCTACGAGTAGGGGTCAAGCGAACTCGGAGATGAGCGTTGACTGTTTACTACAGCCTCTCTGTACGTCCGGTGACCTAGCGCTAAAATCAAGCTACGAAATTACCGTATGAGGTAACGATTCCGGACGCCTTTAGGGGGGAATGACAGCTGTCTAGCTAATGAATCTTTAAGCAGGTTCATTATTAGCCTAGAAAAGTAAGTTCACAGGAGTTGACTTAGTTTCTGCGCTAGGTCATCGGACGTACAGAGGGGCTGTACGTATAATATTAGGTGAAGGGTAAAGACGTGGTGTAAGGAACAGGAATTCGGGGGCAGGATTGCGAGAATAAATGCGACGCGTCTATACAGAATCGGGCAACAAGGCCCGCGCGTAGCGCGAGGGTTTTACGGAATCAGGTGACGGAGGGTTGCGGCTAATAGGATTTCACCTGCCAGCAGTCACGCTCTTAAGATAGGCCCATCTTGAGACAGTTATATTTATAAGATAGACATGCTTATAAATGGTGACGTACTAAGATAATAACGTCCTTAGGACGATCATGTTATTAGGAAAGTTTTCTATGCTATTTGCCTTTAAATGCTGGTAAAACTCGGCGAAAAAGATATAAATTATGCGCAATTCTGAATCACAACTGCTATTTATAATCCGTATCCTTTGGGTTCTTTCACGCTTCTGGAATGACAACTTCATAGTATTGACTCACGACCCCCCTTCCAATTGTTAATCCCCTGACACCTTGTTGCTGCACGCGTGCGCTACACGCCCGCCCCCCTTCTAATCCTGTCAACCCTGTCCTGTTCCGTCCTCCCCTTTTCCTGCCACCTGGTTCTGTTAGGGCCACGAGCTACGCGCAAGCCCCTGTCTCGTCCTATACATAGCCTGGCGCTCCTGTCCCTACTTCTATTCGGCATGTTAACGTCTTATAACCACCACAGTAGTAGTACATAGTTATCGTCTTTAAATCTAGTACTTGTCTCTCTTAAGTTTAAATAGCCGATATATTATTATTATAATAATTCTACTATAATCAACGTAAGGCTATTAAAGAGCTGCTATAAGTATTTATTAGTTTACACCAGGGGTAGCTTAAAACGTCCTACGGAGGAATACGGATGCAGATGATTTTATTTACCCTAAACTAGAATATATCTTTCTAAAAAAAAATTAGGTACAGCAAGGAATAATAGTAGTTATACTTATCCGTGCTTAGGAATAAAGCAGTAGCCCGAAAATAAGCCCTAGAAATAAGCTTTCCTATATAACAGCACCTCTCCCTAAGGCTTATAATAATAACCTAGGACAGATTTAAGACCCCTTACTAAACCTTAATAATTTTTAGTAGGTATATTTATAAGTAAAACTACGCCGCAGCGGGTAACTAAAGTAAGCAGACCGGAACAGACCTAAGCTAAAGCTAAGCCGGGCCTAAGTCGAACTTAGCTACAGCGGCATATAGTTACGTAAGCAGCAAGGACTAACGTAGTCGGCAAGCTAGTAGGCCATGCAAGCTAGTGGGCCACCCAATTATTAGTGCGATTTAGACCTTTTAGCACCCCAGCAATCTTAACAATTACAGAATATTCCAGGTTATAACTTAGGATAATAATATCCGTGGTTATTTTAATATCATCTGTTAATTTTTTAGATCTCTTAATAGCCCTGTTTAGCCGCAGTAAAATGTTGCCTAGTTTTAGCCCCCAAAATCAAGTAATACCTACAATATAATAGGATTACGCTGCTATACTGCTCTAAACATTCTTTTAGCTATTAAAATAAGCTAGATAGTATATGCAATCTTAAAGCTATACTTTATATCTCGTGGTTGTTAAGATTGCTGGGGTGCTAAAAGGTCTAAATCGCACCAAAAATTGGGTGGCCCACTAGCTTGCATGGCCCACTAGCTTGCCGACTACGTTAGGCATATATATTGGGGACTACTAATCGTACACCCCCTAAATCGTACACCCCCTAATTCCTAGACGTACACCCCCTTTTCACTCCATGTACACCCCCCCCTCTTGGCGCTTCACCACCTACTAATTGGCTCGGAGAGCCCGGAGCTTCCTCCGGGCATTCACCCTTACGTCTCTCTGCACGTGATGCTATACGCGAAGCCGTACGTGATGCTATGCACGAGGTCGTACGTGAGCTCGTATGTGAGGCCATACGTGATGCTATACACAAGGCTGTACGTGATGCTATACATAAGGCCGTACGTGAGCTCGTACGTGAGCTCGTACGTGAGGCTATACATGAGCTCGTACGTAAGGCTATACAAATTGGCATGATGTAATTGCTTGTGTTGTACATGGCCGCATTTGGAGAGAGCATTCGGAATTAATAAGCAAGTTAAGCGAGCGAATCGGAGGCTACGGAGCAGCCCTCCGAGCCAATCAGAAGGTGGTGAAGCGATAGGGGGGGGAGGGGGTGTACGTGTAGTGAAAAGGGGGTGTACGTCTAGGAATTAGGGGGTGTACGATTAGTAGTCCCCTATATATATTGCGTTAGCCGCTTACTAGGCGTTATTTTTAATATAGATAATGATTTTATAGAGGTTGTTTATTGTATTCTGTCTAATTCTCGCGTCCTGTCCAATTTATATAGCTTGCCCGATTTGCATTACTATTAGGGCCTTTGCTGCTGCAGCTGCGTATATCTTGTTTTCTTAAGCTTTCAGCTTGCTAATACTCTTCCTTATATCCTTTATCTCCTTTATTAATTCCTTCTATAGAGCGTTCTTCTGTTTATCTATAGTTCTCTATATATAGTAGAGTCCTTCCTTAGCATCTATAAGTCCGAAGAACGCGTTATTAATATACGCGACTATAGCCTGGAGGAAATCTATACTAAGGGCATTAAGGGGCTAACTCTATAGGGCGCTTTATATCTGTTATACTTTATTAAGTGCGCTTACAACGCTTCTGTACGTGTTGACGAGGGGCTTTTAGTTGTGTTATTGTTGTAGGTGTTGTTATTATTGTTGTTGCGGATGCAATCTAAGGATGTAATCTAAGGTTAGGGGTCGCGGGAAAGATTTAACCTACTGCAACACTACTACTGCTGCCCGGAGGGCTTTATAACTGCGTATAATTGCTCTAAGTGCCTTAAGAAGCCTATTAGGACTCCCTTTAGCTTCGATTTCCAACAGCTTATTAAGACGACTGCATTATGCCTTTTCTTTTTTTTTAAATCTAGGGTATATAATATTTAGTAATAAGATATATAGAATAATATAGATAGATAGATAGATAGGTAGATAGATAGAAATTATTTTACTTAAATTTTATTCTATATTAGTAGTAGTAGTGTTTTATATATATATATATAAGTTTAGTATTATAAACTCCTTTTAAAGCGTTCTTTAATACTTCTATTAGAACAAGAATAAGCAATATATTTCTTTATTCTATTATCTATATATATATAGATACAAATCTATTTATAGATCCTTTATTCCTTTATTCTAATAAAGAACCCTTTATTGTTCTTTATTCTAATAAAAAACCCTTTATTATTCTTTATTATTCTTTATTCTAATAAAGAACCCTTTATTATTCTTTATTCTAACAAAGAACCCTTTATTATTCTTTATCCTAATAAAGGACTCTTTGTTCTAATAAAGGACTCTTTGTTCTAATAAAGGACTCTTTGTTCTAATAAAGGACTTATTGTATATAAAGAGGCTTTATCTTAATAAAGAGACGTTAACTCTTTATTACAACAAAGACTACGTTTTAATAAAGAACAACTAAGGTATATTAAAACCGCTGCCTCGCTCCGTAAACTTAATAACCTTAACTAGTTTATATACTAATCAGTAATACAACACCTATTTAAACCTTTACTATTTCACCACGTGCCTTATATACCTTTACAACTTCTATAATACTATTTAATAGTTTTTATATTATACTTAAATATAAATAGTATAGTAGTATTAAGAGTATTATATATAAAAATATAACGCTTATACTATTATAAACCTTATACTAATACTATTAGGCTTTAAATTAAAGTATAGGCTTTAAATTAAAGTATATTATAGGCTTTAAATTAAAGTATATTATAGGCTATTATAAAGCTTACTATATATATTACACTGTTATACTATATTTTAGTAAGCTAAATTAAACTTTTTAATATAGTCTATAGGTAAGTAGGCTATATAGCTAAGTAGGCCACCTAATTACTAGCGCAATTTTATAAAGGTATATAAGGCACGTAGTAAAATAGTAAAGGTTTAAATAGGTGTTGTATTACTAATTAGTATATAAAACTGGTTAAGATTATTAAGTTTACGAAGCGAGGCAGCGGTCTTAATATACCTTAGTCGTTCTTTATTAGAACGTAGTCTTTATTATAATAAAGAGTTAACATTTCTTTATTAAGATAAAGCCTCTTTATATATAATAAGTTCTTTATTAGGACAAAAAGTTCTTTATTAGAACAAAGGAATAAAGAATCTATAAATAGATTCGTATCTATATATATATATAGATAATAGAACAAAGAAATATATCGCTTATTCTTGTTCTAATAAATTTTAATATTTTTGCACTTAAACTATAATAAATTTTAGGTTATAACTTAATATAATAAAATATATCTATTTTAATATTACTAGCTAACTTTTTAAGGGGACTACTAATCGTATAACCCCTAATTCCTAGACGTACACCCCCTCCCTCCTACGCTTTACCATCTTCTAATTGGCTCGGAGGGCTGCTCCGTAGCCTCCGATTCGCTCGCTTAACTTGCTTACTAATTCCGAGTGCTCTCTCTAAATGCGGCTATATGCAACACAAGCAATTATATTATTCCGATTTATATAGCTTTATATATAGCCTTATATACAAGTATACGTATAAGTTTATATACAGCTGTATATACGGCTGCATAAATTAGAACAAATATACTGTAGATTAGAGAAGCTGTATAGCTATGCTAATTTATATAGCCTTATATACGAGCTTATATATAAGCTTATATATAAGTTTATATATAAGCTTACGTATAAGCTTACGTACGAGCTTACGTATAGCCTTACGTACGACCCCACGTATAGCCTTATATACGAGCTTATATACGGCCTTGTATATAGCATTAGCATCACGTACAGCCTCGCGTATAGCATTATCACGTGTGGAGAGATATAAGGGTGAATGCCCGGAGGAAGCTCCGGGCTCTCCGAGCCAATTAGAAGGTGGTGAAGCGCCAAGAGGGGGGGGTGTACGTGTAGTGAAAAGGGGGTGTACGTGTAGTGAAAAGGGGGTGTACGAGTAGCGCTCCCTAATTTCTAAGATGCGAAAATATTAAAATTGCGCTAATAATCGGGTGGCCCACTCGCCTGCAGACTACGTTAATTACTTTTTTAGAGTGTAGTTACTGCTCTCTTATACCTTTACCTAAAACTCTGCTATAGAGCAGCCTACTATTTCACACCTATTCTTCTAGAGTATTCTAGAGGCCAGCTTATAAGGCGACTTGTTAAGCAGCTAGTAAGGCAGCTAGTAAGGCAGCTAGTAAGGCAACTAGTAAGGCAGCTTATAACGCAGCTTATAAAGCGGCTTTTAAGGTGGCTTTTAATATAAATGATTTAGGCCCTCTCCTAGGCGTGTTAATACAGTAGCTATTATAGCAATATAATACATGCCTTACTTGTAAGTAAAGCGTGATGAATTAATTTACGTTAGTTACAATTTGGGCTTATAGGCGCCTGTTAGGCAGATAGCAGGCGCAATAAATAGGGGTGGTACATGTAAAATATAAAGCAACTTTCTTTAACTACAAAGGGTGAGGCTCTTGGACAATCACCAAAATCCACGTTATTATTGCGCAGCAACCACACGACGATAATAAAATTTCTGAACGCTTGGGACTTTACAAAGACGCCTCTGCAAAAACACCTAGCAATTTAGATTTTTTATACACCTTCGTGGTATTGCGATGCACGCGTGGAAAGGTGTCAGTTTAGGGTGATTTTGGTGTTCCTAGCTCGCTTACCCGCTAAAAGATTTGATTATCTAGCGAGCCTCGCCCTTTGTAGCTGCTTAGAGAACGTCCTGGCACAACTAACCGGCCGGATCTCAGGGCCAATGCATTGACAACATCCACGACATCTGCTCGTTCCAGGCTTTGGACTTGGCAACAACGTCAAGCGCTTCTATGATTTTAGGTCTAACCAATGGAAACCAGTCAACAGGTTGCGTAGCTCCTCACTTTTCGAAATAGAAGTCATCATGAACCTCTAGAACGAGTGAAGGGACATATATCTAAAACATATGGGCAACCCGTCATTGTTAGTATGTCTTATTCAAAGCGGTATTTCCGTCATCACAGTACGAGGAAGCGTCTCCGTCTTCATTTGTATGTCGACAAAATGGATTGGATACCTTGCAAGTATGATGTTGATAAGCACGAATATTTGGGGAACAAGTTTAGCTGGCAGCGATACATTCCATGTTTTCTGCTTGAACCCTCCTCTCCCCAACCCCGAACACCCGGTGCCCCCTTTATTAGCAAACAGCAGTGAGCTATTCATTGCAAATAGCGAGTAGAGAGAGGAGGAAAAGTGGAACGATAATACTTATTCCAAAATAGATCGGGTAGCATTGAAGATGTAATATAGCGAAGAAGAAAAGTTAGACGCAGAGACAGACTGAACGTAATTCGCGTTGACACTAAGCGGACGAAGTGGACGAAGTGAATGGAGTGGATGAGGTGTGGAAGAATGTTGCTAATCGACAACCGCATTCCTTGTTGCCATCAAGGAATGCAAAGCTAGGAGGGTCAGCATATATATTCCAGGCCTATGACATAGTCTTCATACTCCAGGGCTCCTTTCTTCCTCCTCACCGCAGAAGCGATGCGTACCTCTCTAGCCAGCTGTTTCCTCATTGGCATTGTGCTCTTCCTGCTGAATTCTGATCATGCTCTCGCCGACAAGATCTTGGATGCGCCGACGGATACTATAACCTCATTCCCTTGTGATACAACGGGTAAATCGTTTTCGTAAGTTCCAGTAAGCTAGATCTCCTGGGTCCTCAAGTTGATGACAATCTTTTCGCAGACGCTATGACGCTTGCACTTCTTCCCTAAGCAGCCGCGCCCAGAGTTGTACTTTCACCGATGCGAAATGTGCCTGCAGTGCAGCCTCGTCCGGTTTTAGGTGAGCCTGCACGATATTAATCGAGTTTCTTATCCGACTAATGCATGACCCGGTAGTTGTCTCACCGAGTGGTGCCCCAGCGATACTTCAGCAGTCTGCCCAGCATCCTTGTTCATTTCTTCGGGCTGCTCCCTTGCAGGCCAACCAGGGCCCCTTTTTACTCACTACTCGTGCCCGACGACTTTCGGCGACGACATCTCTTCTGAGTTTGCGTCACTTTTTGATTATATTAGTACCGCTTTCGAGACAGGCGCTGGCCGCACGTGGAAGCCTTCATCGGAAGGCAGCGCGAAGGACACAGGAGCATCGACAACTACCAGTCCGACTGCATCATCAGCCAATTTCACCATTACGGCGCCTTCTAACGCAGCCAAATCAGGGAACGCAAACCCTATGTTGCCTGAAAATGGCCCCCTTCAGAGCATGATGCCGATGCTCGTTGCGTTTGCTTTGGGGCTCGGAGGTCTTGCTGTAATCCTATAGGTGTCAGAGAGAGGCTGGGATAATATGTAGGTTCGGTAACCTCTCGACAAGATGCGCCGGAACAACCCCCGACCCGACGTCACGTTCCGTCACGTGATCACTCAATACACCTCAAGGGCGACGTGTAGGAACAACGTATAGGAATGACGTTAAATAGGCCTCGCTTTCGATGGCGCTCACGAGCAAAAACGCTAGTCGGAAGAAGGGATAATAGATTTAAAGCTTCTTTACTTGATCTAATCGGGCATCATGAGCGCTGCCCAACTATCTACGGAATGAATGTTTCTCTTGACACCGAATCTCTAGTCCTGTTGCTGCATATGAGTCGGGATCGCGTTATAGCCATTATAATCTAGATGAACGAACGCCCGATCAACCGTCGGAACACTTTCGAGCACATACTGTAAGCTCTCACCCAGGTCATGGCCGTCTCGCAAGCTTGTAGTCTCATCCAGAACGATATCGACTTCAACGTTGAGCTTATCCCCTGCGTGATAAGCCTGTAGACCTTGGATTTGCTTGATAGTTTTGGCAAATCTCATGGTGAGATATAAAAGAACGTTTCTTTCATCGGCAGAAGCTGCAGCTCCGGTGAGATTACGAATGTGTGTTGTAGATGTGCGCGACCAGTTGATAATGACGTAGAACGACAGCAAGACTCCGCCTAGGCTGTCCATCCACCAGATTTTTGCGTAGTAACCAACTAAAAGTTCAATTAGTGTATGAAATTTACGCGCCGGATTCGACCTACCCAGAGGGAATATGATGCTGAAAATGTTGAATACTACATCAGTCATTGCGTCTTGAGCTAAAGCTTGTACGCTCGAATTTTTAATGAAGCGGCACCAAAGCCAGCAGAGAAATTTGATGATAACAGTTGAAGACATGATAGCGATCGCAGGAATCGATAGTTGAACAATCTTGTGATCATCAGACGAGAGACGACTGATGCCCTCGAGTGCAACTTGGAAGAATGAAGTGATCATGATGACAGAAAAGACGAGTACGCCAATTGGCTCTAGTCTTCGGCGTCCAACCGGGTAAGCATACTGATCTTGTCGCGAAATCATGCGAGTTGTGGTCCACACGATGGCCGTGCTCAAGAAGTCGAGGGCGGCATCAACCAAACTGGCGATGACCGAGAGGGATGAGGTAAGGATGGTCACAATAATCTTGAGAATGAGGAGAGTTGTGTTTGCAGCTAAGTTGATGTAGATGGCAAGGGTGACAATGGGATGGCTGCTGTCTGTTTCTTCCTCAGGCATGAAGTCGGGCATGACCTGCTGGGGTTCGTCGGACTCTTCTAAGTCGGCTTGAATTAATGCAGTCTCTTCATCTGGAAGCTTGTACAAATTCTTGGGCGTTCGCTTGACTTTGTTGTGAGCGTGATTGCCATTGCCTGCGCCATTGAGCATGCTGCGATCCTGCGCGCTGAGACCCTCGCCAGATGGGGTCGCGAGACCTGATTGGGACTCTTCCGATATGGTAGGCGGCACATTGACAGATTCTGATGGTTGAATGTACTCCTGTAGCAAGTTGTGAGGCAACGAGGAGTCGAGGAGACGGTCGATATAGAGATATTGTTGGATCAAGTAGTTGTTGCGCTCATAGTATTTTCGACTATGGTTGTTGAGCATGTTTGGCTTGAAAGAGGAATGCTAGGGACCAAGGGGGACGAAGGATACTGACATGGGTTTCTTCATGTTCTTGAGCTCCTCGTCGGTCTTAAAGTATCTTTCCCTTCCTACGGTTAGAACTTATCTTCAAAGGATTGGATGCAAGCAACCTACCATTTGTATCTTGGATTGCTGTTACCAATCAACCGCTGGCTACGCATCTGGGGCGTCATGAGGACAGAGGCAGCAACGCTCGCGCGTCTTTCATCCCAGTCCGAGGATCCTCCCCAGGCCATTTGGAGGCCGTGGAGATGGCCATTCTCGACATCCTCGTCACTGGGGCGGCGTTCGCTTCGATTGGCTGACGGGCGGCGGATCAGGACGTGTCCCGTAGATTGGCTGTGGATCAATGAGGGTAGGTTCTGTCCACGAGTGGAGATAGCAGATTCCGCATTGAGCGGCAGAAACGCTTTCAAGCTGGCAATGCGATGGAGATTGGAGCGCGGAGGAGAGGCTGAATGGTCAGCCATGTCGATGAGGTATTTCAAAGGGTAGAACGATGGCACCGTTGTTCGGCCCTCCCAAGGTTGACGAAAGCCCTAGTGGATTCGAGTTGGTGTTTTGGCTCTCTGCGCCAGCTTTGGGTCCAAGCTTCTAGATCGTCCATTGCTTGGCGTGCATGATTCATCGCGGAAAAGAAAGGTCAGATCTGCAGATCTGGCAGTTGAAGAGCCGGTTTAGTTTGAAAGATCAAAGTGGGACAGGATGGGTTTTTGAAGGAACGTTCACACATCTCATCACTCATCATCGATAATCTCGTTAACATCCACTTGCTGCTACCCTATCTGTAACTCGCCCCAGTTACATCCACTACCACTAATGCTCACAGAAGCTTCTAATGCTCGCAAAAACTATACGAATGTTGCTGCCACCCCTTCTCCGCAACCTGTAAAAATGCTCCTCTCACCTGCATAAGCTTCTCCCTATGTTCCCTCGCTTCCTCCACTCCCATCAAGAAAGCATCCTGATCAGCATTGAAATACTCGCGCACCATCTCCATTAACTCCGCTGGTAACTGCCCCCCGTCCGTGCTAGCGATATCCTGCAGTCCCTTCTCTTTCAACAGAGTGAGTAGTTCGGCTGGTAGCTTAGCCAAAGCTGCACTCCGCGACTCGGATGTATCCCCAAATGTAGAATCAACCCACCAGTCCTGCTGCGGCGGCACGTTTGCGGTCGAGATTATGCGTCTAGTGGGGTCTACGAGCCAGAGGGCTATGAAGCGGCGGTGGCCGGGTTTAGTGGGGTCGATGAGCTTGAAGGAGGAGACTCTGTGTTGGCTACGGACGGCGTTAGTAACCTTACACAGCAGATCCATGGAAATCAGTCAAGTAACAGTAAACTCACAAGACGTTAGGGAAAGCAAGCAGTCTCCCTTGGGGAGTCTCAACGCTGCCGTAGTTTTGCAAACAAGGCGAGCTGTTGCCGCCGAGACCCGTTCCGTAAACCTGCTCTAGCCAGTGATAAGCGTCCTGCCCTACGTTGATCTCGTCGTTCAGGTAGGCTGAGGTTTGCATGCGGAAGGAGAGGTGGCTGGATGTGACGTTCGAACTGTCGAGGTAGTAAAGTGCTGTGGCGCAGATATGTTCGTTCATTTGGCCTTCGATCTATTTCCATAGCAATGAGAATTTGATAGACTCGGAAAGCGAAGGAGATTGTACTTACATGCCAACCGCCCGTCGGAAACTCCGGCTTCTCAGACGTCAACTCAATCGATGCTATTTTAACAATAACCTGCAATCCACTTTTTCCGAAATTATTGACAAGACGTTGCTCGGGTTCGGGGGTGTAATCGACTTCCTTGAAACTAGGTTCTGGTATAAGAGGCTTGCGCAACAACTTCCACTTGCACTCCGTCTCGTCATCGTACTCGGGGTCATATTCGTGCCGGCTTTCGATCTCATTCCATTTGACCACAACATCGGCTACTTCTTGGGGATTCGATGGGATCCAATTCTCGGCGTTTTCGTCGCTGTAGGAGGATTAGAATTATAGCATCACACAGCTTGAATAAGACGACTGAAACGCCACTTACTCCGGCTGATCTGGCTGCTCGAACCGGGACTTGCAACGCCCGGGGCCATCTATCTCATTGTAACCCGCCGCAAGAGCAAGGCACTGATCCCACGCAGGGAGCGCGCTCTCAATCAGCTTCTCAACCGTCCGATATATGTCAGCGTATCTTGTCGGGTGCAGATTGTTGATATAGCTGGTAAGCTTCACAGTGCCATCCTCTTGGAAGGTCACGTTAGATGGCAGCCACTGATACGTATCGGACCAGTATTCAGGAGGCACGTTGCCAGACCCCACTCCGTAGCGGAAACGGTCCTGTTCCTCCCTTTTCCAGTCATCTTTCGGAATGGCTTCGCCCTTGCCGGCCCATTTCTCGATCGCATTGCTGACTCCGACGAGCTCTTTTTTGAGAACTTTACTACGGCCGTAGACTAAAGGATACATTGAGGGGTGTACAAGATCCTGCACCATTTCATTGGATCTGGGATGCCAATCGGGGGACGCTGCATGGTCGGCCTGGAGTTTGGCGAAAGCATCACGCAGAGCCTCGTGGAGTTCGGGAGTAACGAGCTTGTCTGACTTTGCTACAGCCCCGCATGCGTCGAGGGTTGGGATTATGCCGGATTTCTCATAGTATTTCGCCTTGCACTGGACTTCTTTAATGCACTGTTCGATTCAAAGTCAGCGTGATATCGGATCTCCTGTAGCGATTGGCCTACACAATCAAAAGTGTTTTCAGTCATGATACCTTCTAACCGCGTCACGTGACCGATACTCCAATCATCCTGCACATGGAGATTTCCATTCTCTTCCCAATATTGCGACTTCTCTTGAAAAGCTAGTTTCCAAAACGCCTCGTCCGGAATCGAGAGGGCTACCTCGCGATACTTCGACACAATCTCTTCATCGAAGACCTTTTTGTGCCAGTCCTCCTTATCCGTGAGGCGCTCCATAATGCTCATCATAGCAAGCTCGCGCACAGGGAGGATATCAGAGTCTGAACCGTAGCAGCTGCCATGGGCTCCGATTGGATAGAAGCCATAATCTTGTTGCTCGTTGTGGCGTAATGGAAGGCCGAGCCCTGGGTACTTCGGCATGGCTGAAATTTCGCGTCCTGGGGGGTGTTTCTGGAAAGTTTCCTTGTAGTGTACTCTGCGGCGGATGGTAGGGGATGCGGATGCTCGTGATGGGATGCAGTTATGGTACAAGAGCTGATTTCTGCCGACTGCGAGGCTCTGAAGTCTGCGGCTGGCAATCGACATTCAGACGCGGGATTCCGCGTCGTATTTATGGGCGAAAATCAAGCAAGACGCGTCTGGCAAACCCCAATCATGGAAGGCAATGTGGGATCTCAAGAGGCACTAGCGTGTTGCCTAGGGATAACTAGGGGAGGTAGGTAGGCAGCTAAAGGTAAACGAGTGATTAAGGAAGCGCCACTTCCCAGACAAAGCTATAACGAAGGCACCGGTGTCTAGTTCAGGTCGGGGTAGTTTGATTGGGGGCCGGGGTCTCAGCGTCCAGATTCATCGCTTGGCGTGTATACTGCACCTCAGACAAGCAGGCAATGAATCTTCTTATATTCTAAAACTGCTGACATTTTAGCTATGTACTCACTCTCAGACAGGTGCACCGAAAAAAGCCTCCCAATCATGTCAAAGCTGGATCAAACATTTCCGATACTTCTAATACATTTAGGTTGTCTTAAGACAGTTAGAGAATGTGTGTAGTATTGTCGTGCAGGACTCTATTCATAGCTAAACCCCCTTTATCCATTCCTTTGACGAACAAGTTCGTTGAATGCCACAATTGTGACTTGGGTATCATCTGCTGGATATCATCATATATCGCATCCCTGAACACCAGGTTGCAAAGGAAATTGTGCCAGCTCTCCGTTGCGCAAGCGCTAAAGATCTACAATTCTCGACTCCGTGTTCTTTTCACTATCCTCAACTTCGATTTCGTCATCTAAGAATCCGTACTGTCTCGCTGTGGCATCAATCTCTGCGTCAGATAAGAAAGGAAGCTCCTTGCTCGCTCGCACGTAAGTCATATCCTCAAGATATCCTTTGGCGAAGATAAGATCGATCTCCTCGAGACTGCGTTTGCGGGTCTCGGGATAGAAGAAATAAATGACGGGGAAGAAGCAGGCGTTGATGACGGCGAAGACCAAGTAGGTTGCCCACTTGATGTGGTCTATCATTATGGGGGTAATCATAACGATGAGGAAGTTGAATATCCAGTTGGTGCAGGTGGAAACCGCGTTGGCCTTGGCTCGAATCTTGATAGGGTTTCTGGAGTCGGGGCGTCAGCAAATCATCGAGGAAGTCCTAATGAATGAAACTTACATTTCTGCAGGATACAGCCACGGAAGTGGGAGCCAAGTCGCTCCAAAGAATGCGATATAAGTAAAGAGACCGACAGCGGCCCCCTTTGCGGCGGAGGGGGTGTTTGGAATGAGACACGCCATCACAAGGACCATGGAAAGACACTGGCCGACGGTACCAATGAGGAACAGCTTGCGGCGACCCGCTCTCTCGATGATGAACCACGAGACCGTCGCAAATATGGCATAGACTACCATATTGACACCGCCCATGAGCAGTGACATCGTATGCTGTCCCGGGAGAATCGACGTTTCGAAGAGAATGGGGAAGTAGTATATGACTGCGTTGCGTTAGAGACGGTGAGATACAGACTTCGACAGGTGTGAAACACTCACCTGCATTGCAGCCACCGATTTGCTGGAAAAGCTGAGCGGACGCTCCAAGAAGCATGCGACGAAGATGTTGTGTCTTGCCACCAGTGAACAGGGCACTGAATGGCGTGTTGCCGCCATGGTGACCCGATGCTCTGATACTGTCCATAATGATGTTTGCTTGGAGCTTAGTCTCATCATCGTCGACATGTAGACCCCTGAGAGCAGCAATAACCTGCATACTCTCTTCCGTACGGTCTTTGGTGAGAAGCCACCGAGGCGACTCTGGTAGCCAGAACATGAATATACAGACAATGAGACCGAAAACGATTTGGAACGCGATTGGGAGGCGCCAGCTTATATCGGCGGAAGCATAAGTGCATCCGAAGTCAAGCCAATATGCGATCAGAGTGCCGAAAGCAATAATTCCTCCTTCGATGCAGATTAGAAGGCCGCGGTTGGTCGTCCTGGAACACTCGGCCTGGTAGGTAGGAATAGTCGACGTGTTGACTCCGTTTCCAAAGCCCGTCACGGTACGGCCGATGATGAACTGGGCTGTTGCATTATGGCCTTTAATACAAGTGATCTGTATGATGACACCAAGTATCATTACGAAGCCTCCAATCATGATGGCTTTGCGGCGACCTAGCTTGTCGCCAACAAGCAATATGAAAACGGCGCCTAGGAAGCAGCCAATCTCGTAGATGGCCGTAACGAAGCCTTGCCACGTAGAGTCGTTCTTGGTTTCCGGAAAATAGTTGTTGAATGGTTCAGCGGAAATGATCCCGCTCATAACACCCTCTATTTTTCTGGTAAGCGTATGTTAGGAAGGCTCATCCTTATAATGCTTACGGTCATATCCGAACAAAAGAAAGCCGGTAGTTGCAACGATGGAGACAACCAAACTCAAGGGCCTCCCGGTTAGTCCCATGAAGTGTGGATGTTTAGACCGGTCATTGAGGGACGCCCTCGAAGGGCTCATACCGGTCGACATGGTACTGAATTGTCCGAAAGCCTTTTTCTCTAGAGAATCAAGCGATAGCAGTCCCGCTGGGTCCAGCCAGATACAATGTCAAGGTCGAAAGCGAGGCACGGAAAAGGATCTCGCGGAGATCAACGAAGGGTATCACAGAATAAATGATACGAGGCACGAAACAGCACGAGAGGTGTCTGTGATACGGAATTGAAAATCCCTAAATGTGGGCATGTACCTCTTTATCTACTTAGAGGCTGGTCTACTTAGAAGCTCGCCCCACCGCAAGCCTGCATCCTGTTTGGTGGAACCCTGAAAATTTTCGGCAGATACTTTCGACGATGGCGAGTGCATATCACCGCCGTGTTGGTGTCGCAGGAGCGCAAGCTGAGCAAACAACGTCATTGCTGGACGGGAATATACCACGGACCACGGGGTCCTCTCCACAATGAGGGGCGCGTGTGGGACTCTAGCAGAGGAGGCTGGCGTGAGGAGCGCATGGCGGTGGGAGATCGGCAGAGCTAGGCGGCAAAACTTACGAAAGAGGACCTTGCCGAAGAAAATGTGCCCGGGCTACCCGACTCGGCCTGGCATAGTGCACAAACCGCTTACAATGGTGTGGAGGGAGGCTCTCTTGGGGGCTGCAAGATGTGACGTTTCACGCTTGCTTCCGAGGCCTGACTGAACCGTTGCTTGGTGCATCCTTGCACACGTGAACGGCTCGCATCAGATGCTTGATTAAACAACGCAGATTGCGAGTACAGCTGCAGCCTCTTCGCCACGAACACTGGAGAGCTCAACGTCATAGGCGCGGTCGATGAGAATGCGGGGGATGCCCTATATGTTCTCTACCCCGAAAACTCTGGAGATAGCGGGTTGAAGTTGGACTGTTGGCATAAAAGACTGGAGAACTGCGGTGATATAAGCAAAGGATCGGCTAGCTTGCTGTGATGCAACGCCGAGGTTCAACCTGCCCGATTCGTGTGGAGAGCAATTTGTGTGCCCCTCAAGGATGACGCAGAATTAGGCTTGGAGGCGGACGAAGGGTGCCGCTGGTTCGGTTGGCTCATGAGCAATTCGTAGCAGTGGATAGTTGCTGGGCCCTGACGAGGTGGTATCCGTATAGGATGGATGGATGGAAGTTGTGGGTCGAGAAACACGAAGGCTTATTTATTTCACATGCTCTAGACGGATTATATATTTCCCGCTAGCGTGTTTTACCGCGACTTCGGGCTTGGATGATTTTGGAGCGGATAACGCGACTTCACCCAAAATCGAACGAGGTGGACTCCACAAATCCTGCCACGACTGCCCACCGCTGCACACCGCCAGCTGTATCCATGAAGCGTAAAAGCGCCGGGGTTGCTCCAGGGACACCGACGCCAAAGAAGAACCGGACATCTACCCGACAAAATGGAGAGCTCGACAATGACGGCGCAGTGAAGAGCCCAGAGGTGGAGACACCATCGAAGAGAAGGCGAGGAGAGCAGGATTTGATGAAGGAATTGCACCAGGCAAAAGCCAATGGAGCTACTACAGGCGAAATCAATGGAGGCAACACCCCGGGAACGCCTCGGTCGCAGCGCAAGGTGTTGTTCACAACTCCAACCAAGCCCCGGCAAGAAGACACCCCGAACGGCACCCCTACTATCGTCAGGAATGCAGACCGATCCGCTCGTCGGAAGAGTGCCCGACGCTTGATTGAGCGGACCATAAATGGAGATGAAAGCGACGAGGAGGCCTTGGATGAAGAGGACACCCTGGCCCAAGAGATATTGGGGGGCGAGGGCGAGGGCGAGGGCGACGAGGAGGAGCAAGATGAAAACGATAGTGGGGCGTCTCCCATACCTGAGACTCCTTCCAAGCGAGGAAGAGGACGACCGAGAGGGAGGCCACGGAAAGAGCGCTCTCCAACGCCGCCCCAAAATCTTCCACCACATGAGGAGTTCTTTTGGCAAAATCGGCCTGGCGGGACAAAAACCTCCAATAACACACTTCCATCCAGCACACTCTTAAATCATGACGAGTACTTCACGACAATGCAATCCTATGAGGATCCACACGGTCCAGAGCGGGACTTCTTGTTAGAACTTCACAGCCGTTCTTTCGACCAATGGATATTTGAGCTGGAGCAAGGCTTCAACATATGCCTCTACGGCTATGGGTCCAAACGCTTACTGACTGACGAATTCGCCGCTCATTTATACGATTACCTCCTGGCCAGAAGCTCTGATATCTCAGACACACAGTTACCGAGGATTCTCGTCGTCAATGGTTACACGTCCGGCATAACGATCAGAGACATTATCTCTAGTCTGGCTTCAGCTATTTTCACATCTACTGTTAAACTCCCCACGCAGCCTGGTCCACTCCTGTCTCATGTACTGTCTTGTCTCTCCTCATATCCTCCGAGTCAACCAATTCAAATCCTGCTCAATTCAATTGACTCATTACCTTTACGGCGCGGCCCAGCAGTATCCCTTCTTGCTCAACTAGCTGCACATCCAAGCATTCACTTACTTTGCACCGCCGATACCCCTAATTTTCCGCTGTTGTGGGATTTGGGCCAGAAAGCCCAGTTCCGGTTTGTCTTCCATGACACAACTACATTTGCGCCCTACGATGCCGAGATTGACGTTGTTGAGAGCGTTAATGAGCTTCTCGGCCGTAGCGGTAGGAGGGTCGGAGGCCGGGACGGTGTAGGTTTTGTGCTGCGCAGTCTACCGGAGAATGCACGATCGCTGTTCCGAATATTGATCAATGAACAGCTTGATCTTCTTTCAGCTGACACTAATGACAACGATAACGAGGGCTTAGGGGAGCAGCCCGCATCTGTGCAAACGCCACGACATAAATTACAGCTAGCAACTCGGAAACATGCGTCCGAATCTGGCATGGGTATGGAGTATCGCATGTTGTATCACAAAGCTGTGGGAGAGTTTGTTTGTTCGAATGAAGTGGGCTTTAGGACCCTTTTGAAGGAGTTTCACGACCATCAAATGGTTGAAAGCAGAAAGGATGGTATGGGTACCGAGAGACTATGGATCCCATTCAGAAGGGAGGAGTTGGAGGGACTAAAAGAGGATTTCGAAGTAGAAGGGCTCTAAATTTTAAGCTAATATGTAGAGAAAATTCGTAATAAACAACAATTCAAATAAAACCACATTGTACATGGCAAGATCCCGTAACTCAACGATGAATGCCATTTAGTTATCGTCCTGCACTAATAGTACACCTACAAGACACATATTGTCAATGATTTATATTACTACATACAGCCTCGAAAACAAGGAATTTATAGAAGGCATTGCAATATAAATGACAATCTGCCTTCCCTAAGGCATACTGAGATAGTACTGTATGAGCTGAGTATGCCAAACCCGGCCTCTGCTAGTCCGTGTAGCGTAAGCGGCTGATCCAATAAGAAGCCGAATCTTAAGAATTTTCTTGCAGGGGGGTTCGCAATGTTATTAGTACTTGCAAAGCTTATACTAGAAAAGAGCTAAAGGAATGCGTAAAATTAAGGGGGCATTACTTATACCTCTAAGCTCTATTATAAATGGGCTACTGGCTAGCAGCGATAATAGCGCGGGGCTACTAATAGTTGCCCTAATATTTGTCCTAATATCCGCCTAGACAATATTACTACTAGAATCTAAAGTACTATTATAATATCCTCCTTAATAAAACTAGACCAATAAAGACTAGTAGTATCTGGCCCATCTAAGACACCTAAACTGGCCAGATTAAACCCAAGAGTCCTAGCAAAGCAAATTCCAAAGTGGAGCTTATTAAGACGGAAGATCCGGCGTGCGCGTAGGCAGGCAAAGTAGTAATCCCAAATAATATCCCTAAGAAGTTTAGCAGAATAATACAAGAAAAAAAAGAAAATAATAAGATATATACTGTAACTCCTTAGGTAATAGTATTAGTATATCCTCCTCTAGTATATCTAGTATACTACTGTAATTATTATCCCTAAAAATATATCTAAAGGTATTTCTTAGTATTAACCATAGATAAAAAAAACTATAGTAAAACCTTTAGTAGGAATAAAGGCATAAATAATAGTAGAATTAGCTATATTATAAGAAATATAAGGGAAAAAAAAGTAAAAGAGATATCTATATAAAATTTATAAGATAGAAGAAAGATAATATATAATAGTACTATATTTAGTAGTATAGAACACCTAATATACCTAGAAAGTAAGAACTAATAGGAAGATATAGATATAAACTAATAAGATTAGGCAGCTAACTTAAAAAGAAGACCGGTATAGTAATAAGTAGTAGCCTAGCTAGACTAAAAGATAATATAAAGAAAACCTGCTTAATATAGATAATAAGTAAGATTTTAGGCTTCTAGGCGGTATTTTAGCTATATAAAGACACCCTTATATAACTATTTAAAAGTGCCCCTTATATAGTAACTACTTTTTACTTACTAGAGTAAAGGTTAAAAAAGAGAAGATATATAAATAGTATTTTATAGCCCCTTTAAGCGGTAAATATAATCTAAGGGGGAATTTATAGGTTCCTTTTATAAGTATTCTATAAATTTAACTAGATATTGGTTAGTAGTAAAGGTACACTAATAGAAGTAATATTATAGAGTAAAGCTGCCCTTATATATAAAGATTTATATACTATTTTAGCTATACTAGAATCTATTTAAAATTTCTATATAATAGTAACTATACTAATAATATCTATAGCCTATACTATATATAGACACAGCATGTGGAAAACTGTGGTAGAGGGCCCTGGCAAGAGGGCCGCGCGAACTCTACTTTGTATGTAACTCTTGTAGCTCTGCAATGCAAATGTATCCTGGCCCCCGGCTTTACGGAAGAGCACGCACGCGCACTACCCGCAGGCGTGCTCTTACGCTAATTGTAAACCAGCTTACATCTCTGGAATCCAATTGACTCGACCCGAACCTAGGAGGACGACCCAACCCTGAACCCTGGAAGGATTTACAACGACGCACCGCGATGGCTTATTCCGTGGCCGGCTTAACAGAGCTGCCACGCGTCCCCAACAGTTGTACATTAGCATGAAGAGCGCACGGCGCTACACACCGCAGAAAGCAAGGTTTTCATCCAAACGCTGCCTAGCACGAACGGTTTCTCCTTGTATACTTAGCCTAGATAGAACTGCTGCATGGACCCCTACGGGAACTAAATCAGCATAATAGAACTTAATAATAATAATAATATACTATATATAATAATTATATTATACTAACTAAGTATAATATCCTAGGGTATACATTATAATTCTATATTATATTATAATATAATACTAATTAATATGGAGTAGTAGTATTGCTTTAGTATATAAATAATACTTGTAAGGATTATAATAGCATAAGCGTTATATCCCTATGCATAAAGCTCTCAAAACAACTAAGACTATGCACGTTTGAACGTGATATAGTAAACGTTTTGAACAGGAAAAGTGAGATGACGTTACAGAAGCGTTAGAGGACGTTTCACAATGCTATACGTATGTATATATGTGCAACTCCGCTGCCGTCGATGTAAAGTAGAACTTAAGCAATACAACTCTGTTCTATCTCTCTCTGCATCGACTCTATACCTTTGACAATACTATTTAGAAAAGTAGAGAAATAGACAGATAGATAGATAGATAGATAGATAGATAGATAGATAGATAGATA